TCGGAAAGGCCTTAACTAAAAAAAAAAAAAAAAAAAAAAAAAAAAATTAAGCTCTGAAATTAGGACTACTTTGGGTTTAATTTTAACACTACCAATTTGATAATTTCCTTATACTTGTCTCAAATAACTGTTATGACACTTATACAGATTAGTATGTGTAAAAGACTTAAACAGTACCTGCCCATGTATCACATCTATGAGCCCTCCCTAACCATCCTGTCTAAAACTGAGTATCCCCAGGCTCATGACTATTCCCATTTTCCAACTTATTTTTATTTGTTGTTATTGTTTAAGACAGGGTCTTATCATATTTCCCAGGCTAGCCTGGAACTCACTATGGACCTCAGACTCAAAGCTACACTTCTACATGGACCTCCCCAGTACTGGGATTACAAGAGTCACTATGCCATTTCCAACTTACTCTTTTCCATAGTACTTATAATCTGATATACTATATTATTGCCTTTATTTATTGCCTATCTCCTTGACTTGAATATACAAATGTCTCATGAATACAGGATCTTTATCTGTATTAATATACTGCTAATTCTCATCACTTAACTGTTGATCTGAATAAATTAAAACAGCTGTGCAGGGAGTGGTGGCACACCAGCACCTGAGAGGCAGAGACAGTTGGATTTCTGTGCGATCAAGACCAGTCTGGTCTACATAATGTTCCAGGTCACGCAGGACTACATTTGTGAGATCCTGTCAAAAAAAAAAACCCAAAACAAAAACGCTATTGCAATTACTGTTGGACACACATCTGGGGGGAGGCCCAAAAAACCTAAATAATCATTATATCCAATAAGTACTGAAATTTGGGGGGAGGGTGTCTTTTTTTTTTATATTTTATTTTATTTTATTATTTTATGTGCATGAGTATATTGCCTACATGTATGTGAGTGCACCCGTGTCCTGCATTGCCATTGCCTCGGAGGTCAAAAAAGGGCTTCGGAGTCCCCTGGAACTGGAGTTAAGGACGGTTCGTGGCCACCATGTGGGTGCTGGGGATTGAACCCCGGTCCTCTGCAAGAGCAATCAGTGCTCTTAACCGCTGAGCCATCTCTCCAGCCCCATTGTGGGAAGGTGGGGGGGAGCTTTTTTGAGATAAGATCTCCCTGTCGCCCCAGCTGGCCTGGAATTCACTATGTAGACCAGGCTGGCCTTGGACTCACATAGATCTGCCTACCACTACCTTCCAAGTGCTGGGATTAAAGGCATGTGCCACCATGCTCAACTAAGTATTGGAATTTTCTTAAAAATCATTTTTCAGGGCTGAGAGTGTAGCTCAGTAGTACAAGTTTTGGCTAGCATATGTAAAGCCCTGGGTTCCACTCCAGCACCACAAATATATCTAAAAAGCAAATAACCGAATGTTGTAGCTCACACCGATAATCCCAGCATTTGAGAGGCAGCCAGGAGTTTGAAGGAGCCTTGTCTACAAAGTGAGTTTCAGGCCAGTCTGGGCTACAGTCAAACTGGAGAAAAACAAAACTAAACCAAACAAAGCAGCCCTTAGGAAACCTAACCATGATAATTCCTAAGGCCTCAATTTGGACTGCTACAATGTTAAACTATACTGTAAAATCAGCTAATTAGCTCTGTGGTTGGTTTGTCTGTTGTAGAACAGCCAAAAGGTCTCTTCAATTAGAGCTTAATCCTAGCAGTACTGTTGCATTTCCACACAAGGTCATCTGTGGAGGAAGATACTAATTATGCAATTTACCTGATTTACAGGAAAAATATACACACAGTCAAATACAAGTGATCTACGCTAGCTGAAGCAAGTAGCTTGTTTTTCACAAATGCTAAATTTCTCTTAAGCAATGGCAGTTTTTCTCTGAAGGTAAAATGTCCTAAGGTTAACATTACTCCAGAGCCAGACAGAAATACGCACTGGTAGGCCCACCCTGGACTTTGGGATAGATAGTTATCGGAAATTTCTGGGGTCGAGAGCCCAGAAGGTGTGTTTTCACAAATTCTCCAGGTGAAGTTTTGCACTATAGATTGGAAGAGGTTTCATGACCGAACAATCAGACAAGAACAAACAAGCACATGTTTCTCCCAATGTTCATAGGGTCTGATGATCCTTCCTTCCTCTTACCCCCTACAGCCCTGTTCTTACCAGCTAGATTGTTGTAGCAGTCTGTCTGGGTGGTGTGCAGTATATTTTCTTGCTCAGGCGTGAGAGCTGGGCCCTGAGGTCCTAGACTGGGTATCGGGGAAGGCAGACTTGGGTCCAGACCCCGGAGCTGAAGAAGAGCTCGATGGTACCTACTCACAGCATCTCGGTACTTCCTTTCCCGGTAGCGCTGGTTCCCTTCCTCCTTGTACTGCTGAGCCTCCTGCAAACGCTTCTCCATAACTCGGGGACACCTGGGGCTCTTGGACTTGAGAAATGGAAGTGCGAGCAACTGAAGCTCTGGCGTTGGGACCAAAATAATTGATTTTAGCAGCCGATTTGGAAAGACAGAAAATTATCCTTCTTCAGGCGGGCCTCGTGATTTGAGCTTTGTTTCTACTACAGTCCCACCTTTCCTCGGCAATTATTTTTCAGTTTCCACGAGTCCCGTAACTAAACAGGAAGGTGATGTGGGAACAGTGAAGCCACAGACTAAATGTTTCCCAAAAGAGAGAGATCCCGGGGTGAGCAGATACTCTACGAAAATCCAAAGACACTAAGCTATCAGGTAAGGTGTGTGAAAGCCCACAAAATTCGCTTCCTTCTTTCTCTTTAGACACCCCCTCCCCCGACCTGGAAGTGGATGGAGTAGGCGGGAACAACGATACTACTCATTAAGGGTTTCGCTCCTGCCTGCGCTCTTTATTTGTCCTTACTCAACAAACAGTCGCTATCGCTGCTGTTCGCTGAGGAAGCGCGGTGAACGGAGCCCGTGTTTCCAATGTGCAGGCAAGCCTGAAAAGGCCACAGAAGCACCCGACTTGCAAGTCCACCTGTGTCCCGGCCGGTTCCCATCCCTCCGCACAGGCCCAAGCCCGGAAGTCTGCTCTTGGGATTCAGTTTAAAGGCGGGAGCAAGGAAGGGGAGGATAGAATCAGGCCTGCCATCAGTACAGCTGCTAGTGGGGCATTGCGCAACACCGCCCAATCAAAAGCGGGTCTAGAAAAGTAATCCCGTAGATAAGACCCCGCCTCCCTAGCGGACCAACCCCGGAAAAAAAAAAAAAAAAAATCCCCGGGTCGCTTCTCCAATAGGAAAAAAAGCCGCACGATCATGGCTGACCAATCAGAGCAACAGACAGCTATTCAAGCTGGCCAATGAAAAAAGTGAGGGGCGGGGTCAGGCTCTGTTGCTGGGTAGAACAGAAAACTAGGCCCAGGCGGTAGTTTCTGGGTAGCCAATTTGCCACTGGCCGCGAAAACAGCGGCTTTGCACCAGCCAGCCCACGGGTTTGTCTTCCGTGGCTACTCTCAGAAGCCGCAGTCACAGAATAAGGGGCCATCGAGTGAGGCCCTGGGAGGCTGCGGTCATTAAGAGGGAGCCGGAAGTACGGCGATTGTGGGCGGGGCTCCGGGCGCGGTTGCGCAGATCCTACAACTGAAGTACGGAAAGGCTGGCGCGCTCACGCTTCCGTGCTACGAGGCACTTGAGCCACAGCCAGCGCTGTCCAGTCTGTTCTCAGTGCGCCTGTGCAGTAGTACTGCCTGCGCGGATTGGTGCGCGTCGCCGGACGGGAGGGGCGGAGGGGTGAGCGAACTTGGTTGTCCTAGGCGCGCACCCGCCCGCGGTCGGCTACCCGGGGTCTAGAAGGGAGGCTGCGCCCCATTGCGCTGTTTGGGGCTCGGTGAGCCGAGAGGGGAGGGAGGAGGGAGGCCTGCGAGGCCTTCCCCGCGGCGTGCTTGCGCTCGCTCGCTCGCGCGGGCTCAGGGCTGGCGCGGGAGGCGGAGGCGGGCGGCGGCGGCGCCTGCGCGGTCGGGCTCGGTCGGCAGTTCGCAGGGGAGGAGGCGGCGGGAGGCGGAGGAGGCGGCGGCGGTGATGGAGGTGAAGCGGCTGAAAGTGACCGAGCTGCGGTCGGAACTGCAGCGGCGGGGCCTGGATTCGCGCGGCCTCAAGATGGATCTGGCGCAGCGGCTGCAGGAGGCGCTGGATGCTGAGATGCTCGAGGACGAGGCCGGCGTTGGCGGGGCCGGGCCCGGTGGGGCCTGCAAGGCGGAGCCTCGGCCTGTGGCCGCGTCGGGCGGAGGCCCGGGCGGGGACGACGACGACGAGGAGGACGAGGAGGAGGACGAGGAGGAGGACGAGGAGGCGCTGCTTGAGGACGAAGACGAAGAGCCACCTCCTACCCAGGCTTCGCGCCAGGCCGCGCAGCCACCTCCCGAGCCCCCGGAGGCGGCGGCCATGGAGGCCGCGGCCGAGCCCGATGCTTCCGACCAGCCGGCGGAGGCCGTGGCCGGGTCAGGTGGAGTAAATGGTGGTGAAGAACAGGGCCCCGGCAAGGGGGAGGAAGACGAGCCAGAGGAGCGGAGCGGAGACGAGACGCCGGGATCCGAGGCCCAGGGTGACAAGGCCGCCGAGGAGCAAGGTGAGGATCTGGCAGCGGCAGCCGTGCGTCCCTGATCGGCACCCCACCCTGCACCGCACGGTTTGATCTGTCGTTCCCACTTGCCCGAAAGTGCACTATACCCATTGCTATGTCGGGGAGTCCCCGGGGGAAGTGGCTGTCCTCCGCTGTCCACCTTTTAGAGGGCTCTGGGTACCTCTGTGACTCCACTGTTTGCAGGAGGGAGATTCCTGCTCAACTTGGTTCTTTGGTACTAGAGCTTGGAAGTGAGTGATAATTTTCGTATGTGAATTGCTTTCGATCTACCTGTGGAGCTGTCTTCTGGTGCACGCCCCCCGCCCCTTTACCTGAAAATATGCCAAAGAACTGGCAATTTACCGGAACCGCTAGACCCAACAGTTGGAGGCTTAGTTAGGCTTTTGGCCTACCCGACTGTTGATCTCTTACCGTAAAAATATTAAGCAATAAACGGTCGTGAAAGGCTGCTCCGTCAAAAGCACGTTATTAGAGCTTAGGCCACACGGAAACTGCCTGTCTAACCTTGCTCCTGCTTGAGCGGGCGGGCGCGGGGGGGGGGGGCACGACAGTATCTAGTGTAAGCATGTCGGGTTTAATCATTAACTATCGAAGAGAAAGTCTTAAATTGGTACATTTAGAACAGGTTACTTGACCTGGGCTCTGGCTTTGTGTTATCTTTAAATTTTCCGAGAGTCAGTAGGTGATCGTGTTTATAGATTTGCTGAATCCTTAACTTATGCTAGCCTTTTACAGTTCAGGCATGTAACTTCCTGAACTGCAACGATTGAAGCGCTCTGCCGGGTCCATTGAATACCTTGTGGTAGAGAATGTGTAGCGACTCCCCTGGGGAGTGACCTTTCTTTTGATGTGATTGCATGGGTAGAGCTAATCCATAATAGAATCTCTCAGAATAGGGAGGGGGCAGGAGAGCTGCTTCTGAATCTCACTTTAAAATGCTGTCTTTCTTTTTTTAGGTTTCTAGTGAGTGTCATGTAGTTAGAGTTTATTTTACAATAATCACATACAAATTTTAGAATTTTTTTTTTTGTCTGATGTCTGGAACAAAAATCCTATTACATAACCTTTGACTTTGTGTAACCCACATAGATTAAAAAAAAAATTGAAGGATAAGTGAGTAGTTTAAAATTGTTATTAAAAGCCTTCTTAGGTGTCAAAATATAAAAGCTTAAGGGAAAACTCCATGTTTTATTCCTCTTGTAAAGAATGTTGCTAAATATAATACAGCAACACCTTCCTGCTCCAAATTGCATGCAGTAGAGATGCAGTATTATTTATGGGTCTCTTGTGACTTAATGGTTTGCTCTTGGAACTTTAAGTTATAAAGTTCCAGTTAAAAATACTGCTGTGTATCATGCACTTGAGTCCATTTGTCATATATGCAGAAAAGGCAAACTTTTAAAAAATATATTATTTTTGTTTTATGTGTACGAGTGTATTGTCTGTATGTGTTTAAGTGCACCCTTGTCATGCAGTGTTGGTGCAGGTCAGAAGAAGGTGTCAGATCCCTGGAACTGGAGTTTACCGATCTTTGTTAGCCACCGTGTGGGTGCTGGGAATTGAACCCTGGTCCTCTGTAAGAGCAGCCAGTGCTCTTAGCTGCTGAGCCATCTCTCCAGCCCCTTATTTTTATTTTATGTGTATGAGTGTATTGTCTACATGTGTGTAAGTGCACCTGTGTTGTGCAGTGTCCCCAGAGGTCAGAAAAGGGCATCAGAACCCCTGAAACTGGAGTTAAAGGAGGTTGCTAGCCGTCATGTGGGTGCTGGGAGTCAAACCCGTGGCCTCTGCAAGAGTTGTTGGTGCTCTTAAAAACCCTGAGCCATCTCTCCAGCCCTGAAAGGGCAAACTTTTAAAGAAAATTTGAGGCTTCTGTGTTACTAAGCTGTTGAAAAGTGTTAGTGTATAGGCATTAAGTACTTCCCTTAAATTTAAATCTGACAGGAATTGAAATTCAATTGTGAATGTGGTTTTGTTTGGTTTGGTTTGGTTTTTTGGTCTCCCTGTAGCCCCAGCTGCCCTGAAACTCACTTTGTAGACCAGGCTGGCCTTGAACTCATAGAGATCCACCTGCCTCTGCCTTCCAAGTGCTGGGATTTTTTTAATTTTTTTTTTTTTAAATTTGGGGTGGTTTTTGTTTTTCGTGGGTGGTTTTGCTTTGGGTTTTCTGAAACAGGATGTGCCTGTAGACCCAGCTGGTCTCCATCTCAGAGAGATTTGCTGTCCTTTGCATTCCCAGTGCTGGCCTTAAAGGTGTGCACCACCATACCTGGCTTTCTTAAAAAAGGATTTAAAGGAGACTTTTCTGTCATATTAGAGGGAAGATCTACAGGTTTGGCCTCATTCAAGGTGATAAATTTAGAATGGAATTGTCCAATTTTTTTCCCTATTGCTTGACTGTAATTAGTCCATAATGCCCGTCTGAGAGTCTTAAGCAAGGAAAGGAAGATGGTATTTAGAAATATAGTGTTATTATAGATACAGTATGTTTCAATCAGACCTCAGAGTCCCATATTGCTTAACTCTGTTGGTTCTGAGCTTATTCTACTCTCCAGTATACAAAGTGCTGATTTTCTTTCCCTCCTTTTTGTAGGAGATGACCAAGATAGTGAAAAGTCAAAACCAGCAGGCTCAGATGGTGAGCGGCGGGGGGTAAAGAGACAGCGGGATGAGAAGGATGAACATGGCCGAGCTTACTATGAATTCCGAGAGGAGGCTTACCACAGCCGGTGAGGGGAACAGTCCCTTGAAGGGAATGTCTGCTCTGATTTTGGTGTACCTGGTATTGATTAGAGAGTCTGGAAGGAGGGGTGGATTGAAATATGGAATAGGTGTTTACAGGCTTAAGGTTTAGAGTAAATAAATATACTACAGAAACTCATATTGCCTTTGCTCATTGATTGAAAGAAGCTGTCTGCTGGAATTTGATAATTCACTGGTAGTTAAAAATGGACAATGCCGTGCAGACACCTTTCAAAGAAGGTGGCTTTGGTTATATTGTATTTGCTTTCCTCTCCTACCTGTAGCTCAAAGTCTCCACCACCTCCAGAAGAAGAAGCAAAAGATGAAGAGGAGGATCAAACTCTTGTTAACCTGGACACGTGTATGTATGAGGCATTATTTTTTTTGGCGGGGGAGATAGAGTCACTGAGTCACCCAGGCTGGCCTTGACCTTGTGATCCTCCTGCCTTAGCCTCTGGTGTGTTCTCCTAAAAGTGACTTTCTAGATTAAAACTTCATGGCCTGAAAATTCTAAGAGATTTTCTGTCTATTCTTGAAAACTGTATGTTATGGCACTCTGTTGGTACCTTTCAAGGTGGGGCATTGCAGTTATATCTTTCTTTTCTAACAGATTCCTCAGATCTCCATTTTCAAGTGAGCAAAGACCGCTATGGAGGCCAGCCACTTTTATCAGAGAAATTCCCTACCCTTTGGTCTGGTGCAAGGAGTACTTATGGAGTGACAAAGGGAAAAGTATGCTTTGAGGCCAAGGTAAGGCTTGTTAAGACCGCTCTTAATTAAACTGCATTGGACTCCTTTCCATCAGTTTAGAAAAAGGCATCCCACTTTAAAACACCCTTAACTCTGAAGAAGAAATCAACCCACATGCCTTTGCTTTGTTTTCTTGTGTATTTTATAATGCTGGGTATTGAACCCTGGGCCTTTTGCATACTAGAGCAGTGTTTCCTTACTGAACTACATACATCCCCAGGGGCCATAGCCTTGTTTCCAATTTAGTGAAAGTTGTTTTTCTGATGAGCTATGATAGTTTTTGTTTGTTGTTTGTTTGTTTTTTCAGTTTGTATAAAAATCTTGTCTTTGTAACTCAGACTTTGTTCCTGAGTTGGTCAAAGTAGCTAAGAATTCCTGTTCTGACTTGGCCAGGTAACCCAGAATCTCCCAATGAAAGAAGGCTGCACAGAGGTTGCTCTCCTGCGAGTTGGGTGGTCTGTTGATTTTTCCTGTCCCCAGCTTGGTAAAGTTATTTTGTAACTTCTTGTGTTTGTTACCATATTGTTTACTCTTTGGAGACTTTGCAGGTAGGTAACTGATTTGTTAACTATTCTAGGTGAAGATGAATTCTCTTATGGTTTTGATGGAAGAGGACTCAAGGCAGAAAATGGGCAGTTTGAGGAATTTGGTCAGACTTTTGGGGAGAATGATGTCATTGGCTGCTTTGCTGTAAGTGTTCCTGAAAATTATGGATTCTTAGCAAAGGGTGGAAAAAGGACTGGGAAGATTTGACTATGCTTCCCACCAACTACTGTCTTACTTAGTTTGATGCATGACCTTGGTTGAGTTGTGCAGTGGTCCCAACTATTTATTTATGTATTTATTTTTATATTGATTTGTGGTGAGGGGAGCATGCTAAGTGTATAAGTGAAGGTCAGAGGACGTTTGTGAGAGCGACCTTTCTCCTGCCATGTGGGTTTGGAGAATCAAACTCAGGTCCTCAGACTTGGCAGCATGTGCCTTTACTCACTGAGCCATCTCTCTGGCCTTTCAATGTTTTTTAAAAGATACATTTTTTATTTATGTGTGTTTTGTGTGTGTGCAGAGGCCAGAAAAGGGATTAGATTTCTTGGAGCTAGAGCTATAGGCAGTTATGAGATGCCTGATGTGGGTGCTGGGAACTGAACTTGGGTCCTCTGGGAAAGCAGGAAGGTCTCTTACTACTGAGCCATCTCTCCAATCCAGCCTCCCAACTTTTAAAAAGATTAAGCTGTAATAGTTCATCATCTTCAAACCTGGTCAAGTCACTAATGCTTTTATGCTCCATCCCCACTCCCCTTACAGAATTTTGAGACTGAAGAAGTCGAACTTTCCTTCTCTAAGAATGGAGAAGACCTAGGTGTGGCATTCCGAATCAACAAGGAATCCCTGGCAGACCGGGCTCTTCTGCCCCATGTCCTCTGCAAAAATTGTGTTGTAGAATTAAACTTTGGTCAGAAGGAGGAGCCCTTTTTCCCACCACCAGAAGAGTTTGTGTTCATCCATGCTGTGCCTGTTGAGGAACGTGTGCGTACTGCAGTCCCTCCCAAGACCATAGAGGAGTGTGAGGTATGCCTAACAGTATGCAGTAATGTAAAGTTTTGTGTTTGGAGTAATGGATGGATGTATTCTTTGTGGTCTGTTCTCCAAGTACTATCAAACTTGAATGGGAAAAATATTTTCTAAAAATTGGATTTCATAAAATACCTTATTTTTAATTGCAATTCCTGATTCTTTTTACTTGCAGGTGATTCTGATGGTGGGACTACCTGGATCTGGAAAGACCCAGTGGGCATTAAAATATGCAAAAGAAAACCCTGAGAAAAGATACAATGTCCTGGGAGCTGAGGCTGTGCTCAATCAAATGAGGGTCAGTTGCTGGGAGGTGGAGGTGGAAGTAGGGGGTGGTTAGTTAGCTGTAATGTTTTCTCTGAAGGCACCAGGAACCTTCTATACCTGTCCTTGGGGAGGTAATATCTTTAAGGTGTCTAAGAACAAGGACCCCACACATGGAGAAATAGCTTTTTCCCCTGTATGTGTTGTAGATTTTACCCCCTTTGTTGAGTTGTCAGATTACTGAAAATGTACAGCCTGGAGTATATCTAGGTAGAAGATGGATATGGGTACTGCAGGATAGTTATAGTTAAAGCACTGCATTGAATCTCGGCTCTTTAACTTGCGGCATAACACCTTGTATTCATCTTGCTGCCTTCTTATGCTCATCAGACGAAGGGGCTTGAGGAGCCAGAGATGGACCCCAAAAGCCGTGATCTTTTAGTTCAGCAAGCCTCCCAGTGCCTTAGTAAGCTGGTCCAGATTGCTTCCCGGTCAAAGAGGAACTTCATTCTTGATCAGGTATTGTTCAAATATTCAAGAGGAACCTGGTTTTACAGGAGATCTAGAGATGAACATTTTGCATCTATTAAATCTTGGAGTCAAAGCAGTATGCATACGTAGAACTGAATTAAGAAATAGAGTTAGGTTCCCCTGATTATGACCATCATCTTGTTACTTGTGGTTGTAATGTCTTTGAACGTTACAAAGATATTTCTCAGCAGTGCTTACCGAGAGTGTACGGACTCAGATAAGAGAGGTGCGGGAAGGAGAGTTTGTTTGGATTTCTGAGTCTGTCACTGCCTAGATTTGTGGTCTTCAACCTCTCTAGCCTCAGTTTTCATGATATGCAAAATATTTGTCATGTAGAGTTTCAAAAATTAAAGAGTTGGGATTGTAGCCCACTAGTAGAGCCCATTCCTAGCATATGCAAAACCCTTTTTGATCCTGAGCACTATGAAATAATAATAGCAATTATTATTACAGGCAGTTGTGTATACCGACTTCTAATCCTGTGTCTCCATTGTAGAAGATAGTTTTCATTGAAGACCAGTGGTGATTTTTATTCCTAATCATGGTATTCCTATTACTAGTGTAATGTGTACAACTCTGGCCAACGGCGGAAGCTATTGCTGTTCAAGACGTTTTCCCGGAAAGTAGTGGTAGTTGTCCCTAATGAGGAAGATTGGAAGAAGAGGCTGGAGTTGAGGAAAGAAGTGGAGGGAGATGATGTGCCTGAGTCAATAATGCTGGAGATGAAAGGTGAGCTAACATTATACAGATTATTGACCTTGTCTTTGATTAGTGCACACCTTATTGGAACTTCTTAGCACCAAGAATGACTCTCCACATCCAAAGTATAAATCCAAAGAGAGGGCACAAGCACTTGTAAATAAGTGACCAAGCCGTGTGAACGGAGAAGCAGTAAAGCCCTTAATAAGATAGAAACAGGAAAGTAGCTGGGCATGGTGGCACATGCACTTGAGATACTGAGACAGAAAGATCATGAATTAGGAGCAAACCTGGACTATATTATGAGACCCTTAGGTGGAAGTAGGCATTGTGGTATATGCCTGTAATCTTGGCACTTAGAAGGTAGAAGCAGAGGGATAAAGAGTTCAAGGTCATCCTTGGCTACATAGGGAGTTACAAGGTCTGTCTGAATAACCTGTGAGCCTATCTCAAAATAAAAAGTGAAAGTAGTGATAAGCAGCAAGATGTGTAAACCCAAACAAGCTAATTAAAACAGAAGGAAGGGGCTTCTTTGAGTCATTTATTTATTTATTTTTAAATATTTTATTTATTATTTTCATTTCACATGTATGTGAGTGCACCCGTGTTATGCAATGCGGCAGAGGTCAGAAGAGGGTTTTGGATTCCCCTGGAACTGGAGTTAAGGATGGTTCGTAGCTGCCATGTGAGTGCTGGGTATTGAACCAGGGTCCTCTGCAAGAGCAGTCAGTGCTCTTAACCGCTGAGCCATCTCTCCAGCCCTGAGTCAGTTATTTGTTAAGTAAATATTTACAGTGTGTCTTAATTTGCCCAGCACTGCCCTAGACATAAGGAAATGTGTCCTAGACACATGAAATGAAGCTCCACCTTAGTACATATTAAAATTAAGGTCTGTACTCCATGAAAATGGCAAGGGTAATTGTTAGGGTTCAAATTAAACATGGTAGTTGGGGTAACTTTACTGTATCTTGATTTCTAGAATGATATTAGGTTTGTGTTTTGTTTTCCTTACTGCTTATGTTATTGATTTGTTTTGATAATTAAACAAAATCATTGAACACATTATGAAACCTGAGGATAATGCCCACACAAAGCAGTATTAACTGTGTTGACTGGTCTTGCTTTGTGCTGTTCCCTTGGTTGTGTTTTTCCTGTTTCCTTTAGTTCATGGCATCCCACTAGCCCTGTCAACTGCTGGTTCTTCACACCGACAGTCCCTGGCCATGGGTACTTACTTCCACATAAGCATGAGCTAGGGCTTCCGAATTTATACAGAATGGATTATGCCAGTCCATAACTGGTACTCAGTTACTTGGAGGAATTTAGTGCAGTTTCATAAAATAGGGGTAGCTGGATTCCTCGGAAAATCATGATAGCCTCCTTGAAATAGGTTCCACTGGGACACAGCCTGTGAAATTGATGTCCAGATACTGACAGGTGTGCTTGACCAACATCATGTATAACTGATAATGAGAGGTCTTTTAGAGGGCTGATCTTGTAGAGATATAGGTGATTGGAGCCTCTGTGTGTGTGTGTGTGTGTGTGTGTGTGTATGTGTGGTGCTGGAGAGTGCCTTATGCATGCTGGGCCAGTACCCTATCACTGATCTATATGTACAGGATTTTAGTTCCTAAAAATGTTACTTATCAGGGCTGGAGAGATGGCTCAGCGGTTAAGAACACTGTTTGTTCTTGAAGAAGACCCGGATTTGAATCCCAGCACCCACATGGCAGCTAACAACTGTCTGTAACTCTAGTTCCAGGGAATCCAACGGCCTCCTCTGTCCTCATGGGCATTGCACGGCATGGGTGCACTTACCTATATGCAGGCAATACACTCATACACATAAAATAAAAATAATAAAATAAAAATATTACTTATCTAAGCAACACCAAAATTTTCTCAGTTACATTGAGCCTGTTTTACTTGCTTCCGTTAAGAAACTTTAACCCAGCCGGGCGTGGTGGTGCACACCTGTAGTCCCAGCACTTGGGAGGCAGAGACAGGCGGATCTCTGTGAGTTCAAGGCCAGCCTGGTCTACATAGTTCCAGGACAGCTGGAGCTACAGGGAGACCCTGTCTCAAAAAGAAAAAAGGAAAAAACCCAAAAAGAAACCTTAACCTAGCTTACTGTTAATTTATTATGGGTCTCTTGAGAACTTGTAAGTCTAGTTTTCACATAGCCCTGTGGGGGTAGTTACAATATAGGGAATACTTGGGTTAAAGAAAATATGCTGCCAGGCATTGTGGAACATGCCTTTTATCCCTAGTCCAGCTCCTGGAAGGCAGAGGCAGGAGAATCACTTGAGTTTGTGGCCAGTTTGGTCAACATAGTGAGTTTGAGTTCTGGGTCAACCAGGGCTACATGGTAAGACTGTCTCAAAAAATTTGAGCAAAGCACTTTTTTTTTGCTTTGCTAAGTGAAGCTTAGCCAGTGTTAGGCACTCACTCCTATAACCCTAGCACTTAGGAAGTTAAGAGAAAGAAAACTAAAAAGAAAAGTTGGTGTGGTAGCACAGGACTGTAAATGTAATCTAGCATTCAGAAGACAGGGGCAAGACAATCTGAAACTTGAAGCCAGCCTGGGATACATGAAACTCCATGTCAAAAAGAAAAAAATCGGGCTGGAGAGATGGCTCAGCTATTGAGTACTTTCGTCAGCATGAAGACTGGCATTTGGATCCTGGAACCCGTGTAAGAAGCCATCGTGCTTGTAACCCCAGCACTGGGGTGGGGATTGAGACAGGAAGATCGTTGGAGCTTGCCACTGCAAGCCTCACTTGAAAAAGTACAAGTTCCAGATTCCGTGAGAGACCCTGCCTCAAAAGGAATAAAGTGACCTCCACTTGCGCATCTGCTCATACACGTGCATTCACCACAATAAAACACATGCAAAAAAAGTGAAAACAAATCTGGAGTGATGCCTTGTGCCTCTCATTCCATCACTTAGATATGAGAAGTTAAGGAGTTTGAGGCCAGTCTGGGCTATATAACAGACAGTCTCAAATGCCAAAAACAAAAACTTGAGGATACAGGAGCTAGAGAGGTGGCTCAGTGGTTAAGAGCACTCTTCTGACCTCTGTGGGCATTGCACGACGTGGATCCACTTACATGCAAGCAATACACTCCTTTACATAAAATAAAAATGAAATACATTTTTTAAAAAAGCCGGGCGTGGTGGCACACACCTTTAATCCCAGCACTTGGGAGAGGCAGAGGCAGGCAGATCTCTGTGAGTTCAAGGCCAGCCTGTTCTACGTAGTTCTAGGACAGCTGGAGCTACAGGGAGACCCTGTCTCAAAAAAAAAGACCAAAAAACCCCCCCAAAAACAGCTGGGCATGGTGGCGTAATCCCAGCACTCAGGAGGCAGAGGGATCTCTGTGAGTTCAAGACCAGCCTGGTTTACATAATGAGTTCTAGGCCAGCTGGTGCTACACCAAAAGAAAAAAAAAATGACCTAGGCCTTGGGAGGCAGAGGCAGGCAGATTTTTGTGAGATCGAAGCCAGCTTGGTCTACATAGTAAGTTCTAGGCCAACTGGAGCTGCAGGGAGACCCTGTCTCCAAAAGGCAAAAGAAAAAAAAAAACTTGAGGATGCAGCTTAATGAAAGAGCACTGCCCAGCCTGGCCTTGGGTTTAATTCCACCAAGCCACCAAAACAGTTATTAATGAAGTTTGCTTCCTGTGGTAGATTTTCATGAGTTCTTGCCCTGTCTGTGCACTTTCCAGGCCCACAAGCTTCTCTCTTATTCTTCTAGCCAACTTCTCTCTGCCTGAGAAGTGCGACTACATGGATGAGGTGACGTATGGGGAGCTGGAAAAGGAGGAGGCTCAGCCCCTTGTCACCAAGTACAAGGAGGAAGCCAGGAAGCTGCTGCCCCCCTCGGAGAAGCGGACAAACCGCCGAAACAACAGGAACAAGCGCAACCGGCAGAACCGAAGCCGAGGCCAGGGCTATGGTGAGTCCCGGGAACCTGCCAGCCCCCAGCCTCTGTCTGTTTTTTGTGCTGAGTAAGGAAAGGCCCAAGAAACCAGGTCACATCACAGTCAGCAAGTGCCTTCCTTATGGAGCTTGTTTCTTCTTGTGCCTGCTTCCTAGATTTTTCTGTAATCCGTCAACCTTTTAAAAAAGATAGTTACTTTTTAGTAAAAAGATTTGTTTCCTTGAAAAGCAGTATGACCTCCTCCTCTGTCTGGTTTTCAGGCTAGCATTGGGGTCCTCACTTGACTGCTGTCTCAGGAGGATTTGTGCAGTGAAGTCCAATTCTCATCTTTTTTTTATTCTTTATTGGATGGATCAGCCCAACTGTAGAGACCAAAAAGTGAATGTGTTATTTTCTTTACCCCAATACTTGAGGCCTTTTTAAGTTACAAAACAAGTTAGTCATTAGTGGAATTAATTTTCCCCTAATGTCTATGTCAGCTAGATCCTTAGTATGTGTGTGTTGCTCTTTAAAACTCTGTGTGTGTGTGTGTGTGTGTTTGTGTGTTTAAAACTGTAAATCAGCTGGATTTTAGTGCCAGCTATGTGTGGAGAGTGGGAATACCAACAGTTCCTAGTTTTGAGGAGTGTTGTGCAGATATTGTTTCCTCTGTGTACAGTGATGGGTATAGGCTACGTGCTACCTCAGATCCCTTCCAGGGCTGTCGGTCTGTGATCCTCTGAATGGCAGTTTTTACTCATGTTTCTAACTCTGCCATGTATTCTTTTGTCATCTTAAATGTGTTGCAGAATTGGGGAGCTTCAAAAGCAGGGTGGTTGGTTTTCTTGTGTCTGTTCCTCTGCCCTCCCCCTCAGACTCTTTTAATAAAAGATCCTGGCTGGTGCTTTAATTAACATTGTGTGAGCCTGGCCAAAGCAAGCCTCCTCCTCCCCTAGAATTGCCTTTGGCTCCAACTTTTTGATTTCCACTCAGATGTGGAGCCAGGACCCCATGCCAGCTGTCTGAGCGCGCTCTCCATTTCTCTTCCAGTGGGCGGGCAGCGCCGAGGCTACGACAACCGGGCCTACGGGCAGCAGTACTGGGGGCAGTCTGGAAACAGAGGGGTGAGTGCAGCTCTCCTTCTGCTCCTCCCTCTGGGCTGTGAAGCCATTCCTATTGGCTCTGGGGAGCAGAGGGGCTTGGGCTGTTTTCTTAGGGCTTTAGGGTTTTGCCCACTTAATGTTCATCTGGAAGAATTTAACTTGGGAAACGAATTTACCCTGTTTGTAGTATCAAAATAAGATATATCTTATTTAATACTGGGTAACAGTGGGTCATGCTCCTGAAAACCTACAGTCTTTACCACTCTTCTCCTTTCTCAGGGCTACCGTAATTTCTATGACCGATACAGGGGAGACTATGATCGATTCTACGGGCGAGATTATGAGTACAACAGATACAGAGATTATTACCGACAGTACAACCGGGATGTAAGTACGACCCGGTGGTAGAGGGGGGCGACTGGATGGATGAGTGTCCTGCCTCTGTATTTGCAGCCCACTGGCTCTTGAGTGATGGGTTTCCCTCTCTTCTAGTGGCAGAATTACTACTACCACCACCCGCAGGACAGAGACCGATACTACAGGAACTACTACGGCTACCAAGGCTATCGGTGAAGCCTCTGCCGTTGTCGCCTGTCAGCCATGAAGCTGAGTCTCTGGGGGTGCCAAGCACCCCTCAAAACACAACCAAGGAAAACAGGGGCTGTCGGGGTGGGGCTGAGCTGCTGGGGAGGGGTGGTTGGGGGGAAAAACGGAAACAAACAACAAAACTGTACATTTTTTTTAAAGTTTGTTGAAAAGAATATTGTCTTATTCTATAAAACATTTCAAACCTAGTTAGGTATTTGTAATCAAAAAACATTTGCGCAGAAAGCAGCACTTAGGGCTGCCTGTTCTGTACCCTGCAGTTGACAGGAAAGGATCTGAGAATGTTACCCTTTGATGTTCTAAGGCAGCTGGACTGGTAGCCCAGTGAGGGAGCGTGGCGTGGGGAAAGGGGAGCAGCATGAGAGTACTCTCCATAGCAGGTAGGAGCAGGCAGGGGTGGGGACAGGGAGCGCTTGTGACCCGGGCAGTGAAAATAAACGATTGGCTCTTATCAATCACTTGCACCAACTAACGGTTTGTATTTTCTTTACCGACCTTTCCCTCTTGGGATATTTGGTCTGTTAGGCTGGGAGGTCAAAATATCCCAATGTCCACCTCGCTGTGCCTTTGTGCTATCTGGCTAATGCACAGAGACCACTAGTTGGGTGGTTCTGATACATAGGATTCCCAGGCCAGGGAGGTATGAGGACTGTTGTGAACTGCAGAGCAGAATCGCTTGCCCCCTCTATATACTTAGTAATTCCCATAAACTTGGGGAGAGTAGGATCGCAGCCCTCAGTCTGAAGATTGTGATTTGCCAGTCCCTAGTCTCTGTCTTCCAAGTTGAGAGAGGCGAGAAGTCTCTGAAATCATCTGCTAAGAGGGTCTGTCTCTTACAGTGTGAGGGAAGGAACGATTCTCAGGGTTTCAGCTCACAGAAATGCAGCAGGACGCTGTTCACTGCGTCAGGATATGTATATAGGTGAATCCTGTGGTGTGGGCTGCCAGGCCCAGGTGCTGAGCATAGCAAACTATTTTATACAGTGTGGGGATCTGCCCTGCTGGGTTTTTTTGATACACAGGTAGAGTGATTAGAAAAGGGGGTGGGGGGTGGGAGGCAGCTCTGTGGGGCTGCTGAAACTTGGGAAGAGTGTGTGAATGTGTGTGCATGTGTGTGTGAGAGGGAGCACCCCTTCCCAACTTGTTGAAACAGGATTCCTTCTGGGGTGCTTCACTGCATGTCCCCTGAGAGGCCTCTAGCCAAGAGACTTCATTTGGGATCATTGAGCTAGTAATGTTACCAACACCCTCCCAGTTCTTGACAAAACAGCTGCATGGTACTAAGTTCAAGAATGTGGGTATGCCAGGCGTGGTGGCGCACGTCTTTGATCCTAGCACTCGGGAGACAGAGGCAGGTGGATCTCTGAGTTCAAGGCCAGCCTGGTCTACATAGTTCCAGGACAACTGGGGCTACAGGGAGACCCTGTCTCAAAAAGACCAAAAAAAAAGATTATGGGTATTACAGGGGAGAGCTCTGTGAGTGTTCAGTTTTATTTCCATCGTCATCTTGCTTAACATTGTGTTATCAGAGTTCAGCAACACCGCACTCCAGCACTTCCTAGTGAACACTCTCTCACCTGAGCAGTTCTCCTTTAAAATTTTGTGCTGAGGTTTGATCTTTCCCTCTCCCAGTAGCCTTGCTGTGCAGTGCTTCTCTAGATATGCAAACCCTCCTTTCGACCCTCTGGTCTGTTAGGACACACCCTCCTACTCAAGCACCTTCCCCCCTCCTCCCCAGGTTGGAACAGGGGCTGGTAGGAGATAAGTTTGCTTGCTCATAGTAATGTGTCTTCTCTTGCACCTGCCCCTTGTGGTGGTGCCATCAAATGGCTTGTGTGTGGCAGTGGGTGCAGTGATTGCATGAATCTTCTATAGCTCACTAACATTGTTAAGGCAGTTTAAGAAAGCTGTGTTCATAATGTCAGGGCAAAAAGGTAAAAAACTGAAGCCCAAAGAAATTTCCTTAGGATAAGATTATGTTATAATAGAAAAGCAAGTCTCCTGAGGCAGAGGGTCCCTCCTTTCTTCCCCTCTCATGTTCAGTCCTCCAGAAAATCTTTTTATAATTTGTGACATAGATTGTGGATGGTCGGGCCCTTAGTCAGGGGCATGAGCATGACATAGGTTTGGGGAAGCAGTGCTTTGAGAGTATACTTGCTATTGATTTTTAACACTAGAAGGATCATCTTTTTAAAACTGCTCGCTTTGGCAGCATGTGTACTAAAATTGGAACCATACAGAGAAGATTAGCATGGCCCCTGCACAAGGATGACACGCAAATTCATGAAGTGTTCCATATTTTTAAAAAACCAAAAAAAAAAAAAAAACATATATGTAGAGAGATGCTGTTTTTTTCTAGGTGAGTGGAGAATAAAACTGCCGCGTCCTTGTTGGTTCTGGCCCAGAAGTCTCTTGCAGCAACAGTGGATGTCTGAGTTTTGTTTCTGTCTTGTGTTTTAATCACAAAAAAAAATGTTACAGTGTGGGGGGGTGAATTATGGTAACAGGAGGGCTCCCCTGGCTTTGTTTCCTTAGAAGACTTGTTTAGTGTTTTATCAGATGTCTGTTGTAGTTGTAGATGGAAAAACTTGTGAGAAAAACAAACACCACATGGAGCCTGTAAATGTTTTTGCACAACCTGTAAAGCATTCTTGGAAGTGGCCAGTAAAAAAGGGTTTACCATTTTAAAAAATGTAACTGTGTCATTGTTTACATCTGTAACTCTTTTCTTCCCTTGTTCTCATTACACCATTCTGGCAAAAAAAAAACAAAAAACAAAACATATATATATATATAGGCTCAGTAGTTTTCAGTTTTAGAATAAATAACCATTTGGATGGAATTTCCCTATCTTCTGTGGCTGCACAAAGTGGGGTGGAGTGGGTCATGGGATGTCTATTTTATGTATTCTTTTTTTGAGATTTTTGTTTGAGACAGTATCAGTACGTACCCCAAGGTGGCATAGAACTATTTATGTATTTGTTTTTATTTTATGTGTTTGAGTGTTTTGAATGCATGTATCTAAGTGCACCCATGTCATGTAGGGCCCGTGGATGCCAGTAGAGGGTGTCAGATCCCCAGGAGCGGGAGATAGAGATGGTTGGTTGTTAGCCAACATGTGGGTGTTAAATCACTGACCCATCTCTCCAACCTCCAGCCCAGAACTCTTGATCTGGCCTCCCGAGTGCTGGGATTATATATGTGCACCACCATACCCAGTTTATTTATTCACCTATTTTTAAATTTTATTATTGGCATATGTGTGTGTGCATGATGTATGTGTAAGCACCCATGTGAAAGGAAAAATTGTGGAGTCCTCCTTCCTTTATGCGGGTTCCACGGATCAAACTTGGGTTGCCGAGCCTGCTTTACCTACTGAGCCACCTTACCAGTCCCTTCTGTTTTTTAATGTTTAAATGTAAGGTCCTGTTTATGAAAGCCATTAAGTTTATTCCTGAATAGTTATTACCTAGGAGGAGTTCTTCTCGTTCAACATTAGATATTGTTGATTTAAAGATTAGATATCTTTAAATTACCTTTTTAGCCTGGTGGGGGTCATTTTGCAATGAATTTGAAGAATGAAAGTAACATTTAACAAAAACATTGTATTACTGGTACTGAACAGACCATAGGCTTGTGGCGCGCTGTGTTCTGGGTGGTGCTGGTGTAGGCACTCTTGAGCGCCTCCCCTCTATATGTGAGAAACATTCAGATTCTAGGCCATAAATGGTATGGATTTTAGTCACTGCCTTTGTGTGTGTGTGTGTGTATTAGAAGAAATCAAACCCAGGGTTTGTATATGTTATTAGAACTTTTTTTGTCTTTTGAACAAGGTCTTGTCTAGGCTACCATCACAACTGGCTCACTAGGCAGATTATCATGGTTCTCTAAAGGAACAGAGCTGATAGAATGAAATATATATTATATAGATTTGATTTATTAGATTGGTTTATGTGCTGTGAACCGGGTAGTCTTAACAATTGCTGTCTCACAATGGAGACACAGAGAATCCAGTAGTTGCTTAATCCGCGAGACTGAGTGCCTCAGCAATATCAGTCTGTCGCTGAAGGCCCAGAAGACTTCTGGAAAGGTGCTGGTCTTCAGTCTATGTTGGAACCTGAAGAATTTAGTTGAATATCTATAAATGAATGTCACAGCAACAGGATGGATAACTCTCCAGTGAGAGGGAAGGCAAGCAAGCAACAAGCAGAAGCTCCTGCCATGTCTTTATTTATTTATTTATTTATTTATTTATTTATTTATTTATTTATTTATTTATTTATTTATTTATTTTTTGGTCTGGGCTGCCACCAGAAGGTGCTGTCCATATTTAGGGTAGGTCTTCCCACTTCAGATAATCTAATTAAGAAAACCCACAAGAACGCCCAGCAGCTTGTGTTTTAGTTGATTCCTGATCCAGTCAAGTTTCAATCAAGACTGGCCATCACACTAAGGCTCTTTATCTTTTTAGCCTGGTGGTAGTACATGCCTTTAATCCCACCCGCCAGAGACAGATTTCTGAGGTCCAGGCCAGCCTGGGATGGCCTATATAGCAAGTTCCACACCCTGTCTCAAAACAATAAATTACCTTTTTGAACATTTTATATGTATATATAGGTGGGCATCCATGTGTCAGCACACCTATGGAGGGCAGAGGACAACTTTCTGGACTCTGTTCTCTCTTGCCACAGTGTGGGTCCCAGGGATTGAATTCAGGTCATCAGACCTGATAGCAGGTGCTTCTACCCATTGAGCAATCTCATTGGCCCCAATCACTAGCACATTTTAAGCTTGGTGATAATGCTTAAGTAGGCCACTGTCAGGCATGGTGGAGCATGTCTGTTACTCAAACACAGAGGCTGAGGCAGGAGGCTCACCAGAGTTCAAGGCCAGTAAGTTCCAAGTCAGCCTGGGCTATAGAATGAGACTCTGTTTCAGAAAAAAAAAAAATGGCTGTATGTTTGTAATCTCAGCACTTGGGAGTTGGAGGCAGGACGATTAGGAGTTCAGACCCTGTCTCAAAAAAATGGTGATGGACCGACCATCCCTCAGCCTTAAGTATTTCTGATGGCAGTAGTTCATGCCTTGTCTGTAGTAACTGCTAAACCCTGTTTTCTCCCCAACCAGGTTACAGTTAGCACATTCACTTCTAATTTGATGGGTATCAAAATGTGAAGATAAAAAAGCAGCTTACCAAGTCTGAGCTGGTACAGAAATATTTTAATACCCTGGTATTTGCCCAACAGTTAAGCAGTAGGAAAAGAAAGGATTTTTCTTTGCTGCTATTCTCTGTACCATTTAAGCATGTACATATACATTAGGTATTTGAGTCTGCTGCATGCTAGGTATATGAGCATGCAGGGTTTACAACAATGGTCATTCCTGGAGTTTTCACAAGTACCCAAAAAGAAGAAACTAAGCAGATTCCTCAACAGAATGGGGTTTGGTCCCCACTCTTGGAGGGCAAGCAGATTAGTGAAATGATGCTACTCCTAAAGGTATTCCAAGTTTGTTAGGATTGAGTACCCTTGGAGTCAATGAAGACATCCTTAGGAGGCTAAGTTCAGTTACTGGTAGAAGACTTTATTTTGGTTTCATGTTTTACTGAAATCACACGATATAGAAAATCTTTGGTGTGCGTGGTATATGCTTGTGTGTATGGTGTATGACTGTGTGCAGGTGCACTTCCTTGTGCACCTAGGAAGGACAGATCTCTGTCAGTTGTCTTTATCACTTCATTTTATGTCTTGCCTGCATTCAAGTGCACGGCGTGTGCAATGCCTCCAAAGGTCTGAAGAGGGCATCGGATCTTCTGCAACTGGGGTTAAGGATGGTTGTTAGCTGTTGTGTGGGTGCAGGGAACCTGGCTCTTCTGCAAGAGCAGCCAGTGCTCTCTAATCACTGCTGAGCCATCTCTCTAGCCCCCTCCACCTTATTTGAGACAGGCTCTCTTAGTGAACTCCAGCTCACCACTGAGCTAAGGGGATCTGCCTGTCTCCACCCTCTCATACATACTCTGACCCAGCACTGAGGTTACAGATTGTGGGTACTAGGGATCCAAAACCCAGGTCCTCATCTTGTATAGCAAGCCCTTTACCCACAGAATGATCCCTAGCCCTTATTTTTTTGACTCAGAAAGGATCACACATAGCCCAAGCTGACCTTGAACTCCTGGTCTACCTCTTATATACTGGAGTCTACGGTTTGTTTCTTTTTAATTTGTGTTGTGTATGTGTGTGAGTTACAGGCTGTGTGAGGTCAGAGGACAACTCCAATTGGTTCTGTTGCAATACCTTGTAGGATCCAGGGAAGAAACTCAGGTCATCAGGCCTGCCAGCAAGCCTCTACCCGGGTACCCAGTCTTTTTTCTTGACTCCAACCCTGCACCATGGTTTCTTTATTTCTCTCCCTTTGTCTTGGTGAAGGTATAGGAAAGCTGAGAGCTGGGGTGAGGCCGCCCCCAGAACATACAGGTCACTTCAGGCCTTCCAATTAGGCACAAATTTTGAGCTGGCTTTACCCGGAAGGATGTGTCCCTGAAGTTAGATCTTGACCCATGAGGAATAGAAACAACTGGGATTGTACGTTTAACTTGGCCCAGGTTCCACTGACACCTGCTTGCCCATGTTACAAAAGTGCCTCTAGGAGGCATTCTGACTCGAATAAGCCTTCTTCACCAAATCTTAATCCAGGAGGTGCTCATGAGACCTTCAGGCTCAGTTGTGGTCTCTGGCCAGACAGCATGCTAGGCTCATTAAAAAGAGTCTTAGGGGGCTGGAGAGATGGCTCAGGGGTTAACAGCATGCTCTTGCAGAGGACCTGGTTTGGTTCCCAGTACCCACATGGCTGCTAACAACCATCTATAACCCCAGTTACAGGGATCCAACACCTGGCCTCAGTGGGCATTACATGCACGTGTTGCATTTACATACAATGCAGGTAAAACACTCATACATGTAATACAAATAAAATTTTTAAAAAAACCTTAAAGCCGGGCGTGGTAGCGCACGCCTATAGTCCCAGCACTAGGGAGGCAGAGGCAAGGCCAGCCTGGTCTCCATAGTGAGTTTCAGGACAGCTGGGGCTACAGGGGTGCTGGGAATCGAACGGGGACCTCTGCAAGAGCAGTCAGTGCTCTTAACCACTGAGCGGACAGCTGGGGCTTCAGGGAGACCGTCTCAAAAAGACCAAAAAAAAAAAAATTTTTTTTTTCAAATTTTAGGCTGGGTGTTGTGCACACTTTTAGTCCCAGCACTCCTTAGGCCAGCCTGTTCCACATAGTGCGTTCCAGCCCAGCCAGTTAGACCCTGTTTCAAAAAAATGTGTTAGGCATTCTAAGGTTGAGGACCCCTTGCAGATGTACCTGAATCAGCTTGAGGAGATAAAAAGTCCCAATTCAACAAGGGAATGCAAATTGAAATACACTGTCCTGTATAGCTCCTGGATAGACTAGGAAATAAATGGCCAAGGAACCGTGCCCCAAGATGGACTGCAGCGCACACATTACTGCCCCAAAGGGAACCTCTACTTGAAACGATGTAGAGATTTAGATTTCTATGCTAAACCCACGCTGTGCTTCCCAGTCTCAGCGCTGCACGACTCGGAAGGTCGAATACAAGACCCCAGGGATGGGAGACGCAGGCTCCGGCAGGGGCAGCCATTTTAAGACCCGGGGAACACGGAAGAGACCATATTGGAAACGTGGGCTGCTTGGGGGCCGCCATTTTAAGAGCAGTGCTGTACGGCCAGCCGCGGCGCTCACGAGCGGCAGCCATCTTGGACCACAGCGGCGGGCACGGCCATCGCGGGCGCAGAGCCGCCCAGTCCCGCCCCTCCACCCTTCGGGGCGCCTCCGCCCAGGACGCTTCCCCCTCGTCTCCCCGCGAAGCCACCCATTAGGTCTGCGCTCTCGCCGCCTTCGGGGTGCGCTCGTGGGAAGGCGCCGTAGCGGCTGAGCGCTCGTGACAACCCCATGGGGGCGCTCGCGCGCACACCCCACCCTCGGCCATGGCCAACCGGCCTGACTGGCCCTGTGCCCTGGATGTGGCAAGTCTAGTGACTGACCATCCTCTTTCCCAAGAACGCTAACACAGAAGCTGTCTTCTGAGGCTCTGGATGACTTTATTCAAGTGGCGTTACACTTCCAGTAGCTCCAGGTGAGACTGAGAGCAAGCACCCAGGCATCCCTCTCTCCTTTGCCTGATCGGGTCACAGAGGGAGGCGGGCAGGGTCCCTCCGCCGGTGCAGTAAAGGTGCTTGGTCAGCCTCGGAGTGGGAGGAGGTGGGGTCGTTATGGTAAGAAGGGCCTTGTGCTTCCAATAATCCCGGGGTGAGGGTTGGGTAGGAAGGGCTGCTACAATTTCCGATCAAAGGGTGGACGGGGGTGGGGGCGAGGTGAGGAATTCCGAGGAGGCATAGGACCCCTCAGAGGAGGGCACAGAAGAACTTCTTCTCCCGGAAGGGGTTCTCCGAAGTGGGCACGGGAGTGATGAGGGGGTCCTCACAGGCGTGGGCATCACAGTAAGTCATCAGGTCCGCTGCTGCTTTGGACACCTGGGCACAGCCAGAAGGGAGGCGCATGAGCCCTAATCCCTGAGAGAGACTGCATTCCCCTCCCTATATCGGATGTCTTTTATCGTCTCTAGAGCGCCTGAGACAGTCTTCTCCCTCAGCCACACAGGCCTGGGACAGCTCTCTCTCCCGACTGAGCTCCCATCTCAGCCGACCTCAGGGAGCCAAGGAAAGAAGGCGCGCACACCTTTAATCCCAGCACTCGAGGCAGACGCAGATGGATCTCTTCTTGTGCGTTCCAGGCCAGCCTGGTCTACATAGGGTATTTCAGGCCAGCCAGGCTCACACAGTGAGACTCGCTCTCAAAAAAGAAAAAGCATCCTTTCAAGGTCTGTGTACCTACAGCACAGCACAAGGCCTGGTGAACTAATAGGAACAGGGACCCACCCACCTTGATCCGGCATAAACTGGCCTCGATCTTTAGCTGTTCCACCATCTTGCGTGCTTGGCCAATACTCATAGTGCTGTTCACAGGGGTCTCCCCTTTCATCCTGGAGAAAAGACAGACAACTCAGAGCACTGTCTCAGCCGAAGCACTCTATAATCTTCACCAACCTTACAAGGCTGGGGTAGTGCTCCTTATTCGGTCCCTCAGTTATCTCCATTTGCCAATGGCCTGTCTCATCTCTATTTCTCAGGGGGAAAAATGGAAAAGATGAGATGAATTGCTTTCCAAAATCCTGGGTCCTGGTCATCAAACTTTACAAATGATTTAAGGATTTTCAGTCTTTCAAGCCATGTGTGTTCCCAGCTCTGAGGCAGTCAGAAATGGCCCCACCCTGATGAATTCACATCAGCCACCTGTCCCCATAAGCCCCAGTGGGAGAGAAACAGGCTGTTCCTAACTCACCTGAAGTGACTGCAGCAGCACCAGCCTGGGGTGTAGGGTCAGTGGGGGGGCCACCAAACCCTGCCTCAGATAGGTGCCCCACCCTGCAGGGGCCTGCAACTGAAATTATCTGCTGCAATGGCAGCAGATGCAGAGAAGGTCACTGGAGGGTCAAAGCAGAGGTCCTTGGGGAGTGGTCTCCGTTTCTGCAGCTAAGCACTGTCCAGATGGCTGGTACCTAAGGATGAAGGATGCTAGGAGCAGCAGCTCCGATCTCGGAGCATACCAACTGCCTGGCCAGTGGGGGAGTCTGGCTGCTGCCTGCATCCCTGCGCACACCCCCACTGATACGGTCTCAGTACCTGCCCCTCCCCAATTGTAGGTGCCCTGAGTCTGAACTAGAGCCCTCCCCCAAAGGACCTGAAGTGGAAGAAGGCTCCCCCCCTTAAATGGGGTGGTCTAGACCTGTGACTGCCCCTCTAGTAGACTCTGTACTGGCTGGGGGCGGGGAACCCTGCTCATTTGAAAATCTGACATCAGCTGGTCTTTCGCCCCCCTCCTCCCTTCTCAACCCTGACACAGCACTTAGCACCTGAATCTTCATTTCTCTTGCAGTGACCCTCCATTCCTCAGATCCAGGAAAATGTGACGCGCTACAGGTGATCAACTTCTAGATCACCACTTTCTAACCAGTGACTCTAATGGAAGATCCAGGGGGAGCAGAGGTAGCCATCAGGAAGATGTCAAAAGAAATAACAGACCAAAAAGGGGCTGGGCGAAAGGAGGCCTGCAGAAACCAGATCAAAGGCTCAGACAAAGAGGTGAGGCGCCTGCGGGAGTTAGTGTAAATATTTTGAACAGAGGTGGGCTCCCTGGGATGGGGATGGGAGTGGCCAGCGGCGAGGCTGGGGAGGGGGAATGGGGTATTGATGTGAAATGTTTGTGTATTTTGAGTAGACTACGCGGCAATGGCCTTCCTCCTGAGAAGGACCTTATCTGGACTGATTAGACAGATATGAAGCAGAAGTTGTCACCATCAGAGTCTAACGTTTGATAGGGGTTCTGAGGTTGCCTGCATCCGCTTAGGGTCCCTAGAGCAGCTCAGAGCTGGAGACCGAAAGAAGGGCCGACATGTTGCTGCGCTTGACTGTGGTTAGCAGCCACCTGCGCAAAACTCTAGGCGCTCGGGTTTCCGAAGGATGCAAGATTCTCTGGGCGAATCCTTCCCCTCTGCTCCACCCACCTTGGCGGTCTACAGGTCCAAGGAGCTATGCTAGATAAAAAGCGGCGTCCATCTGGTCGCCTCCATCCCTGCCTCCACCCGGGGTTCCAATTTCTGGGGTTAAATGGCAGGTGGTGAAGGTATGGGCGGAGGGCGGGGATTGCAGCTTCCAGAGGCGGACCAAGAGAATGCTACTGAGTCACAGCATGCCCCGGGCCTGGATGCACGGGGCGCGGGTGGGGGGAGGGGCGCCGGGCCCCTCTGGTTACTGTGACTGGGGAGTAATGGGCTTTTGGAAGGGACTCGGGAAGCCGAAACTGGAGCGGGGCGGGGCCCAGACCTTTTTTCCCCCCTCCACGGCTGCCCAGGCAGCTGACGGAAAGGGGCGGGGCTTCTCTGGCTTGCGGATATCCCTTCCCGGGTTGCCTGGGCAGCGCGCTCCGCGCGAGGCTGGTGAGTCTGCAGAGTTGCGGCCCCGGGCTGGCTGGTTTCCATAGAGGCGCGGCAGGGGTGGGAGCCGCTGCAGGCTGGTGGGGAGCGGCGGAGCTGGGGGTACCCTGCCGGGCCTGGGGTACTCCCCCTCCAGGCAGAGGGGAGAAACTGGGGAGGCAAATGTGAGTGCTCTGAGCCTGCCGGCTTTGAGCCCGTCGTCCTTGCGACCTTAGGCAAGTCACTCATCCTCTCCTTGCTACTCCTGGCCGTGTGGATTGTGTCAGCTTGTGTGTTAAAACTCTTGGAGAAAGGTTTACGGTCCCCATTCGCTGTATGTTATTTGTCATTGTGGATGAGTATTAAGGAGGTTTGTCCCTGACTCTGGTGACTGGAGGAAAGGTTCAAGTGAGAAGCTGGCGGTGGCTGGAAGGGAGCGCAGTGGAGGAAGGTGAAGGGGTAATTGGTATATGAAACAATGACTTTGTTTTTCCTTTTATCTCTGGTTCCTCAAAGCCAGTCTAATAAGCTTGTCTTTTTTGTCACCAGCTCCATGGGAAAAATTTTTTTCTTCTCTTTTTCCAGGAACCTCCAGCTGCCCCATCCCATGGCCAGGCATATCGTCAGTGTGGAAAACCAGCTAGGAACTCAAAGCCTGAGCCTGGGGCCAGACCCTCCGCTGTCCCTGTCATGATCAATGACCCACCAGTGCCAGCTTTACTGTGGGCCCAGGAAGTGGGCCACATCTTGGCAGGTCGTGCCCGCAGGCTGCTGCTGCAGTTTGGGGTGCTCTTCTGCACCGTCCTCCTCCTGCTTTGGGTGTCAGTGTTCCTCTATGGCTCCTTCTACTATTCCTACATGCCGACTGTCAGCCACCTCAGCCCTGTGCATTTCTACTACAGGTGAGAAGGCTGCCTAGAGTAGAGGAGTGCCGAAGGCCTCTGGGCTTCTTCAGTTGAATCCCAATGTTTACAGAAGAGGAAACTGAGCCCAGTGTGCTAACCAGAGACTTGCCTCTCAAGTCAAGGCTGGGGCAGGTCTGGGCTGGTAGGGTTCTAGGTCTACCTCTCCTGCTGAATTCTGGTTAAGAGCTGAGGCAGATCCTGCTTGCATCTGTAATCCCAGCTTTTGGGAGCCTGATTCAGGAGAATTGCCATGAATTCCAGGCCAGCCTAGACTATATGAGTTATAGGCCAGCCTGGGCTACAGAATAAGACTTTGTCTCAAAAGGGAAAAAGAGAAATAGTGCTTCTAGTCTGGCATCCTGAGAGTCAGCTCTGTTCCAGCAACCTTTGAAGGCACTGTGAAACTGTGAGCCAGCTCAGCCCCTTGGGCTTCTCAGAACTACTCTGTCATTTGCACAGGAGGTATTAGGAGATCCCTCCTTTGCCCTTTACTGTGTTGCTTCCTACCCCTAACTATCTACACAGCAGAGATTATGGCAACACAAGATAGCTCTGCCTCTCAGTGCCCTGCTTCTTGCTGAGCCCCTTAATTCCATCCCATTTTACACATGCTGCCAAATTTTCTGTATGTTTCCTAACAGTAGCTGTACTAAGACCAGTCAACAGATGCAGAAAACAGCACTGTTACAATGTTCTACCTGTTGAATTCCTAGTCATGCGCTATAGTTTAAAAGGCAGATCTTCTTACACCTTTGGGAACATGGATCTTATAAAGCCTGTGAGCCGGGCGTGGTGGCGCACGCCTTTAATCCCAGCACTCAGGAGGCAGAGGCAGGCGGATCTCTCTGAGTTCAAGGCCAGCCTGGTCTACATAGTTCCAGGACAGCTGGAGCTACAGGGAGACCCTGTCTCAAAAAAAAGACAAAAAAAAAAAATTATGTACATGCCCACATATGTAATACATACCCACATGCTGTGTGCTGTTTTGCCCATAATTTATTTTGAAAGATTTAGCTATAGGTCTTTTTGGAAGAGTTTTTTGGTGTTTTTTTTTTTTTTAAAACCAGGCCCCTATTTACTTTTTTCTCAACTCTTCAGGTGAGTCTTTAGAAATACTGAAGTGTTCCAGAGGTTCCTACCCAAGATAATTGTTCTCAAATGAGAATAAATGGACCGAAGCAGTAAGAAGAGAATGAAAGCTTTGCCCTGTTGTCCTAACTATCCTGGCCATGTTGTTTCTGTGTCTCTGTAATGGAGAGAAGGGTGGATGACAGGAGGGAGCCCTAGGCCAGGGTATGTGGACAGGAGGGCAGACTCTAACTTTTTTTTTTTTGAGACAAGATCTCACTATGTAGCCCTGGCAACTCTCTATACAAACTAGGCTGGCATAGAATTCTCTATGTAGACCCAGCTGGCCCAGAACTCACAGAGATCCTCCTGCTCTGCCCCCCAAATACTGGGATTGAAGGTATGCACCACCATGCCTGTTTTTTTTTTTTCCAGACTAACTTAACAGAGAATCGTTTGCCCCTTCTCACTTAGGACAGACTGTGATTCCTCCACCACCTCACTCTGCTCCTTCCCTGTTGCCAATGTCTCACTGGCTAAAAGTGGACGTGATCGGGTAAGTATGGGAGCTAGAGAGAAGTTTCATGAAAGTGTTGATGGCTTGCGAAAGATGTACAGAGAGGGATTTACTAGTAGAAATTTAAGAGCCTGGCCTTTAATCCCAGCACTCAGGAGGCAGAAGCAAGCCGATCTCTGTGAGTTCAAGGCCAACCTGGTCTACATAGTAACTTCCAGGCCAGCCAGGACACCTGTTTCAAAAAAAAGAGGGAGGCTCTGAATAAAGGAGGATTTAGAAGAAATTGAAATCTAGAAGTTGGGGGCTGGAGAGATGACTCAGTGGTTAAGAACACTGGTTGTTCTTGTAGAAGACCTGGGTTCGAATTCCAGCACCCACATGGATCTAACAACTGTCTGCAACTCCAGTTCCAGGGGATCCGATGGCCTCTTCTGTCCTCTGTGGGCATTGCAGAACACAGGTGCACTTACCTACATGCAGGCAATACACTCATACACATAAAATAAAAATTAAAAAAAAAAAATCTAAAAGTTGGTCTTAGTCACACATGTTATTCCAGCATTGGGTGACAGAAACAGAAAGATTACTGCATATTTGAGACCAGTATTGGCTATGTAGTCAGACCCTATATCCCAAAAGAAAACCCAACAGAAAAAAGCTTGGGGGGACAGGAGAGATGGCTCAGCGGTTAAGAACACTGGTTGTTCTTGCAAAAGACCTGGGTTCGAATCCCAGCACCCACATGGCAGCTAACAACTGTCCGTAACTCCAGTCCCAGGGGATCCGACCTCTTCTGACCTCCACAGGCATTGCTGTACTTATCAACAGCAGGCAATACACGCATACACATAAAATAAAAATATATAAAATTTTTTAAAAAAAGAAAAAAAAGCTTGGGAATATGGCTTAGTTGGAGAGCACTTACCTAATATGCATAAAAGCTCCTGTAAGCCAGATCTGGTGGCACAGGCCTTTAATCCCAGCACTTGGGAGGCAAAGTCAAATCTCTGTGAGATAGAGGCCAGCCTGATCTACATAGCAGTTCTAGGCCAGATAGGGTTATAGGGAGACCCTATCTCAAAAGGCCAAAAAAAGCTAATATTTATGGTACAAACCTTTGATCCCAGCACTTGGAAGGTAGAGACAAGTAGATCTCTGGTGCCAGCCTTGTCTGTATGGTGAGTGCCAGGCTAGCCAAGGCTATATAATGAGACCTTGTCTCAAAAGAAAAACTTGTATATAAAATTACAAAATGGTTGACAAATAAGTGTGACTTGTTATTACAAAGGGTACTATGCCAGAGGACTGGTCAGATGCCAGTGTGACTTCGAAAGACCTGGGCACTGTGACAACTATACACAGAGACCTCAAGCTTTTTCTGCTTGGCAGGCTAGTGGAGGCTCTATCAAAGGACAGAATACCAAAGCTTAAAAAGAATCTTAAGCCAAGCTTATTAATGTACATCTTTAATCTCAACCCTCAGCACTCCAGGGCAAAGGCAGGTGGATCTCTATTAGTTCCAGACCAGCTAGGGCTAGAGAGAAACCTTGCCTCAAAAAAACAAAACAAAACTTGAAGAATCAGTGTCATTTCTAATTTCTAATTAAATACCTTTTTTTTTTTTCTTCTCAGTCAACATCATTAGCAGTATTAAGAATTTTAAAATAGCCCTGTGTGGTGGCACATGCCTTCAGTGCCAGCACTTAGGAGGTAGAGGCAGACGGATGTCTGTGAGTTCAAGGCCAGCCTGGTCTACTTAGCAAGGTCCAGGCCAACTGAGGCTACAGGGAGAGGCTGTCTCAAAAAGACCCCCCCCAATAAAAAAACAACCAAATAAACAAAAAAGAGAATTTAAAAATAAGGACTGGATAGCCAGTCATGGTGGCGCATGCCTTTGATCACAGCACTTGGGAGGCAGAGGCAGGCGGATCTCTGTGAGGTCAAGGCCAGCCTGGTCTACATAGTGAGTTCCAGGACAGCTGGGGCTACAGGGAGATCCTGTCTCAAAAAGACCAAAAAAAAAAAAGAAATAGGGATTGGATTAGTGGCTCAGCACTTAAAAGCACTAACTGTTCTTGCAGAGGACCCAGGTTCAGTTTCCAGCACCCACATGGCAGCTAACAACTGTCTGTAACTCCAGTTCCAGGTGATCCAACTCCCTCTTTCTGGCTTCTGTGAACATTGTACACTGTATGCACATGGTGCATTACATACTCTTAACCACTGAACCACCATCTCTCCAGCCCATGTGTGTGTGTGTACGTATACATATACACACATATATGTGTGTGTGTATATATATATATATATATATATATATATATGTAATTGGTCTTTTTGAGACAGGGTCTCCCTGTGGTCCCAGCTGGCCTAGAACTCACTATGTAGAGCAGGTTGGCCTCAAAGTCATAGAGATCCACCTACCTCTGCATCCCCAGTGCTGGGACTAAAGGTGTGTGCCACCACACCCAGCCCCTGACAGGTTTTTTTTAATTATATTTTTATTTCATGTGTATGAGTGTTGCCTGTATGTATGTAAGTACACCACATGTGTGCAATGTTCACAGAGACCAATAGGTGGCATTGGAGCCCTTAGAACTGGAGTTACAGATGGCTGTTAGCCCCTGTGTGGAGCTGGGAACCAAATCCAGGTCCTCATGATCGTAACCCCTGAGCCATCTCTCCAGCCCCTAGTTGTTTCTTTCCTCTTTTTTAAAATTGTTTTTAATTGCTTTTACTTTATTTTATGTGTATGAATGTTTTACCTGTATGTATGTTAAGCACACCCCTGTCATGCAAAGCCCACGAAGGTCAGAAGAGGGCATTGGATCCCCTGGAACTGGAGTTACAGATGGTTGTTAGCTGCCATGTGGTACTGGGAATCAAACCCAGGTCCTCAGCAAGAGCAGCCAGTGCTCTTAACCACTGAGCCATCTCTCCAGTCCCTAGATTTTTCTGAATAACAGGTTAATAGAGATATAATGTATATGTTATGCAATTTACTTCTTAAGATACACAGTTCTGTCATTTTTAGTATATTTAGAGTTGTACAAGTATCACTAAAATAATTTTTAGAACATTATGATGCCAGAGAAAAAGTCTTATACCTGTCAGTTAGCAGTCATACACACTCAGGTTTCCCTGCAACCTATGGCTGAAGAACTATCTGTTTTGATGTTCTAAAGTATTAGTGAAGCAACTAGTAAGCAACTGACTTGGAATTTTTGGCTTCCATGGGAGAAGAGTAGAAATGTCATGGAATCTGTTTTCAAGTTCAAACAAAAATCTGTATAAGGAGAGCTGGGGGGTATAGAGTTACAGTTAGAGAATGCTTGCCTAGCAGGCAAAAAACCCTGCGTTTAGTCCCTAGCACCAAATAAACCAGGCATAGTGCTGTACACCTGTAATTCCAGTACTTTGGAGGTGGAAGCCAAAGGATCAGAAGGTCAAGGTCAACCTTGACCACATAGGGAGTTCAGAGCTAGCCTGGGCTGTATAACTCCTTGACTCAAAAAAAAAAAAAAAAAAATTCTGTGGGCAGGCATGGTTGCACATGCCTTTAATTTCAGTACTCAGGAAGCAGAAGCAGGTAGATCTCTATGAGATCAAGGCCTAATCTACATAGAGAGTCCCAGGCCAGCCAGGATTTAGGACTACATGTTGAGACTCTGTCTCAAAAAATTTATGAGTGTGTGTGTGTGTGTGTGTGTGTGTGTGTGTGTTTGTATATGTGTTTGTATATATGAACAAGCATTCAGGAGGCAGAGACAGGCGGATCTCTGTCAGTTCCAGGCCAGCTGGGGCTACAGGGAGATCCTGTCTCCAAAAAACAAGAGATGAAGATAACATAAGATGATCTGCCAGTAAAGTGATCATGCAAAGGCTAGCTAGGGAGGCAGAGCACTACTGGTACTTGCTTAATTAAGTGAGGGAAGGCTGGGCCCAGGGGGGACAGTCTCAATGGCACACAGGCCTGAGTCACAGATGGCCCAGTTGGCAACACGACTGTTCATTTTTGGGAAAGAAATGCAGCAGAACTCTTCTTGGAGCAGGGTAGCTAGTCTGACTCAGAAGGGCCAAAAGGATGGGTGTGGTGGTGCACACTGGAGGCTGAAGCAGGAGAATTACCATGAATTTGAGGCCTGTCTGGGCTATACAGTAAGTGCCAGGCCAGCCAGAGATAAATAGCAAGACCCTGTCTGAAAACATTACAATACCCGCCACAAGTCCCCCTCCCCCATCCAAAAAAAAAAAAAAAGACAGGAAAACCTGGGAAGTCACGCATGCAGTGACCATTAGGGGGCAGCATCTTCCTAGGATAAAACAATTGGAAGGCCTGTTAAGCTACCCAGGGGGTTTTATTTCGAATTTGGAGACACAAGAGGAAGGCAGAGCAGGGACAAAAAAGACCAAAAAAAGAAAAGAAAAGAAAAAATAATAATAATAATGAAATCATGATGGGGTTACCTTGGACAGGTGCTGATGTATGGGCAGCCATATCGCGTCACCTTAGAGCTTGAACTGCCAGAATCACCCGTGAATCAAAATTTGGGTATGTTCTTAGTCACTGTTTCATGCTACACCAGAGGTGGCCGAGTCATCTCTACTTCTTCCCGCTCAGTGAGTATTTATGAACTCTCCAAGAAGTTGTGGAAATGATGGAAGAATCAGAATATTTTGGTAGAGCTTCAAGAGAAGACCTTAACTCTGAGGTTAGGGACACATTAGGATAAGTGAAGAAGAATCCACTTAAAACCACAGGCATTTGCCAAACCACTTACAAGTCATGGAGATTGCCAAACCCCTAGTGTCTGATAAGCATGTCCAACTTTGGAATAGAGCCTGAAAAGTACAGCTGATCTCAGAACCAGGACCAGAGCAGGCAGACCTGGGCGCTGACTTCACCAGAAACACCAGCCACGGGACCACTGGCCTATTTGCTAGAGTGTAAAATACTATCAAATGGGGGCCTGGAAGGGTGGCTCAGGGTTAAGAGCACTTACTACACTTACAGAGAACCTGAGTTCAGTTGCCAGCACCTACATGGAGACTCACAACTATCTATAACTTTAGTTCCAGGAGACCCAGCACCCTTTTCTGGCCTCTACAGACACCAGGCCTCTACATACACACAGACAAAACACTCATACACAAAAAAAATCAAAATCTTTTAAAATATTTTCGTGGGTTTATAGTAACCTCGTCATAGTAAGACTAGGAGGAGATACGAAGTTCTTATTAGCACATAGTAGATGCTCAGTCAGCAATGGACCCCACTGTTAACAGACTGCCAACAGAACCACATGATGAATATTGGCCTGGAAGTAAGGCTTCAAATGGGGCATGGGGACAGGGATCCCAATGTAGATGACAACTACGTGAGGGAAAGGGAGGTGAGAACGTACTGTGCTTAACAGTGGCAGGTGGGTTGGAGAGAAGGGGCCTTTGCTGTGTTAGGATGGGAGAAATGAGGTTGGGTAGTAGAGATTACTTGAACAGATGGGATGGTTGTGTGGAGGAAGGAGGGTAAGAGGGAAGGGAAGGGACGGGGCCTGAGGATAAGCAAGGAAAAGCCTACCTGGGCTCCTTGTGTCGGGGCAGACAGAGGAGGGCACTTGGAGCCTTGGGCACCTCTCCACAACTTGTCCTTCATGACCCTGACAGGTGATGCTGCATTACCGCTCCCAGCTCCTCCAGATGCTTGACACGCTGGTTTTCTCCAGCCTCCTGCTGTTTGGCTTTGCTGAGCAGAAGCAGCTCCTGGAGGTGGAGCTCTACGCAGACTACAGAGAGAATTCGGTAAGTGAGGTGGAGGTGAATAGGTGGCACTCCTCCAGTAGGCCCAGGATTGCACTGAGGAGCCTGTGGGCAGTCAGGAGGGACAGCCACGAGGCTGGAAGTGGCCTCAGACTGGGCTCCTAGGAAGTGAGAGCAGCAGGAGTCTGGCCTTACTCTGCCCTTACCCCATCCCCTTGCAGTATGTGCCAACAACTGGAGCAATTATTGAGGTCCACAGCAAGCGCATCCAGATGTATGGAGCTTACCTCCGCATCCATGCCCACTTCACTGGGCTCAGGTGAGGAACCACCAAAGGAACCTTGTGCTTTCCTATGAAATAATCCTTAAATGAAGAGGATCATAGAAAGAGGTGACTAGTTAACTAGATAGTGTGAACATATTTTACAAAAGCCAGAGGCTCTCATCCCCGACTACATATCAGCATACCAGTTTTCAGCATATTGACTTTCAAGAGATCTCACTATATATCCCTGGCTGGCCTGGAACTCGCTATATGCACCAGGTTGGCCTTAAACTCACAGGTCTGCCTGCCTCTGTCTACCAAGTGCTGGGATTTAAAATATGTGCCACCATGCCCAACCTCTAAGGAACTTCTTAAAAATCTTACGTGAAGCCGGGCGTGGTGGCATATGCCTTTAATCCCAGCACTTGGGAAGCAGAGGCAGGTGGATCTTTGTGAGTTCAAGGCCAGCCTAGTCTACACAGTGAATTCCAGGACAGCTGGGGCTACAGGGAGACCCTGTCTCAAAAAAACAACAACAAAAAATCCTATGTGAGATGGCATGCATCTGTGTTCTAGCACTTGGGTGGGGGGGTCACTAAGGCAGGAAATCGTAAGTTTGAGACCAGCTGGAGCTAAGTAACAAGACCTATCTCAATATACATAAAAAATGAAAAGAAAGGGCTAGAGCAATGGCTTCCTGCTCTTCCGGAGGACCCAGGTTTGGTTCTGGCCTCTATAGGCACTGCACATACATGATCCACATACATACAACATACATTCAGGTAAAACACATAAAATATAAATAGATAAATCTTTTTTAATTTAATTTTATTACTTTTATTTTATGTGTACACGTGTATTGTCTGCATGTAGGTAAGTGCACCCATGTCGTGCAATGCCTACAGCAGTCAGAAGAGGCTGTTGGATCCCCTGGGACTGGAGTTTATGGACAGTTGTTAGCTGAGGCTATGTGGGTGCTTGTATTCGAACCTGGGTCTTCTGCAAGAACATTCAGTGTTCTTAACCGCTAATTCATCTCTCCAGCACCCCCTTTTTAAATTTTTAATTAATTTATTTTTTATTTTATGAGTGTATTGCCTGCATGTATGTGAGTGCACCCGTGTGGTGCAATGCCTTGGCGGTCAGAAGAGGGTTTCGGATTCCCCTGGAACTGGAGTTAAGGACGGTTCGTAGCTGCCATGTGGGTACTAGGACTCGAACCCAGGTCCTCTACAAGAGCAGTCAGTGCTCTTAATCACTGAGCAATCTCTCCAGCCCCTTTTTTGAGACAGGGTTTCCCAGTAGCCCCAGCTGGCCTGGAACTCCATTATATAGACCAAGCTGGCCTCGACCTCCCAGAGATCCACCTACCTCCCAAGTGCTGGGATTAAAGGCGTGCACCACCATGCCTGGCATAAATCTCTTTTTAATGAAAAGGAAAAAAAAGATGATGTGCCAGGTACACTGCTGTGTCTGCAGTTGGTACTCAGGCAACACAGTGAGATATGCCCCCTCCCAAAGTAAAATGCCCATGTAATCTGCTTTTTGATTCATTGGCCAAGCAAGAGTTGGAGTGACTTTAAATGACAGTTGAAGCCACTGTAGTGCTGTGACCTTGCAGTCCTTGGTCTTTATTAGAACCTGGTGCAGTGGGTCTGGTAGCTGCTCAGGGTCATAGGGTAGAGGGCATGGCAGCAGAGGCCAGCTCTGGCCTCACTTGCTCAAGTTGCCCTACAAATTACTTCTGGAAAGACAGAAGGCTGTGCTGCCTGGTAGCTGCTGCTCCCCTCCTGACCCTCTTCCCCGTCTCAGGTACCTGCTGTACAACTTCCCCATGACCTGCGCCTTTGTGGGCATCGCCAGCAACTTCACCTTTCTCAGCGTCATTGTGCTCTTCAGCTATATGCAGTGGGTGTGCGGGGGCATCTGGCCCCAACACCGTCTCTCCTTGCAGGTCACAGGGGGAAAGACCCCATTTTTCTTCCCTTGGTGATCCTTGTGGGTGGTCAGGGGTGTGTCAAGGGTAGGTATGATCCCTGGAAAGAGAAATCAGGCTTTGCTGCTCCATGGTACTCCACAGGTTAATATCCGGCAAAGGGATGGTTCACAACAGGGTGCCCAGCGTAGGATCTCTCGACATCAGCCAGGTAAAGGGATTGGTTGGGTGGTATCGCTGGGAGGTGTGCTGGTCTGGGTGAGAGGAGCCATCTGCCTTCTGTATAAGGCATAAGGTACACTCTGGAACTGAGAGCTTGAGGAGAGGCTGAAGGAGGTAGACTTGGCACTGCAGTCCAGGCATAGCCACTGACCCAGGATGTCCTCCGTTTATAGGACCTGAAGGCCAGGAGGAGTCTACACAGCAGTCAGATGTGACAGAGGATGCTGAGAGCCCTGAAGATCCCTCAGGAATAGGTAAGTGCAGTCCCTCGTTCCTGGCTTCTCCCCAGTGCACCCCTTCAGTGCCTGGGTCACAACTCCCTGTCATACCTCTGCTGTTCCTCTTTTGGCTGAAGAAGGCCAGCTGTCTGAGGAGGAAAAGCCAGACCGGCAGCCCCTGAATGGAGAGGAGGAACTCGAACCGGAGGCCAGTGATGGTGAGGGGCACTGTGTGATAGAGTGGAGGGACAGGAATGCCACCCACCTCTGTTAATCTGCTGTCTCATTTGGGATTCTGTTTTACCCTTTCCTGGCCCAGGTTCAGGTTCCTGGGAAGATGCAGCTCTACTAACAGAGGTCAACCTGTCTGCCCCAGCCTCTGCCTCTGCACTTGTCCCTGAGACTCTGGGTACCCTCAGGCATCGCCCTACCTGCTCCAGCTCCTGAACTGAAGAGGGAAATTCCTCACATTCCAGCACTTGCCATCTGACCCTTCTCCCCTTGCTGCTCCCTCAATAAATTATTTTGTGCCAGCTGCTAGTGTGGAGGTCAGAGGGCAACTTGTGGAGCTCTCTCCTACCATGTGGTTCTAGGGATCAAACTTGGGTCAAGTTTTTTATAAAAGTGTGTGTGTGTGTGTGTGTGTGTGTGTGTGAACATATATGTGCTAGTGCCTACAGAGGGCAGAAGAGGTCACCAGATTCCTCTGGAGCTGGAGATACAGACAGTGTCAGGCCCCTGATGTGGGTGCTGGGAACCTAACTCCTGTCCTCTGCAAGAGCAGCAAGTGATCTTAACCACTGAGCCTTCTCTCCAGCCCCCCGTATTTTATTTATTTTATTTTTTTATTTTATTTTGAGACAGGGTCTCCCTATACCCCATCTGGCCTGGAACTCACTATGTAGATCAGGCTGGCCTTGATCTCCCAGAGATCTGCCTGCCTCTGCCTCCCAAGTGCTGGGGTTAAAGGTGTGTGCCACCATGCCCAGCTTGTATTCCCTTTTTTTTTTTAATATTTTATTTATTATTATTATTGGTTTTTTTTTATGTGTATGAGTGTATTGACTGCATGTATGTGAGAGCACCTGTGTCGTGCAATGCCGCAGAAGTCAGAAGAGAGATTTGGATTCTCCTGGAACTGGAGTTAATGATGGTTCGTAGCCACCATATGGGTGCTGGGAATTGAACCTGGGGCCTCTGCAAGAGCAGTCAGTGCTCTTAACCACTGAGCCATCTCTCCAGCCCCCCATTTTCTTTCTTTCTTTCTCTCTTTTTTCTATGAAAAAGGAATAGACAGAGTTTATGAGCAGATGGTTGTGGTGGTTGGGGAGTGGGTAGGTGAGTACATCTGCACATTTGCACACCTGTGGTCTCTGAGAAGAAAAACCATTCTGTCTTCTGGCCAGACATTCTAAGAACATTATACTCCCTAGGAAGATTTAAGATTGATACAGTTAAATTAATCATTTAGTCTACGATCTAATGACCCCAAATATGCTCATTTTTTTCTTTTTACCTAGCCAAGCACAGTGGTGAACACCTGTGTCCCAGCTACTCAGCAGACACAAGAGGATTGTTTGAGCCCAGGAGGTCAAGACTGACTTAGTTGTTTGGGGGTGAAGGGGTTGTTAGTTTTTAGGTGTGGGTTTCTTTTTTAATAGTTTTTTAAATAACTAAATTTTTGGACTTTTTTTTTGGTATTTTTGAGACAGAGTCTTCCTGTAGCCCCAATGGCCTGGAGCTCACAAGAGTTACCTCTGCCTCCCCGAGTGCTAGGATTAAAGGCGTGAGCTAGCACACTCAGCCAGTTTTTGATTGGTTTATTTTATGTGTATGTTTTGCCTGCATGTATTTACGTATTATTTTGAAACAGGTTCTCCCTACATAGGTGACCCTCAAACTTGTAGCTAGTCTCCTGCCTCAGCATCCCAAGTATTTGAATTCCAAGCTTTCACTATCATACCCAGCTCTGTGTTGGTTTATTTTCTGGGATAGGATCTCACTATATAGCCAAGGCTATCCTCAAATTAATGATCCTGCCTCAGCCTCCCAAGTACTGAGATATTCAGGCATGTATGACCACACTCAGTGCAGCAGTTTCCATTCATGATCCAAGAAAAGGAAACCTATTCTGGCCCTAGCAGGCTTCCCACACCATCCATGTGATTCTCATCTCCTCAGGGGAGGGGGATAGGGTAGGGCAGGTCTGGAGAGCTGAGATACATCATTCTGGCCTCTACACCCCTCCCTTCTGTCCATTGGGAGGCAGAAGACAGGAAATGACTGCCATGATCCTGGTAGGATTTTTTTTTTTTTTTTACAAAACATCGTTTTGTAACTTGGCCCTATACCATCCACAGCTGTTTTCCTGTCTGATACCAGCCAGGTGGCCCTCCCTCCTCCTCTATTAATACTCTTCTCCCTACCCCTTCACATGACTACAGCCTTTGGATTCTCCCCCTTGGCTGTTTTCCACATTCCACTCCTCTGTCAAAACCCAGGCATCCTGGCTTCCAGCTGAAACCGCTGCATGTGGCTTCTCCTATCCCTGGCCCCATGACTCAGGCCCCCTGAGAGAACCAGCCCTCTTGGCACCCAGGGGCTAGGTGGTGACATCAGATTTCAGGGGTATAAAAAAGTTTTCAGCCAAAACAGAACTGAAGATAAAACCTGACGGTGGCCTGCAATCCTGGGGACCTCTCTGCCTGATACCCGCAGATGTCTGGATGCAGATTCTCACCGAGTCAAGATCTACTCACTGGTGAGGGCCTGCTGTGGGCCTAGGAAGGAGGGCAGACAGGCAGGGGTTTGGACAGGCAGGGGTTTAGACCTCTTGGACAGGATTGCACAGATGCAGGTCAGCGGGTGAGGACTCTAGGGTCTATCCCCCGCCTCCCTCTCTTCTCTCAACTGTTCTCTCTGGGTTTTTGTTTTTGATCTCTGAGTGACACCTTTCTTCCCTGAGCTGAGTAAATTATTTCCTCTCCTTTTCTCTCAGCACTTTTCCTTATTCGTTGAACTGTTTGCTTCTAGCGCTTTGTGCATTGTTGGCCACACATCTGTTCTATGTGTCGGGCTGTAGTTCATTCTTTTTATCCAAACTAAGCACAATCAGGCGTGGTGAGGCTTGCTTGTACAACTCCTAGTGCTTTGGAGGTGTAGACAGGAGGATCAGGTGTTGAAGGCCAGCCTCATCAGGGCCTGGTGACCTGGATTCTGCAGCCAGTTGACTCGTGAGCCTCGTCATCCCCACCTCTTTCCTTTTCTCGTCTGGTTCCTCTGTGGTGCTTTCACCAGAGTCTGTCCAGGAAGGCAGGAGTTCTGGCAAGAAGGGCTGTTAGTACTTCCTTCTTCACTCCCCTTCCAGACTCCATGTTGGGCTCTACCTGCCTTCTATACCTCCTGGCCATGACCTTCGCCTTGGTTCCCGAAGCTCAGCAGTTCTTGACCCCCCAAGACTATGAGGGAGATGAGACGGTGACCACACTCTCTCTGGCTGTCCCTTGTGACTACGACAGTTGCCGCCACCTGCAGGTGTCCTGCGAAGAGCTGCAGAAAGTTGGACCGGTGGCCTGCCTGTGCCCAGGGCTCTCCAGGGATGATCAGCCGCCAGACATGCCGCGCCTGGGAGAAGTGCAAATTGTGGCAGAGGAGGGCTGTGCGGTGGTCCACTGGTGTGCCCCCTTCTCTCCGGTCAGCCACTACTGGCTACTGCTTTGGGAAGGCAGTAGGGCTCTGCAGAGGAGCGCCCCACTCAACGCCACCTTCCGCAGAGCAGAGCTGCAGGGACTGAAGCCTGGGGGTGCTTATGTCCTCTGCGTGGTGGCCTCGAACCAAGCTGGTGAGAGCCGCTTTCTTGGGGCAGGTGTTGAGGGCCCTGAGAGCTGGGGTGGCCCTTCCTTTGGGCCCTGTGGCCGGCTCACTATGCCACCCAGACCTATCACCCTAGTGCACGCAGCCATGGGTGTGGGCACAGTCCTGGCCCTGCTGAGCTGTGCCACCCTGATCTGGCATTTCTGCCTGCGTGAGCGCTGGGGCTGCGCCCGCCGTCAAAGAAATACCCAAGCTGCAGAGGAACTCTGATGGGAGCCCAGGACAACAACCCTGAGCAGGCCAGCCCCATCTGGAAGGCCCAGCCCACCCACAGGAGGAGTGTTGGGCCTGCTGCCACCTGGCACCAGCAGCACAGCCAAACCATAGTGAAGGCCTACGCAACTGACCTCTCGGCTGAGAGCCTGTTCAGGCCCCAGCTGGTCATTAGCTTCCCTGCTGGGGGCTAAGAGAAACAATTTCTCCTTGAAGGACCAGTCAGGTCATAAATGTCTTAAACTCTATGGGTATGGGGTTAAGGGGTAAATCAGATCACATTATGTAGAGACCTATATAGCCACTTAAAATGTAGCTACTTAAGGTTCTTTTGAGGCATGTCTTTAATCCCAGCACTCCGGAGGCAGAGGCAGCTGGGTGGATCGCTGTATTGCTTCTCAGAAGGGCTCTGAGCATCAGCTTCTGCTGGTGGGAGTTGACACTAGAGATACTCCTTCTACCTTTTCCTTAGCTACTACGGAGGAGCCAGCTCAGAGTCCTCTGTGTCTGAGGTCAGACTGAGGACTGGCATGAGCTGGAGAAGACAGGGAACACCCAAGCTGCTATCTGCATGCCAGTGTTCTTGTTAAAACAACAGCAATACCAATGAATTCCCCCTTACTTTTGTGTTATTGTTTATCTACTTTAATAACATCAAAGAACATTTAAAAGTTTTACATTTTCAGCTTTCATGCTCCTGCTCAATTCCATGTCTACATACCTTTTTTCTAGCGCTTGTCATCCCGTCTCAGCCTTTTGGCTGAGATCAAGTGTATGTCTATTTTTCAGAGTAATACAAATATTTGTGTTTTGTTTCTTGGTTTTTGTTTGTTTGTTTTTGGTGTTTTTGAGACAGGGTCTCCCTGTAGTGGGGGCTGGCCTGGAGCTCACTATGGCTCACTATGTAGACCAGGCTGGCCTTGACTTCACAGAGATCCACCTGCCTCTCCTCTGCCTCCCAAGTGCTGGGACTACGGGCTTGTGCCACCACACCTGACCTGGCTTTTTGTTGTTGTTGTTGTGGCTCTATATCCTTGACTGGCGTCAAGGAGGTCCTCCTGACTCAGCAGAGGACTCTGCTTCCAATGCAGAGATTATAGGCAGGTGCCCAATTTTATTACTGGAGACTAAACTCAGGGCCTCATGTATGCAAGGCAGTCACTCTACTAACTAAGCCCTAGTATACATACATTTTATTATTTGTTTTGACTTTTTACAAATATTTTACTTTTATTTGATGTGTATAAGTGTATTGCCTGCATGTATGTGAATGCACCCATGTCGTGCAATGCTGCAGAGGTCAGAAGAGGGCTTCGGATTCCCCTGGAACTGGAGTTAAGGACAGTTCGTAGCCACCATGTGGGTGCTGGGAATCAAACCCGGGTCCTCAGTGCTTTTAACAGCTGAGCCATCTCTCTAGCCCTTGTTTTGACTTTTTTGAGGCTATAGCTTAGGCTGGCCTGGAACTCATTATATAGCCCAGGCTGGCAATACTCTGCCTTCAGCCTCTTATGCACTAGAGTGTGAGGCTACGGGTATATGCCACCACTACTGGCTTTTGGGTTTTGTTGTTTTTGTTTTGTTTTTGAGTTAGTCTTACTGTGTAACTTTGACTGATGTGATACTTTCCACATAGCCTAGGGTGGTCTCAAACTTGTAGTAATTCTCCTATCTGAACCTTCTGAGTGCTGGGATTGCAGGCATATGTGAATATACCCAGTTTACGAATTTATTTACTATTCAAAAAAAATTTTTTGCAGCCAGGCATGGTGAAGCATGCCTTTAATCCCAGTACTCAGGAGGCAGAGGCAGGTGATGGATCTCTGTGAGTTTGAGGCCAGCCTGGTCTACATAGCAAGTTCTAGGCCAGCTGGGGCTACATGATCAGACCCTATCTCAAAAAAGCAAAACAAAAAGCAGGGCACGGTGGTGCATGCCTTTAATCCCAGCACTCGGGAGGCAGAGGTAGGCGGATCTCTGTGAGTTCGAGGCCAGCCTGGTCTACATAGTTCCAGAACAGCTGGGGCTACAGGGAGACCCTGTCTCAAAAAGACAAAAAAAAATTCACATTTATTGTACACACAAACACACACAGACATACATACATATACACACACACACACATACATACACACACATACACACAGGTGGCGGTCAGAGGACAATTTGCAGGAGTTGGTTTTCTCCTTCAACCATGTAGGCTCATGGGATCAAACACAGATTATTAAGCTTGGCAGCAAGTGCCTTAACTTGCTAAACTATCTCACAGCTCCTGAATTTATTGATTGATCCTTTTGGGTGTTTTTTTTTTTTTTTTTTTTTTTTTTTTTTAGATGGTTTCCCTTTAACCCAGCTGTCCTGGAGCTCATTATGTAGACCAGGCTGGCCTTGAACTCACAGAGATCCGCCTGCCTCTGCCTCCCAAGTGCTGGGACTACAGGCGTGCACCACCATGCCCAGCTTTGATTGATCTTTTTGAGACAGTGTCTGCCTGTAGCTCCAGCTGGCCTGGAACTCACTATGTAGGCTGGCCTTGAACTCACAGAAATCCCTCTGCCTCTGCCTCCCAAATGCTGGGACTAAAGGCATGTGCCCCCACACCTGGCCCCTGAATTTATTTTTAAAGAAAGTGCATGTAGAAAAGTTTGATATGCAGTACTACAGTATAAACTTTAGTTTTACTGACCTAGTATCTTTTTTAATCTTTTAAAGTGCTGAGATTAAACCCGGGCTGTGGTTATGGCAGGCATGCATTCTACCACTGAACTGTAACTCCAGGGAGGCCAAGGTTTTGGTCCCCGTGGACACTGTTCTGGGCTAGATGTCTATGCTGAGCTGAGCTATTTTAGCTTCAGAACAAGGCTAATATTACCACAGGTTTTAGGAACTTGATATTGAGAACTCAAGGAACAACTGAAAGCCACCCCTGGGCCTTGAGATGGCTCACAGGTAAAGGCACTTGTGCAGCTGGCAAGCCTGACAACCTGACATAAGGTGGAAGAACTGACTCCACAAAGCTGTCCTCTGACAACTATACATGTGCCTCCCATCATCATACACACACATAATAGTATTTTTTTTTTTTTTTTTTTTTTTTGAGACAGGGTCTCCCTGTAGCCCCAGCTGTCCTGGAACTCACTATGTAGACCAGGCTGGCCTTCAACTCACAGAGATCTGCCTGCCTCTGCCTCCCGAGTGCTGGGATTAAAGGCGTGTGCCATCATGCCCAGCACATAATAGTATTCTTAAAAAACTGAAGACACCCCCTTACCTCAGAGGACATTTTTCCCTCCATGAGATGGCTAATGGGGACCTTGACACCATCCAGGTACATGTCTCCTTCCCAAACACAAATGCTCTAAATCCAGCTTACTGTTACTTGACCCACAGCCAGTATCCTTTCCAGACTGCATCACTAACCACCCCTCCCCATCTCACTTGATCCTCCAAGAAAAAGTACTGCCATAAAACTCCCTTTAAAATGTTCTAGTTTGGGGTGGGAAGGATGGCTCAGTGATTAGGAGCACTAGCTGTTCTTACAGAGAGCCCAGGTTCCATCCCCAGAACCCACATTGCAACTAACAACAGGCCATAACTCCAGTTTCAGGATTCCCTCTTTCTGGCCTCTTCTGGCATTGCATGAACATGGTGCACTTAATATACATGCAAACAAAAAGCATAAAATAAAATTTAAAAAATTAAAATAAAATGTTCCAGTCTATGGAACATGTCTTTAGTCCCAACACTTAAGAGGCAGAGGCAGGCAAGTCTCTGGTTTTGAGGCCTGCCTGGTCTATATATTGAGTTCCAGGCCAGTCAGGGTTACATGGTGAGACCCTCTCTCAACAACAGCAAATGTTCTAGCCTGCTTCAGTGGTGCACCTCTTTCATCCCAGTGCTCAAGAGGCAAAGGCAGGTGGATCTCTGTGAGTTTGAAGTGAGCCTGGTTTACATAATGAATTCTAGACCCACCAGGGCTACATAGTGAGACCCTGTCTCAAAATAAAGTTGTACTCTGTCAAAAATAATTTGGGGGCTGGAGAGATGGTTCAGCAGTTAAGAGCATTGGCTGCTCTCACACAGGATCAGGGGTTTGGTTCCCAGCACCTTCATGGCCACCAACAGCCCTCCTTAAATCCAGTTCCAGATGATCCAGTGCCCTCTTCTGTCCTCCAAAGGCATTGCACAACATGGGTGCACTTACACACATGCAGGAAATACACTCACACACAGAAAATAAAATGAATATTTTTTTAAATTAAATAATTTAGCCAGGTGTGGTGGGGCATGCCTGTAGTCCCAGCACTTGAGAGGCAGAGGCAGGCAGATGTCTGTGAGTTCAAGGCCAGCCTGGTCTACATAGTGAGTTCCAGGATAGCTAGGGCTATAGGGAGACCCTGTCTCAAAAAGACAAAAAATAATAATAATTTGCCTGTTCTATGTAAACAACACAGAACTCTATATAGTGTCTCCTGTATTATAGGGTAAACTTTCTATCACAGGTGGGTTTGTGACACTCATCCTCAGGCTAGACCTACATTTCCTGTACTTTACCCCAATCTTCATACATCCCTTAACTCTCCTGTGAGGCTCAGACTAACTGGTCTTTTTGAGACAGGGTCTCCCTGTAGCCCCTGCTATCCTGAAGACCAGACTGGCCTTGAACTCACAGAAATCTACCTGCCTCTGCCTCTCAAGTGAGTGCTGGGATTAAAGGCATGATGGGCCACCATGCCCGGTCTGGCCTGAGTCTCTTTCAACAGCTGCTCACTCCCTTCTTCAAAGAACCACTTGAGTCTTTTATGCCCTGTAACCCGTGATCCATGATAGATCAGCAACAACCAAGCCCTGACCCCCATACCCCCACTCAGCTCTGAAGAAATTCAGAAGACTGGGGCTGGAGAGATGACTCAGCAGTTGAGAGTACTTGCTGCTTTTACAGAGAACCCAGGTTCCATTCCTAGCTGTTATAGGTCGGAGTATGCAAAAAATCACCAGCACCATTTTAAGAAAAGTAGCAAGGTAAATTTTAATTTTCTACCGGCCAGGCTATCTCCGGAGTAGAAGCAGCCCTGATGATTGTCGGGTCAGAGTTTTTATAGGATTACAGAAATATTATTCAAACAGGACATTTGTGAACCAATCAGATTTGTACAACATAGCAGAACTTTGAATCTATTACTCAACAACCAATCATTATACAGACAAGTGATAGTCATATAACTTGGCAGTCAACTTTGTAATTTTAAAATTAGTCAACTTCCTAGCCATAACAAGTATAGTAAGAAAGCTGGAATCAGCAGGTACCAGGTGGTCAGACAGTAACAGGGTAACAAGGTGGTCTTATGCTCTGTGTCAAGGTGACCCGAAATAGCAAGCGGATTACAGAAGTGAAAACAAGCTGGTTGGCCAGGTGTAAAATGTCTGGAATTAGCACATTCCATGGTTCATAGCTAGGACAATTTCCCAGGACCCAAGGTTGCCCCTCTTTTCCTTTTGGTGTGGAACAAAGTTGCTGCTAAAATGGCTCTGAACAAAATGGAGTAACTTAGGTAAGTGCTGAGCCAGTTCACTAGCTACCACATGGCAGTTAACAACTGTGGGTAACTCCAGTTCTGGGGATCTGATGCCCTCTTCTGACCTCTGTAGGCATTGTATGCATGTGGCACCCATACACGCACGCAAAAAAACTCATAAAAAAATTCTTTTAAGAAGTTCTTAAGAGCTGGGTGTGGTGGCTCATATCTATAATCCTTGCTGAGGCAGGAGGGAGGATTGCCATGAGTTTGAACTCCTCCGGAGCGACACAGTGAGCTCCAAAGACAGCCAACCAGAGCTACAGTATGAGCAGTAAAAGCCCTTCTTTAAAAAAAAAGAGTGGAGGGAGGGAGAGGAGGAGGGGGAAGAGGGATAGGAGGAAAGCAAGCAAAGTACCCTGCCTCAAAAAGAGACAAAAAAAAAAAAAAAAAAAAAAAAAAAAAAAAGAAAGAAAGAAAAAGAAAGGGGAATTTAATGAAATATTATTGTAGAGTTTTGGTTTGGTTTGGTCTTTTTGAGACTAGGGTCTCCCTATAGCCCCAGCTGGCCTGGAACTCCCTACGTAGAACAGGCTGGCTTCAAACTCACAGTGATCCGCCTGCCTCTGCCTCCCAAGTGCTGGGATCAAAGGCGTGCCCCACCACACCCTGCCAAGGCCTTTTTATTATTTTTATTTTATGTGTATGGAAGTATTGCCTGCATGTAAGTGCACCTAGTGTGTGCAACTGCCTGAGGTCAGAAGAGGGCGTGGGATCCTCTGGAACTAGAGTTATGGACCGTGGACAGGGGCTGGAGAGATGGTCAGCTACCATATGGGTGCTGGGAATGGAACCCGGGGTCTTCTGCAAGAGCAGCCAGTGCTCTTAACTGCTGAGTCACCAATCCAACCCCGTAAACTATATTTTTATTGATTACTGATGTGCCTATGTGTCGCCCGTGCCAAGCGCGTGCGGAGGTCAGAGACGACCTCGCGGGCACCGGTTTCCGCCTTCTGCAACTTGGGCCCGGGCACCGAGCTCGGATGACCAGGCTCTGCGGCAGGCGCCTGGACCCGCAGAGCCACCTCGCAGGCTCTCTGTCCACCCTAAGGTGCGTGGCGCTCTCTCAGAAGGCGGGCTTCCTTCAGCCCGCTCAAAAACGACCGTTTCGTCCCGGCGGCGGCTCCTTCCCTCAGCCAGTTCTGGCACGTGGCCCCGCCCAGTGGCGCCAGTTTTCTGGCTTCCCTCGGCCCCCGTCCACGCCGCCCCACGTGACCCAAACAGACCTGGGCGCTTCCGCTTCCCTTGGCTTTCTCGGAGGCCTTCCCCCGCCCCCGGTCCGGAGCCGGGTGAGTGAGCGAGCGAGCGCCGGGGCTGTGGCGTTGCGGGCACAGCGGCCCGGGCTGCGTCCTCCCTCCGACCTTCTCGCCACAGCAGGTCCCCGCGCGGCGGTGGCGGCGCCATGGCGGAGCTGACGGCTCTAGAGAGCCTCATCGAGATGGGCTTTCCCCGGGGACGCGCGTAAGCCAGCCGCCGGCCGGGGTGGGGGCCGCGGCTGCCCTGCGTTCCCCTCGCCTACCCGGACCGTCGCCATGGCCGGTGGGCGCCACTCATCGTGTTTCTGCCCCCAGGGAGAAGGCTCTGGCCCTCACAGGGAACCAGGGCATCGAGGCGGCCATGGACTGGTGAGCGGGCTCCGGAGCGGAGGAGGCGGGGGCGCGGGCGGCGGCGGGCTCACCTGCCTCCTTCCTGTGCAGGCTGATGGAGCATGAAGAGGACCCCGACGTGGACGAGCCTCTAGAGACGCTCCCTGGACACGTCCTGGGACGGGAGTCCACGTCCTCGGAGCAAGCGGGCCCTGAAGGTCCTGACTGGGGGGCGACTTGAGGTCCTAGGGGCGAGCCCGGAGGAAGCAGAGGGGTAATGGCGCTGGTTCCTTGTTCGTAGGGTCCGGGTCTGCTGCTGGAGAAAACAAACCCGTTTTGACTAAAGAGGAAAGGCAAGAACAGACGAAGAGGTAACGAGCAAGCCTACCTTGTGTGCTATCTTGAGTCAATCTCTTGTCCGGGCCGACACTTCTTTACATCAGGATGAGGTCACACAGAAGAAAAAGATACCCAGAAGAGCGGGGACATCCCATCCTGCTGCCTCTGCCTCCAGGCCTTCATCTCCACCCTGTATTGTTTGTTTGAGACAGGGTCTAGCTGTGGCCTGGAACTCAGTATGTATCCATGGCTTCATTCAAAGTCACAGTTTTCCTGCGTGCTGGAATTACAGGCATGTGCCACCACATGGAGCCCACAGTTTCACTTTCTTAAGGGTCATGGGGCATCCTTCAGTCCTTTCCAGTACAAATACAAGTCTGGTCATGTAACCTGACTTTTCCAGTTTTTGTTTTTTTAAGCACAGGTCCCTCTAGTCCTAGTCCCCTCTATTTTCTTACCATTTTGGTTTTCATTTCTTTGGTATACATGTTCCCTCATCTTGTTCAGATTCCTGTTATAAACTCACCTTTCACTCCATGTCCAGCTTGAGCTCTTTTTTTGCAAAACAGAATGCTGGAGCTGGTGGCTCAGAAGCAGCGGGAACGTGAAGAGAGAGAGGAGCGAGAGGCCCTGGACCGAGAAAAGCAGCGCAGGAGACAGGGGCAAGAGCTGTCAGCTGCCCGACAGAAACTGCAGGAAGATGAGATGCGCCGAGCTGCTGAGGAGCGTAGGAGGGAAAAGGCTGAGGAGTTGGCCGCCAGGTCTGGATGGTGGTTGTGTTGGTCAGCAGTTGAGAAAGACGTCAAGATTTGCGTTGTGCTTGTCTGATCCGTTTTCTTCCTGTCTGCATTCCAGACAAAGGGTTCGAGAAAAGATTGAAAGGGACAAAGCAGAGAGAGCCAAGAAGGTGGGTGATTGATTGGGAGGCTTGAGGGTGTAATGGAGTAGGTGGGTTAGTTTCCTTTTCCATTCTCAGAAAGCATGGTCTTACATGATTTCCTTGAGTTGTAGTCTGATTCTGTAGCTCAGGCTGGCCTCAGACTCATAGCAGTCCTCCTGCCTCAGCCTCCTAAGCGTGGGAATTGTAATTGTGAACCACCAAACCTGGCAGTTTGTTTTTTTTCCCCTGTATTGGAGCCTGAACCTAGACCTTTACACATGATGGTCTAGCATGCTACCATTGGGCTGTTCTCAGCCTAGGATTGTTGTTTATCCTGGTGGACCGGTTCCTACTTGAATGTTCTTACTTTGTCTTCCAGTATGGTGGCACTGTAGGTTCTCGGCCATCCCTGCCAGCAACAGAGCCAGCTCTGGTTCCTTCCTCTCCCAGCCAGGAACCACCCACCAAGCGGGAGTATGACCAGTGTCGCATACAGGTACAGATTCTGGTTTTGCTGTCTTGCTCTCAGAACCGCTTTGTTGACCTATAAAGATCTCTGTGCTGTTTTCACTCGAGTTCTCTTTGCCAAATCTCTCCCTTCTTTGTAAATGGCTTTTGAAATCCTACCTCCTCTACTCTTAGGAAAGATCCAGTTTCACCTGCCCCAGGCTTGTTTACTTCCGTACTCCTTACTCAGCATTATCCGTACCTTTGTACTTATTCTTAACCCTCTCAGATTCATACACAGCTTTTTTTTATGACATCTTGAATTTTTTATTGGTCTTTTTAAAAAATACTTTATTTTATTTATGTGTAGTAGTGCATGTATGTAAGTGCTCACATGTTGTGCAATGCCAGTGGCAGTCAAAAGGTGTCAAATTCCCCTGGAACTATAGTTGCAGACAGTTGTTAGCCAGCATGTGGGTGCTGGGAATTGAACCCCAGTCCTCTGCAAGAGTAGCTACTGCTCTTAACTGCTGAGCCATCTCTCCAGCCTCTTTTTGGTCTTCTTGAGACAGGGTCTCCCTGTAGCCCTTGCTAGCCTAGAACTCCCTATGGTAGACCAGGCTGACCTCCAACTTTGTTGAGATTAAAGGTGTGTATCATGTCCACTTTCTTCTGATTTTTTTTTTTTTTTTTTTTTTTTTGGGAGGGGGGAATAATTGGTCAGAGATTCAGGGTATTTTCCTTCCAAACAGAGCCTAGTATTTGACACCTATTTTGTCAGTAGATGTTTCAACTTTGCAAGCAGGGTGCTTACATTTGAATCCATTCCAGAAGATACTGGAGGTGCTTCCTTGCACAGCTACTAATTTGGAAGGTTTCTTAAAAAGTGAGAGATGCCCCGTGTACTACCTGGTTGACCCCCCATTTTTTGGTGATTAAAGGTTGGTGTTGTGTCTCTTTGTTTTTATTTTTTTTTTTTTTTTTTTTTTTGGTCTTTTTGAAACAGGGTCTCCCTGTAGCCTCAGCTGGCCTTGAACTCACAGAGATCTGCCTGCCTCTGCCTCCCAACTGCTAGGATTAAAGGGGTGTGCCACCACACCCGGCACACTTTATCCTGATTTATAAGATAATAACTTCATCCTTGTCTTTGTGAGGTAGTCCTTTCTTTAATCACTTAGTGAAGCGGAGCATAAGTAGTTGTTCCTTAGGCTCTTTAAACGGAATTTGTATTGGTTCACCTCTCAGAGGAAGGTGGGGCCAGTTTTAGTTCTTTCTTTCCTTACTTTGGGCACTTCAGTTTTGCTTTTTTCACTTTTTTGCTTGCTTTTTGAGACTGGAGCCCACTATGTAACCCTGGTTGGCTTGGAACTCAGAGATCCACATGCCTTTGCCTCACAAGTGCTGGGATCAAAGGAGTGCACCACCATGCCCAGCTTTGTTTTGATTTTTAGAGTCAGGGGTGGAGTGGTGTCTCTTGCTATGTAGTCCTGGCTGCCTGGAGCCAGGCTGGTCTTGAACTTTCAGAGATCACCTGCCTGTGTCTCTCAAGTACTGTGGGCGTTCAGCAATGCGCCACCACTGGCTTTGTCTTTGAAACAGGGTCTTACTATGTAACCCTAAGTAGCCTAGAGTTCACTGTATAGAGCAAGCTGACCTCAAATGTGTGGTGATCCTTCTGCCTAGTCCCATTGTTGGAGTTATAGGCATGTGTCACTGTGTCTGGCCTTACTATTGGGGGTGGGGAACAGGGTATAGCCCCAGCTGACCTGGAACTCAGATCCACCTACCTCCCTAGTGTTGTGGGGCCACCACCCCATTTATTTACTTAATATTTTGTTATTTTGAGAGGAACTCTCATGTAACCTAAGTTGGCCTTGAACTAAATCCCTTCTGCCTCCAGCCAGGGGTGGCATGGAGTTACCTATTTAAATCAAGCTTGTTTTGAATGTTTAAAGATCTGTGTATCTGTATCTCTGCCTCCCAAATGCTGGGATTAAAGCTTATAGTACTCTCTCCCTTCCCTTCTAGGTTAGGCTGCCTGATGGGACTTCATTGACCCAAACGTTTCGGGCCCGGGAACAGCTGGCAGCTGTGAGGCTCTATGTGGAGCTCCACCGTGGGGAGGAACCCGGAGGAGACCAGGACCCTGTGCAATTGCTCAGTGGCTTCCCCAGGCGGGCTTTCTCAGAGGCTGACATGGAGCGGCCTCTGCAGGAGCTGGGTATGTCACCTGAGACCAGGAATGAGGACTTGAAAGGGAGGCGGGTATTCCTGGGATCGGTAGAGGAAGTACTTAGTGGAGATAGTGTCCAGGAATTGGAGGGCCAAAAACCAAGCATCCTTTTGATTCAGGACCTTTTTCTTCCATCTCCAGGACTTGTGCCTTCTGCTGTCCTCATTGTGGCCAAGAAATGTCCCAGCTGAGGGGCCTTCAACCCATCATTACTCTCTGACCTCTTCATCTTTGATAAGCACTGACATCTTCTTCCTAATAAATAGATCTTTGAGTTCTGTATATGCCTGGCTCCTTCCTGAATGGCTAGGAGGGACAAAGAGACGGAAAGAAGCTGAAGGGGAGGCATTTGGAGTAGAACCTCTTTCTCATCTTTAGTTTCCAGCAAAGACTTCTGGGTCTCATAAGCTGCTTCAGAGGTGGAGAGGAGAGGTACTGGGGAGAGGATTGCGGGGAGTGGCACCTTTTGCTTCTGTGCATAAGATGGTACATGAGGTTTTAAAATCCTTACTGGCTATGTGCCTGGACTTCTTTAAGGTTTATTTATTTTAATAGTCTAATAGTGCCTATTTCCTGGACTCTTGTGCGACATTAGAATAGTGCCTGGCACAGTAAATCCCTGTTAAGCATTGGCTAGAATGAGTAGGGTGTGGTTGGTTGGTTATGTTTTCTTTTATTATTATTATTATTTTTACTTTACGTGTATGTGTATTGCCTGCATGTAGGTAAGTGCACCCATGTCGTGCCATGCCTGTGGAGGTCAGAAGAGGCTGTCAGATCCCCTGGGACTGGAGTTACAGACAGTTGTTAGCTGCCATGTGGGTGCTGGGATTCGAACCTGCGTCTTTTGCAAGAACTGTCCTGGAACTATGTAGACCAAGCTAGCCTTGAACTCAGAGAGATCCGCCTGCCTCTGCCTCCCAAGTGCTGGGATTAAAGGCGTGCGCCACCATGCCCGGCCTTTTTATTTTATGTGTATGCATGTAGGTAAGCGCACCCATGTGCAATGCCTGCAGAGAACAGAAGAAGCCTTCGGATCCCCTGGAACTGGGGTTACAGACAGTTGTTAGCTGCCATGTGGGTTCTGGGATTCGAACCCAGGTCTTCTGCAAGAACAACCATTGTTCTTAACCGCTGAGCCATCTCTCTAGCCCTTTTTTACTTTTTGAGACAGGCTCTCACTGTGTTGCCCAGACTGGCCTTGAGCTCACTTGAAACCTGGCAAGCCTTGAATTTGTGATCTTGCCTTGGCCTCCTAAACTGCTGGAATTAAAGGTCCACAGTCTTAAGTGCTTTATGTGTCCTGAGAAAGGTAATACTTGCTGTCTAGGTATAGGCATAATTAAGCACTAGTACCTCTGCACCCACCTGGGAAGCCTGGTTCCAGGCCTTCTCTGCTAGACTCTCCATTGACCCTCTCCCTGCTGATCTCCTTGCCCTAATGTCTTGTTAGATCCCTGCTGACTGGCTCTTACTCTTGGGCACAAGGTAGAGGCCACAGTTAAAGATCAAACAGCAAATGTAATAAGCTTAGGACAACACCAACAGCAGCTGAAGAAGCAGTGTTCACCTCTGGGTTTGCACATCAGTGTTAAAAGGCTTTATTAGTAACTTTTGGGGGGGGGGCGGTCTTTTTGAGACAGTCTCCCTGTAGCCCCAGCTGTTCTGGAACTCACTATGTAGACCAGGCTGGCTTCAAACTCACAGTGATCCGCCTGCCTCTGCCTCCCAAGTGCTGGGATTAAAGGTGTGCGCCACAACACTGGCCTATTAGTAGTAGCTTTTTTTTTCTTAACTGTTTCATGTATTGCAGGCTGGCTTTGAAATTAAATAGCCAAATACTACCCTGAACTTGTGACCTTCCCCAGTGTTGGGATCACAGATACACATCACAGCACCCTGTCTGTTCTGTGATCCTGGGGTATCAAACGAGGTTTTTGTGTATTCTAACAGCTAAGCTACATCTCTAGCCCCAGAACATTTTTGAGTTGCAATCATCTGAAAACAACAGGGTATAAAACAGATGAAGGAGGGTGTATAGCACATGCCTATAATCCCAGGACTTGAGAGGCTGAGGAAGGACAACAGCTACATAGTAAGACACTCAAGAATCCTATCAAATATGCAATAGGGCTGGAGTTCAGTGGAAAGCCATGTGTTTATTAGCATGCCCAAGATCCCAGCGCTCAATCCTGAGCACCAAAAGAAATGGTGATTTGTGGCCCAGTTAACCCAAGTGTGTAGCTCCAACCCTATGTTTAGTTTCCATGGCCCATCCTCAGTGGTTTCTCCCAGAAAGATACTATAATTGGACTCAGAGACTGAAAGCTATTAAGTGAAAACCTTGGGGGTGAAGACACACTACAATGATTTATTAATTTGTCTTTTTGAGACGGTCTCTCTGCAGCCCCAGCTGGCCTGGAACTCACTATGTAGACCAGGCTGGCCTTGAGCTCACAGGATCCTCCTCTTGCCTCTGCCTCCAAGTGTTGGGACTACAGGTGTGCACCACCACACCTGGCTCATAATGATAAATATTAAATTTACTGATTTTGTATTCCACGCACAGGGAGGTCAGAGGGTACCAGAATCAGTCCTGAGAGAACCATGTAGGTTCCAGGGATTGAACTTTGTCAGGCTTAGCTGGAGGTGCCCTTACCCACTGAATCATTTCATCAGTCACCCACTACATGACTAAGGGGCTGCTTTGTGGCAGGTGCAGCACTCTGGTTGCTTTTTAAAAACCTTCCATTATGCATGAAGATTATGAAATGATTCAGTGGGTAAGGGCACCTCCAGCTAAGCCTGACAGTCACCCACTACATGACTAAGGGGCTGCTTTGTGGCAGGTGCAGCACTCTGGTTGCTTTTTAAAAACCTTCCATTATGCATGAAGATTGCATGCATGAGTGTACCCATGCATGCAATGCCTGGGGAGACCAGAAGAAGGCATCCAATCTCCTGGAACTGGCAGTTAGCCACCATGTGGGTACTGGGAACCAACTATTACAATCCTCTGCAATAGTAGCCAGTGCTCTTAACCACTCAACCATTCTTTCCAGCCCCCCCCCCCTTTTTTTTCATCCTTTTTAAGGCAGGGTCTCAACTCTAGCCCAGGCTGACCTGGAATATACTTTATAGCCCCGGCTATCTTTGAAATTGTCCAAATCCTCCTGATTCATACTTTCAAGTGCTGGGCATGAGCACTTTATGTTTCTCATTTTCTTTTCACCAATTTAAGAGTTGTGACCTTTAATGGAACCGAACACAGAGGTTTTGTTAACATGTAGTTGTTGAAATAGACTTTCCCCTTTTGAGCTGGTCTCAAAGGTCACCAAGACTTTGCTTGAAATTGCTATCTTCCTGAGTGTGAGGATTAGACATGTGTGCCATGTGCCAGAGTTGAGCCAGATCTGGACTTGACACAAAGCACGTTCTTGAACATAAGTCAGCTTCTCTAACCAAAGTTAAATGATAGCAATAAGGTTTTAGGGCACAATTTAAGGTTCACCTCTCCAACTTCACTTAAAGGACAGGAGTTTGTGGTATTCAGTACTAGCAAGATGTTCAAGCACTGCTCAGATTTTAAGAATGTCTGGAGCTGGGCTCTCAGGCAGGCTCTGTAATCACAGCCCTTGGGAGGAGGACAGAGGATCAGGAAACCAAGGTCAACATTGGCTACCTAAGGATATCTTGTATCAAGAACAGACAAACCAGTCTTAAAAAAGCCATTGAGCATGGGGCTGGAGAGATGGCTCAGCGGTTAAGAACACAGACTGTTCTTGCAAAATACCCGGGTTCAAATCCCAGCACCCACATGGCAGCTAACAGCTGTCCTGAAACTCCAGTTCCAGGGGATCCGACAGCCTCCTCTGCCCGCCCTCCGCGGGCACTGCACGACACGGGTGCACTTATCTACATGCAGGCATAACACTCATATACGTTAAAAAAAAAAAAAAAAAAAAACTTGAGAAACTTGACAGTCTGGGGCTGCAGGGAAGGGGAGATTCGTATATACCAGAGTACAGAAATTTGGGGGTTTAGTAAGGTAAGTTTAGTAAGTGCAGTTACGGAGGGAATCTATGATCAAGATATATTGTATGAAACTGGCAAAAATTCAATTTTAAAAAGTAGTCTGGGCCGGTGAGATGACTCAGCGCGTAAAAGCGCTTGCCCTACAAAATATGACCAGCGTTGAGTTGATCCGGAAACCCAGTGTGGAACGAAAGAACCGAGTTGACCACGAACCTCCCGCCCACGCCCGCACTCCTACAACACATATACACATAGAATAGTTACTTTTAAAAAAAGTCGTTTGCTTACTACCGGAAGTGTATGCAAACAAATCGTGACCGTTTTGGAAGATGTCAGCAAACCTATTGGGGGCGGGGGAAGGCGGGCAGGTGTCCGGCCCACCGCGCCCATCCCGCGAGCCCTCGCAGCTGTCTAAACACATCTTGATGCCCCACTGCAGAGCCACTTTCCGGATGAACTCGGTTTATTCCTTTGGCTCCACACAGCCGACCCGCATCTCGGCCCTGGCACGCGATGCGCTCGTTAAAGCAATGGCACAGGACTGGGAAAACGTGCTCACCGGGCGGCAGCTCCCTGAGCCCCAGCGAGACGTGGTGTCCCCTCGCCCGGGCCGAGGCCCAGAGCCCAGCGGAGCGAGCCCGGGTCAAGACGACCTGCCGCCGCCGCTAACCGTCCAGTTCCTCCTCCAGGCCACGTTCTCCTGCGTAGTCGCGGCCTCCTTTAGGGTAGCCATCACCAGCTCCTGGGTCCTGGCCGCTTCATCCCAGTACTGCTCTGGCATATCCTGTGGGCAAGAAGGATGTTTGCAGCGCCGGCTTCCAGCCAGTGCCTCTTCCCACGCACACCCACCTCGCGGCTCCTAGTTTCTACCCGCAGCATCGCCTGCCTCTTCAGCTCTCCTGGGGTCACGAGGGCAAAGAGAGCGGAGCCCACGCCAGCCCCTGCGCCTAGCACCGCAACCACCGCCAGAGCTTTGCGCACGGTCTCCATGGCGGACCGCTCTACCAACGAGGCGCCCTCTGGGTCCTCCCGCAGCCTAGAGGGGAAGCCACGGCGTCTCACTGTCCCCTGCGCGGGCTAGAGCGACGCATAGGGGCTGGAACCATAAACAGTTTCGTCAAAGAGGACCCATCTGTAAGAAAGGTTTAGAATCCACGAATCCTGTAAAAAAAATTTTTTTTCTGTCTTTTTGAGACAGGGTCTCTCTGTAGCCCCAGCTGTCCTGGAGTCACTATGTAGACCAGGTTGGCCTTGAACTCACAGAGAGTGCTGTGAGTTCTCTGCCTCCCGAGTGCTGGGATTAAAGGCGTGCGCCACCACGCCCCGCGAATCCTCAATTTTTAAAATTAATTAATTAATTCATTCATTCATTCATTCATTTTTTTACAGGGGCTTATTCTGTATCCCTGATTGGCCTGACTCTAAAAGAGATCCGCCTGCTGCTCCTGGGATCACATCCTGGATCTTAATACTTAACGGATATTGAGCGTGTTAGGTGCTGGACCCCGCTGGAGAAAGATGGCTCAGTGATTGAGAGTGCGTACTGTTCTTGCAGAGGACCAGAATTCAGTTCTCAGCACCTACATCTAGCGGCTCACAAAGCCCTCTCTGACCTCTCTGTGCTTACGCATATGTACATACACATAGTCATAAAAAAAAAAAAAACTTAAAAAGCAGTATTTGAAGCCAGTACCACATTCCTTTAATCCTAGCACTCCTGAGATAGAGGCAAGCCGATCTCTGAATTTGAGACCAGCCGATCTACCTAGCAAGTTCCAGGCCAGCCAGGGCCACACCTGCCTCAAAATTAAGTGGAGCGCGGGCTCCATTGCCACCAGAGGGCATGGCTGCCTGACTGCTTTGGATTTTACATGTGAAACAGTCCTCATGTTTCCAGTCAGTAGAGGGCAGCGCTTCTGACCAGTTTTCCTCCAGTAGCTTGTGCGTTTTACATCATCTTTTTTATTTTATGTGTGTATGCCTGCATGTATGGAAATGCACCCGTGTCCTGCAGTACCTGTGGAGGATCTCCTGGAACTGGAGTTACAGACTGGGTGCCAGGAGTCAAACCCAGATCTGCAAGAGCAACCAATTCTCTTAACCGCTAAGCCATCTCTCCAGTCCCAGCTTGTGCATTGTAGGTATACAACATAAATCTGGTGTAGTGGCTAATACCCAAAACCTCAGTATTTAAGGAGGGTGAGGCAGAAGGATCCTGAGTAAGAGGCTAGTCCAGGCGTCATAGGAAATCCCTTTCTAAAAAAACTAAAACCAGGAGGCTAGAGAGATGGCTCAGCGGTTAAGAGCACTGCCCCGGTTCGATTCCCAGCACCTACAAGGCAGCTGCAAACCATCCTTAACTCCAGTTCCAGGGGAATCCGAAGCCCTCTTCTGACCTCCGAGGCATTGCACGACACGGGTGCACTCACATACATGCAGGCAGTACACTCATACACATAAAAATAATAACTAAGCCAGGTGTGGTGGCCAGCACCTGTAGTCCCAGCACTTGGGGGGCAGAGGCAGGCGGATCTCTGTGAGTTCAAGGCCAGCCTGGTTTACATAGTGAGTTCCAGGACAGCTGGGGCTACAAGGAGACCCCGGCTCAAAAAGACAAAAAAAAAAAAAAAAAAGCCTGATACTTCTCTCCTCATGCTATACCCTTGACATTAGTTTTTTTAACCATGTGATTTGTAACCTGCCAAATTACAATTTGGAATGAAAGTATCTCCTAGATGTGTTATTCTAGGGAAATTGTTTTTGTGTCCTTTTTTCTGTATTGGAAAATTGTGACTTCAAAAACATTTTATCATTTTTTCTTTACATTTTTGTGTGTGTGCATGAGCAATTGTGGAGGTCAGAAGACAACTAATGAGAGTCAGTTCTTTCCTTCTAGGATGTGGCTTACAGGGATCTAGCTCAGGTCACCAGGTAAGTGCCTTAACCTGCTGAGCAATCTCTCAGATCTGAAAATTATGACTTCTAACAGTAGCTGTCTCATAGTGTAACAGTACTTGAGTTTATATGTGAGTACTTTAAAGAGTTCTGGCAAATAGTAAATGCCACATAAATATCCATTAAGTAACAGACAAATAAACAAGCCCACTTAGGAAAACCAGCAAACAAAGGCGTTAGGAAGTCCCAAGTTCATTATCATAGCTCTTTACTTAGAGGACTTTAATCCAGATGACCTTGTCACTTACCTTGACTGCCATCCCCAGAGTCTCAGGGAGTAAATAGAAATAAAGCTCCTATCCCTCATTTTTGGCAGCCCCCCTCCAACCAAAGGCCCATAATCTCCCTGTTGCCATCCTTCTTGGTGATTAAGGGGCCCTCTCCAAAGCTTAAGGGCACAGTCTATGTGGGGCACTGGGCAGGGGTACCTGGAGTTCAACCATTCTACACTCTTAGAGTCATTACCATGGCCCTTGTGCCAGGAAGCAGCAAAGATGGGCCTTGGTCTAGAGATAGCCCAGGCTCCTCATGGCATCCAGAAAGTCTAAGTTGACAAGTCCTCTCTCAAAGGACAGAGAAGAGATTGGCAGATATGAAGGTGCCCAAGATGTTCAGGTTTGTTTACTCCACCCTGTGTCCAGGTGCTGGCTCATCCTCAAACTACCCCTGCTGTCCTTATGTAGGTGTCTCAAAAGCCCTGCCTGCCCTCAGAGAATGAGGAGGACCAGGAGGATCTCCAGTGGCCACATGAGAAGTTGCTGTTGCTTACTGATGGTGTAGGAGGTAGAAGACTTCTTCCAGGACCAAAGTGAAGAGCCAGGTGAAGGAGGTGGCTGGTTCATTCAGGCTGTTGTAATACAGATGTTCTAGATATTCAATTAATGTGGGAAGTGGCTGGAGTGTGGCTCAGTGGTAAAGTGTAGGACAGCATGAATATGACCACACACACACTAAATGTAGTCAGTATATGAAGGAAAAACGTCTAGGCAGTTGATAAAGTTGATGAACAGTAGAGGACAGTTTTGGTGTTGTTGCCTTTTTGGTCCCAAGGAGGTCTTACTAGGTAGTTCCAGCTGGCCTCGATGAAGATCTTCCTACTTCAGCCTCCCAAGTGGCACCGTGCCTAGTTTGTTTGTTTGCTTGTTCTTTTATTTATTAGGTACTAAAGACTGAACCTAGAGAAGTACTTTAAGACTGAGCTATATCCCTAGTCCTTTTAATTAATTAGTCAATTTTTGAGATAGGGGTTCCCTATAGCCTCAGCTGGCCTATAACTTGCTATGTAGTTCAGGCCTGCCTCTGTGCCCTGCTGGGATTAAAGGCATGCACCACTACACCCAGCCATGTTAAAAAAAAAAAAAAAAAGTCGAGCGAGGTGGCACAGGCCTTTAATCCCAGCACTTGGGAGGCAGAGGCAGGCGGATCTTTGTGAGTTTGAGGCCAGCTTGATCTACATTGTAGCTGGGGCTACAAGGAGACCCTGTCTCAAAAAAGAGAAAAAAACAACAACAAAAAATAGCCAGGTGTGGTGGTGCATGCCTTTAATCCCAGCACTCAGGAGGCAGAGGTAGGTGGATCTCTGTGAGTTCAAGGCCAGCCTGGTCTACCTAGTGAGTTCCAGGACAGCGAGACCCTGTTTCAAAAAGACCAAAAAAATAAAACCCTGCAAAAAACCAACCAAAACCCAAAAAGCAGATAGTGTGTATGTGTTCATGTGCCATAATGTATGTTTGTATAGGACAACTTGTGGGAGTTGGTTTGCTCATCTACCCTATGGGTTCTGGGGATTGAACTCAAGTTGTCAAGACATGACAAGTTCTGAGCCATCTGGCTGGCCACATCTTTTATCTTTAAAATATTTTATTTAATGTTGTATGAGTGTATTACTACATGTATGTAAGTGCATCCATGTCATGTCGTGGAATGCCTGTGGAGGCCAGAAGATGGCCTCAGATCCCCTAGAACTGGAGTTATGAATGGTTGGTTATTAGCCACTATGTGAGTGGTGGGAACTGAACCCAGGTCCTCTACCATAGTAGCCTGTGCTTTTAACCACTGAGCTATCTCTTCAGCCCCTGGTCACATTTTTTTTTTCTTTTTTTGAGACAGGGTCTCTCTGTAGCCCCAGCGGCTGGCCTGGAACTCACTTTGTAGACCAGGCTGGCCTTGAACTCACAGAGATCCAGTTGCCTCTGCCTGGGATTAAAGGCATGCGCCACCATGCCCGGCAGTCACATCTTTTAATCTGTACTGTTTGTTTGCTTATTTGTAGTATTGGGGTTTTTGAGCCCAGGGGCTTTAAACTTTTTATTACATTTATTTTTGTGTATGCGTTTGTGTGGGGTAGGGATGTACACGTAGTACAGTATGCCCATGGAGGTCAGAGGACAACCGTGTGTCAAGGGCTGAATTTAGGTCTTTCAGTCAAGCTTGGCTTACTTGGGTCTTTACCTGCTGAGTCATTTACCCAGCCCCCAAACCCAGGGATTTTTGCATATTAGGTAATCTATACTTTTTTGTTTTGTTCTTTCGCTATCTTGAGACAAGGTACTAATGTGTCCAGCCCTAATCTGTATTTTGAATATTTTATAGACTTACTAAATACTTTGACAAACTGGGCTGCAGAGTAGGCAAAGCACTTGCTCTGTAAGCCTAAGGACTGGAGTTGAGATGCTCAATATGTGTATAAATCCCACCTGGGCAGGGCAGTCTGATTTTAACAGTGCTCTGGATGCTGAGATACTTGGAGTAAGCTAGGAGCTATACTAGCAGAATGGGCAAAGTCTGGCTTCTGCAAGATCTTGCATTAACACACAAGGCGAAGCTGGGCAAGGTAGCACAATTTAATCCCAGCACTTGGGAGGCAGAGGCAGGGGGATCTCTGAGATGTAGGCCAGCCTGGTCTTCATAGCAAGCTCCAGGTCAGCTGGGGCTACAGGGAGACCTTGTCTCAATAAGTCAGAATTCAATTTAGAGAAGTTCTCTCCTTTCACCATTAGGGTCCTAGGCACTGAACTTAGGTTATCAGGCTTGGAGGCAATGGTCCCTCACTTTACAATCTTTTAAAGACATACAGTATCAAGAATGCTTCACTGTTCTTACCTCCCCCAGGCAGGACTTGGATCCCACAGGACCCCACATCTCCTCTAAGAACATTTAACCCAGGACTCAGTTGGGAGCAGGACCAAGAAGAGTGAGAAGCTTCTTGGATTTGTGAGGAAAGGGAGTGTCAGGAAATCCCCAACCCCTGTCCTCTTTGGGACTCAACAGGTTCCTGTGTCTACAGAAGCCGCTTTGTGGACTATTCCCATCTCACCCCTTCTAATACCTCTGGGTAAGTATTGCTCTTCATTTCATGTAGGTTCTTGTTCAAGTACTTTTGCCCAGCCTTCTTCACCTTATAGGTGAGAAAACCAATTCTCAGTGGTCAGATCATAGGACACAAGCCAATACTGGGATTTGAATTGAGCTCTGTGGAATGATCCATTTGCCTTGTGCCTGACACTGCTAAACCTTTTTCACTTTCTCAATTCTGCTACCCATACTACAAAGATAAAACTCTAACCTTCTCATTGCTCAATAGAAAATGCTGATCTTTAATGAGAGGATTTAACCAAATAAGCATAGTAGGTGATCCCCTTGAAAGGGCCTAACTCCTCCACAGTCACAGTCCAGCCATGGGATTTTTGTTCCAGGCAGGGCAGTCTCACATCAGGGTCTTCATCAGAGAACTGAATCAAGGTCCCCTGGGGACTCAGGACCCTCAGGCATTCTGACAGGAGCTGGTAAGCCCCACTCAAACCACCCCTGGCAACAGCATCCCAGGTACCTTTGTCCAGCAGTAGCTGGAAGGAACCTGATGAAGCCAGGGCTCCCAGATTCTGGGCATCAGCCTGCACGAAGTGAAGGCTAGAGGAAGGGTGTCCAGGGCATAGAGATGGTTGGCCTTGGCCTCCTTGTAAAAGGCTGTTCATGTGGGCCACCGCCACAGAAGAGAAGTCCACTCCTACCACATCCACAGGGTAGGGGGACTTGGCATAGAGGCCTGTGCACAGGCTTGATGTCCCACAGCCCACATCCAGTACCCTCAGTGGACACGAAGCCTGTGATTCCTTCAGCAGTGGAAATAGGAGTCCCTGGACTTCCTCATATCCAAAGAACCAGTCGAAGGTGGGGCCACTGCCCAGACGCGGCTGGGCGTGAAGGCGATCCCAGAGGTTTCGGTCTGCAAGACAACTGCTGGCCAAGGAGCCTGTGGGGTAAGGGTGGAGGGGCGCGTGTTACCCCAGACCAGGGACACTTCCTTGCTGAACGAACTGCACAAGCACCCAGATTACTGCTGGGATTACAGGCGTGCGGTACCACTGCGGGCTTTAAAAACCACAGGTTTAGCCGGGCGTGGTGGTGCAGGCCATTAATCCCAGCACTCGGGAGAGTTTCAGGCCAGCCCCCCCTACAGGGATACCCTGTCTCAAGACCTAAAAAACCCGACGATTCCCAGGTCTTTAGGAACGCACCTTCCCTGCTCGTAAAAGCTCGGCGCATCCCCGACACTAAGGTCAGCGTTTGAAGCACTCCACTGAAGGCAGCCATCGGTCTCCACAAAGTCGACCAGAGAAAGTGTCATCACCCGCACTCCAGCGGGAGTCTGGGGTCCCCCAAGGAAGATCTGCAAATTCCTAGTCGCGGAAAACCGCAGTGTCCGCCAAGTCTGCAGCTACGGAAAAACCAGGCGGACACAGTCCTCTCTGGGTTCAAACAGCCTTTATTGGTGCAGCAGTTAAGGAAGCGGTGACGCGTCAGCCGTCCATCCTGGGTTGGCGTCAGCACACTGGAAACCAAAATGGAAACGCGTGAGCATCTCGCAGGAGACCGCCAGGCCTGGCTGCATCCCTGCGGCGTGGAGACTCGTGTCCCGGCGTTTGAGGATAGAACCGGCGGACGGGAAGCCGCCGGCACCGAAGACATGACGCCGGGAGGGCCGCAACCCTTTCCCTCTGCCTCCGCACATAACGGGGAGCGAGACCGCACGCCAGCTCCCCGCCAAGAAAAGGAGGGTCTGTAAAGTCAGGCCAGGCCCTGCCCGCCTCCCACGTACAGCCACACAGTTTACCAGAGCGCCGCCCTTGGAAAGACCTCAACGTGCCTGGAGCCCCCTTTAAATAGGCCCAGATCCCGTCCCCGAGCTGCGATTGGTTCTCTGGGACCAGGGGCGGGACCTTCGGTGGTGGGGCGGGGCCTGCGAGTGTGGCGCACAGCGGAAGTGCGGCTCCGCGTGTGATCCTTGAAGCTGCTATGGGAGCCCCGGGAGGAAAGATCAACCGTCCCCGGACGGTAACTGTGTGGCTTCCCCGGGCGTTTTCGCTCAGGAATGGGTTCCATTGGGGGCGAGGGTTCCCAGGGGCGGCCGTGCACGGCCTCACTCTGGTTCGTATCTCTCCTCCCGCAGGAGCTGAAGAAGAAGCTGTTCAAGCGCCGGAGGGTGTTGAGCCGGGATCGGCGGCTGAAGCGCCAGGTCGTCGGGGCCGTGATAGACGAAGGGCTGATAACCAGGCACCACCTCAAAAAGCGGGCGTGAGTACCGGGGCTGCCCCGCCTGTTGCGCATCCCTGCCTCCTCCCACCCCTATGTTCGTGTACCCACGTTTATGCTGCGAAATAATTGTCAGTTGTGTTAGCTCCTAAACTACCAGCCTCTCACAATACCTGTTGCCACAGCCTCTCTTTAGGTTTGGGTCCTATTCAGAAACTAAGAAAGGTTATCGACACTCACCCTTACACATAGTTAACTACAATAACTTAGATTGTTAAACTTAGTTTTTGCATTCAGAAAAGTGCTTGCAACTGGTCGCACATATGATTTTGCATACAAGTTTCTGGGCAAGAGTTCCCATCCATTAATAACTTTCTACATTCTTTCATTGGCTTCTTATATTCAGTATTTCTCCATTCTAAACCTTAACATTTAAAGTGATGTTCTTTATTTAATACTTGAAACTGAGGTATATATTGAAATTAAGTGAGCTGTTACAACCTAAGTGTTAGATAAGACTCCAGACAAGAGTTCACACCTTTTTATTTGTTTATTTATTTATTTGGTCTTTTTTTTTTTTTTTTTTTAGACAGGGTCTCCCAAAAAAACCCCACCATTTTTTATGTCTGTGAGTGTATTGCCTGCATGTATGTAAGTGCACCGGTGCCTGTGGAGGTTAGAAGAGCATGTCACATCTCCTGGAAATGGAGTTACAAAAGTTGTCAGCCATCATGTGGGTACTGGGAACTAAACCTGGGTGGTCTGCAAGAGCAGCCAGTGCTTTTAATCGCTGTGCCATCTCTCTAGCCCGGAGTCTACACTTTAAAACAGTTATGTAATTTGAATCCAGAGACCTTTTACAAAACCAAAAAAACTGGGTGTAGTGGTTCTTACCTGTAATCTCAGCACCCTGGAAGTTGAGGTGGAAGGATTGCCTGGAGCTAAAGGCTTGCCTGGGCTACTGAGTGAGTCCTTGTTTCAAACAAACAAAAGACCAAAATAAAGTAAAGATAAACACCCTTTCCATACCTGAATCACTTTTCTGGCTTGTGTTGGTTCAGGCGAACCCAGATAGCTTTTAAGTCTACCTACTCTCTAGGTCCAGTGCACGTGCCAACATTACTCTGTCCGGGAAGAAGCGAAGAAAACTCCTGCAGCAGATCCGACTTGCCCAGAAAGAAAAGGCAGCCATGGAAGGTAAGTATGAGGTACAGATGTGCAGGGGAAAGGGAGCCTGGATTTTCTGGGGTTGTTCACTGCTTCCTCTTTGTCTTTGTTCAGTGGAAGCCCCCTCAAAGCCAACCAGGATTAGTGAACCACAGCCCAAAAGACAGAAGAAGATAAAAGCTCCCCAGGATGTAGATATGGAAGACCTTGAAGATGCAAGCTAAAGTTCCTACCTCTTCTACCTGAAGATTCTCAGTCACAGCCACAAGGATTTGGTGGTAGTTTTAGAGGACTTTAGAGAAGGCATTGCTCTCTTTCACTCTCCCAGATTCTTTTTGAGTGATGACCTACTGACCTTCCCTGGAGGTGGTGTACTGGAAAGAGGAGCATACCAAGAAGGACTGCAGAGGGCCCTTTCTAGCAGTCAACTCCTTTTGTAATAAAGCCCCAAAGCTTTGACATGTGTGATTAACTGCAGGAATGGGACGGGTGATAAAAAGGGGTCTTTGAATGTGGGTGGACACAGCCCAGAAGCAGGATACAGCGTGTGCTTGAACAGAGTCAACAAGAAGCTAGGCAGCTCTTTCGGTGAATGACACTCCAACTTTGCAATTCTGAACAATACAGATATTATAAGGATGGTGGATGGGGAGGTAAGGGGCTATTAGTGCTGCCACTGCTCTGGTTGGGCAAGTTACTTAAATTGCCCTGCTTCCTTTGCTGGATTATAATAATTAAATAAAAAACAAATATTTCCTTTTATTTTTCTCATTTTTCATGGTGCTGGGGGTTAAATTCAGGGCCTCATGCATTTTAGGCAGTCGTTCTACCACTTGGTTACATCCTGATTCCCATTAACATTCATGCTGATTTCCCTGTTAACATTCATGCTTATGTTTGTGAGAAGCCAGTTCTGAGTATTGTTTTGTTTTTTGGAGACAGGGTCTCCCTTTTATAGTCTAGGCTTGTCTTAAACATGAAATCCTCCTTTCCTCCCTGCACAGTACTGGGATTACAGGCATAAGCCACCATGCACAGGCCTTTTCAAAACTTTTGCTACTACAGACACCTAAACAGGTGGCCAGGAAATATCAGAAGATAAAGGTGATTGCCACCAAGCCTGACAACCTGAATTCAATCTCCCTGTCTTACACAGTGGAAGGAGAGAACTGGATCTTGAAAGTTATCCTCTGATTTTCACTCTTGCACTGTGACATACACACAATAAATAAATAAATAAATGTAAAAAGAAAAATATATACAGACTTGCAGTGTTCTCTCATTTTCCATTCTGCTTCCCCAACTAAATACCAGTAATATAACTTTTCTATAAATGTTAACTATTGGGGCTGGAGAGGTGGCCCAACACCCACATCAGGCTGTAATTCCAGTAGATCTGAGGTCCTCTTCTGGACTCAAGTACACATACCCACACACATAAACATAATTTAAAGATAATAAAAGTTGCCCAGGATGGTGACTCATACCTTTAGTCCTAGCTCTTGGGTAGGCAGAGGCAGGCAGATCTCTATGGGATGGAGGCCAGCCTGGTCTACATAACAAGAGCCAGGCTAGCTGGGGCTGCAGGGAGACTTGAAAACCAACCAAACAAGTAACAAAATAGGCGCTTGAGAGATGGCTCAGCTGTTACAAGCACTGGCTGCTCTTGGAGAGGACCCAGTTTCAGTTACCAGCACTCACATGGCAACTAACAGTCCTCTAACTCCAGTTCCTGGGGATCCAGTGTCCGCTTCTGATCTCCATGGGCATTGCATGACAGGGATTGCATGTTCAGGCAAAACACAATAAGAAAAAGAGTTTTATGTTTACTGTTTATCAAACACTGCTGTAAATTCTTTGCATTCATTATTAGTTCATCAGTCTCCCAACCATACTCTTGGATATTATAAATGTTGCATGACTTTTTCCTGGGGAGACACAGAAACACCTGTTTATCCCAACACACTGACATATCAAAGAGATTATTCAATCTTTTTAAATTTTATTTATTTTTATTTTATGTGTATGTATTGCTGCATGTATGTGAGTGCACCCGTGTCATGCAATGCCGCAGAGGTCAGAAGAGGGTTTCAGATTCCCCTGGAACTGGAGTTAAGGACAGTTCGTAGCCGCCATGTGGGTGCTGGGAATTGAACCCGGGGCCTCTGCAAGAGCAGTCAGTGCTCTTAACCACTGAGCCATCTCTCCAGCCCCGAGATTATTCAATCTTAAATCCAGCTTGGTCGATCAATGTGTTCTTTGGTTTGTTGGTTTGTTGTTTGTTTTGAGACAGGGTCTCCCTGTAGTCCCAGCTGGCCTGGAACTCACTATGGAGGCCAGGCTGGCTTCTATCTCACAGATCTACTTTCCTCTGCCTCCCAGGTGCCGATATTGAAGATGTGCACCACAACTGGCAGCTGCTCTGATTTAAGTTGGAAATGGTCCTGAGTTTAGAGAAAAGAGTTGTACTGCACTATACCTACATTACAGGTGTTAAAACAAAGATCTACTTGTCCATGGACACTCACTAGAAAATAATAGAAGGACTTGGCTCCATGCAGCCTAATTTTAAAACTGCCTCTTGTCATTTAGAGGGGTTTCTGTATCCAGCATCACTTTACATACCAAGCATTTTACATCAATTTTCTCAAGATGGGGCTGGAGAGGTGGCTCAGTGATCAAGAGCAATTTTTGCATAGGACCTGAGCTTGGCTCCCAATACCCGTAATTCGGTGACCTACATTACCTGTAACTCCAGTTCCATGGGGATCTGAGCCTGTGGACTCACATGCACATGCTTCTCCCCTCCCAGAATATAATTAAAAATGATTTCAAAAGATGATTCAAGTTACTGTCACAGAGTATGGAGACAGGCATCATGTTCATTTTGTAGATGAAACATCATGTTCATTTTGCAGATGAGGAAACAGGCCTCTTGGTCATGGTTATATTATAATATTATACTGCCAACAAATGGCAGATTTGTCCAGCCCCATAATGAGCTCCCTTAGATTGAGGGTTTTTTTTTTTTTTTTTGGTCTTTTTGAGACAGGATCTTCCTGTAGCCCCAGCTGTCCTGGAACTCACTATGTGGACCAGGCTGGCCTTGAACTCACAGAGATCCGCCTGCCTTTGCTTCCCGAGTGTTGGGATTAAAGGCGCGGGCCACCACGTCTGGTTTACATTAAAAAAGGCCAAGAGCCACATCATAAACCAGTGTGGTGATATGCACCTACTTCCAGCTATTCCAGAGTTTGAGAGAAAAGCCAGTTGAGCCAAGAATTATAGAACAGCCTGGGTAATACAGCCAGACTACATCTAAGACAAAACTAAAAAGTTAGGTGTGGTGCATGCCTATAATCCTATAATCCCAGCACTAGAGAGCTACAGGCAGAATGCTCAGGAGTTCAAGTTCATCCTTGGCTACATAGCCAGTTGAAGCCAATCGTGCCTCAACAAGTAAGCAAGCAAACAAAAACGGGAAACTCATTTTATTTAGAGAAATTTCTGAGATGAGACGGCTTCTCACTAGCCCTGGCTGGCCTGGATCTTGCTTTGTAGACCAGGTTGGCCTCAAATTTGCAGTGATTTTCCAGCCTCAGCCTCTAGGACTGTGCTGCGATTACAGGATCTAAGTCAGAGAGGTTGGTTTGATGTTACATTTTAAAATTTTATGTATGCATGCATGTATGTATGTATGTATGTATTTAATGTGTACGAGTGTTTGCCTGCATATATACATGTGCACCACATGCGTGCCTGGTGTCAGTACAGTTCAGAAGAAGGCGTTAGAGCCCCTGGAATGAGTCACAGACGGTTGTTTGTCGCCATGTGGGTTCTGGGACCCAAACCGGGCTCTCAGCACTGGTCTTAATCACTGAGCCATCTCTCCAGCCCCTGGTGCCTCGTTTTGCAAAAGCTCATGAGTTGCATGTTTAGGAAAAAGAATTAAACTCTACTGCGAACAGTCCCAGACAACTATCGTCTATCGCTGGTGCTTTGAAGATGTTTGTATTGAGGGCGGATGTGTTACCAGCTGTCATACTCGAGATGCGGAACCAAAGTCCAAGGGCTTCAGACGTCGCCGGACTGCTTTTCCTGAGAGGCCGAGAGTCTGGTTTCTTTCGCGTTTCCAACCAGCGCGCATGCGTCGCCTACGCTTTGCCGCTCCCGCGTCAGGCTCCGGGTAGGGCTCCGGGATGTCCGCGTTGTGCGACCCTCCCGGGGCCCCGGGGCCCCCCGGGCCTGCCCCTGCCACTCACGGTCCCGCGCCTCTCAGGTAGTCCGAGCCCCTGGGGTCTCCCCCACCGCGCGGCGCTCCCCACCTCCCCGGCAGAAAGCCGGATCCCCGCTGGAGAACTCGCGGCAGGGTTCGCAGAGGTTCTGGCCGCGTCCTCTCCGAACTCGGGCTGCTTCGCTGAGAGCGCTGGGCTCGGGTGCCCGCCCTGCCCTGCCCTGCCCTGCCCTGGGTTCCACCCCTCTCGGGACCCCGGTGCCCGGTGCCCCTGGCCTTGCCTCCCAGCAGTTGAGGATGCCAGTACTCTCGAGAACCCGATCCCCTGCCCCCTTTAACCAGAGCGTCAGAGGCTTCATGGAACCCCACTGAATATTCCTGCCAACCTCCCTTTGCACACGCCCCTCGTTTTGAGTTTTATTTTCAAGGAACCAGAAGAATGGCACAGAGCTTTATCAGCCCAGAAAATGTTTTCTTTGACAGAAAAGGCGATAAGAGGAGGGGGTGGTTACTTCCTCCCACAACACTGCCTTCTGAACTTCTAACACAGAAGTCATGTTTTGGGGGGTTAGAAAGGCTGGCGTGTCTAGGCTCTGGACACCTTGACGCTTAGCCACATTGAAGGTGGTGGTTGTTGATTTAGTGGCGGGTGTTTGGCATTCTTGTACAGAACGGGAAGGACAAGTGTTGGGAGAGCCTCTAAGCAGGGACTTACAATTTTCTGTCCATTATGAGCTTGTGTTGGAAGGGGGAACTGGGAAGATATTTTAAGAGCAGATACAGAAACTCAAGCTATATTTATTTAATTCAACAAATATTTGTTGTATTTATTGAGTACTTCTTACATACCAGCACCTCGATAAAGGGGATTTTTTTTTTTTTTAATGTGTGTGCATGCATTGCCTGCATGTAGGTAAGTGCACCCGTGTTGTGCAGTGCCTGCGGAGGTCAGAAGAGGCTGTTGGATCCCCTGGGACTGGAGTTATGGACAGTTGTTAGCTGCCATGTGGGTGCTGGGATATGAACCTGGGTCTTCTGCAAAAACAACCAGTGTTCTTAACCACTGAACCATCTCTCCAGCCTGGATTCTGCTTTTTAAGCATAGAAATGATTCTTCTCGTGGAGCATATAGTCTGATTAATTGACTTTGATTTCCTTATCTGTAAAATGGGATAATAGTCCTACCATATTGAACTGTTGTTAGGACTAGAAAAATACACGTAAAGTACTAAAATTGGGAGTTGCTTTGTAGGTAGTGATCAGCATTGAAAAATAAAGTACCTGGAAGCTGGGTATGGTGGTGCACAGCTTTAGTCCCAGCACTTGAGAGACAATGGCAGGCAGAGGTCAGCCTAGTCTACATAGTGAGTTCCAGGCCAGCCAGGACTACATAGGGAGACCTGTCTTAAAAAAAAAAAAATTACCTGGACATTTGGAAAGTTGTATGCTATTGATATGATTCTTGTTGACAGGAAAATAGCATTTATTGAATGATTAATGTGGACCATAAATGGTATGTAAGTACTTTAACTTTTAGAAGTTTTGCCGTTATACATAGAAACTGAAGGTCAACTGTGCATGCCTTTAGTCCCAGCACTTGGGAGGCAGAGGCAGGCGGATCTCTTGTGAGTTCAATGTTCTAAGTCTGCTTCTTTTGATCCTTACAGTGCTCAGGAGCTGTCCCAAGAAATCAAGGCTTTTCTCACTGGTGTAGACCCCATTCTGGGCCACCAGCTCTCGGCTCGGGAACATGCTCGCTGTGGTCTTCTCCTGCTCCGCTCTTTGCCACCTGCTCGGGCTGCTGTGCTGGACCACTTACGAGGTGTCTTTGATGAGAGTGTCCGGGCCCACCTAGCTGCCCTAGATGAAAGTCCTGTGGCTGGTCCACCTCACCTCCGTCCACCTCCACCCTCCCACGTCCCTGCTGGTGGACCTGGCTTAGAGGATGTGGTGCAGGAAGTGCAGCAGGTGCTATCTGAGTTCATCCGGGCCAATCCAAAGGCCTGGGCACCTGTGATAAGTGCATGGTCCATTGACCTCATGGGACAACTGAGCAGCACGTATTCTGGGCAGCATCAGCGTGTTCCCCATGCTACTGGTTCTCTTAATGAACTCCTGCAGCTATGGATGGGCTGTAGGGCCACCCGTACATTAATGGACATCTATGTGCAGTGCCTCTCGGCTCTCATTGGTAGCTGCCCAGATGCATGCGTGGATGCCTTGCTGGACACTTCTGTCCAGCATTCCCCACACTTTGACTGGGTTGTGGCTCATATCGGCTCTTCATTTCCTGGCACCATAATCTCCAGAGTCCTCTCCTGTGGCCTTAAGGACTTCTGTGTCCATAGTGGGGCTGGAGGTGGAGCTGGTGGTTGTGGTGGAAGCTCTTCTCAAACCCCATCCACAGATGCCTTCCCTGGATCTCCTGCCATCCCTGGGGAGAAACGGGTGCCTAAGATCGCCTCAGTTGTAGGCATTCTAGGGCACTTGGCCTCCCGCCATGGAGACAGCATTCGGCGGGAGCTCCTAAGAATGTTTCATGATAGCCTGGCAGGGGGCACTGGGGGCCGGAATGGGGACCCATCCCTTCAGGCCACGGTTCCCTTTCTACTGCAGCTGGCAGTCATGTCGCCAGCTTTGCTTGGCACAGTCTCTGGAGAACTTGTGGATTGCCTCAAGCCCCCAGCAGTGCTGAGCCAGCTGCAACAACACCTGCAGGGGTTCCCGAGAGAGGAGCTGGACAACATGCTGAACCTGGCTGTACATCTGGTGAGCCAGGCCTCTGGGGCTGGTGCCTACCGCCTGCTGCAGTTCCTAGTGGACACAGCTATGCCTGCTTCAGTCATTACTACCCAGGGCCTGGCTGTGCCAGACACAGTGAGAGAGGCCTGTGACCGGCTGATCCAGCTGCTGTTGTTGCATCTACAAAAACTGGTTCATCATCGTGGAGGGTCTCCTGGAGAAGGAGTCCTGGGCCCATCTCCACCTCCCCGTCCAGTGCCCTTTCTTGATGCGCTAAGAAACCATGTTGGAGAGCTGTGTGGAGAGACTTTACGGCTGGAACGGAAGCGCTTCCTCTGGCAGCACCAGCTCCTGGGCCTGTTATCTGTCTATACTCGACCTAGCTGTGGACCTGAGGCCTTGGGCCATCTACTCAGCAGAGCCCGAAGCCCTGAAGAGTTGAGTCTGGCTACTCAGTTATATGCAGGGCTGGTGGTTAGTCTCTCCGGCCTTCTCCCTCTGGCCTTCCGAAGCTGCCTGGCTCGAGTGCATGCGGGGACTTTACAGCCTCCCTTCACAGCCCGGTTCCTGCGTAACTTGGCCATGTTAGTCGGGTGGGAACAGCAGGGTGGTGAGGGCCCTGCAGCCCTAGGGGCCCGGTTTGGGGAGTCTGCATCAGCTCATCTATCTGATCTGGCCCCTCTCCTGCTACATCCAGAGGAGGAAGTAGCTGAAGCCGCTGCCTCACTCTTGGCCATTTGTCCCTTTCCTTTGGAAACCTTGTCCCCCTCCCAGCTCCTGGGAATGGTGAGAGCTGGGGTGCACCGCTTCTTTGCTTCTCTGAGGCTGCATGGCCCTCCGGGTGTGGCCTCAGCCTCCCAGCTTCTCATCCGTCTTTCGCAGACTTCCCCAGCTGGGCTAAAGGCTGTCTTACAGCTGCTGGTTGAGGGAGCCTTACATCGGGGTAACACAGAACTGTTTGGAGGGGAAGTGGATGGAGACAATGAGACTGTGTCAGTTGTCTCAGCCCCTTTGGCTTCTGCCTCCCTGTTGGACACTAACCGGAGGCATACTGCAGCTGTGCCAGGTCCTGGAGGGATCTGGTCAGTTTTCCACGCTGGAGTCATCGGCCGTGGCTTAAAGCCACCTAAGCTGGTCCAGTCTCAAAACCAACAGGAAGTGATCTATAACACCCAGAGCCTCCTTAGCCTCTTGGTGCACTGCTGTAGCGCAGCACGGAGCACTGAGTGTGAGGGGTGCTGGGGGGCTCCCACCCTGAGCCCGGAAGCAGCCAAAGCAGTTGCAGTGACCTTAGTGGAGAGTGTGTGTCCTGATGCAGCTGGTGCTGAGCTGGCCTGGCCCCCAGAGGATCATGCAAGGGCCACTGTGGAGCGGGATCTCCGCATTGGCCGGCGCTTCCGGGAACAACCCCTGCTTTTTGAGCTTTTGAAGCTGGTGGCAGCTGCTCCCCCAGCCCTGTGTTACTGTTCCGTGCTGCTGCGGGGGCTGCTGGCTGCCCTCTTGAGCCACTGGGAAGCCTCTCGCCACCCTGATACAGCTCACTCCCCCTGGCACCTGGAGGCATCCTGCACCCTGGTGGCGGTCATGGCTGAGGGAAGCCTCTTGCCACCGGCCCTGGGTAATATGCACGAGGTATTCAGCCAACTGGCACCTTTTGAAGTGCGTCTGTTGTTGCTTAGTGTCTGGGGTTTTCTCCGGGAGCACGGGCCCTTGCCCCAGAAGTTCATCTTCCAGCCTGAGCGTGGCCGCTTCATCCGGGACTTCTCCAGGGAGGGTGGCGGAGAGGGGGGACCCCATCTGGCTGTGCTGCACAGTGTCCTCCACCGCAACATCGACCGCCTGGGCCTCTTCTCTGGCCGTTTTCAGGCACCTTCACCGTCCACGCTCCTTCGGCAGGGGACATAGCCTCTGCTCCAGAAGCCGAAGGAGGTTGGCTGGTGAGGAGACGGGGCGCTACCGAAGGCCGGAGGCTCTCCTAAGTCCCTGGCCTGGTGAGCGCTGTCACTTTTTTCAAACCCCACATTTTTTTTCTAAATAAAATTTGCCGAGTTGAGACCAACAGTCCAGTGTTTCTATGTGACCCAGAAAGCTGGCCAGGAGGGAGCCCTGCACGCCCCGCCCCTCACCGCCCAGGACTCCGCCCAGGGGCCCACGTCCGCCTGCGCTCCAGCCGGGCCAATCAGGAGGCCGGAAGGGGCGGGCACTGCGAGACGTGGCTCAACGTGCGCAGGGGCGGGTAGGTTGGGGTCAAGGAGCAAACCCGGCACAAGATGGCGGCAGTAGCGGCAGTGGCGGCGCGTAGGAGGCGGTGAGGAGCCCGGAACCCAGGGGCGCCGGGACGCCCCTAGACCCCCGACACCCATCTTCTCCTCGTGTGTGCCCTCGTGTCACCCTGCTTCCCCGGGGCTCGCCGAGGCCCTTTGTTCCGTGGCGGCGGCCTCGGCTCCTCCAGCCTCCCGGCTGCAGTCTCGCGAGCCGTGGCGGCGTTGGCTGGGGGGCTCCTGGATCCCGCCGGCCAGTCCGGGCCGCGGCAGGTGGTGGCTCGGGCTTGGGCTGTTGAGCCGCCCGCTCTCCCGTGGCGGCTCGCGGTGGTCACTGCCGCCTCCCCGCAGTGCGCCGAGCGGCCGAGGGAGGTGGAGGACGGCGCGCAGATCGGAGTGGAAATGCAGCCTGTTGCCCTTCGGGCCCGGGGCCGGCGAAGCCCTGCGGTGGGCAGGTCGTCCTCTACCCCCTCCCGCCCTCCGCACCTCGCTCCCCATCACTCCCTGCACTAGCCCTGGCTAGCTGTGTTCTGTACGGTTGCTGGGCAGGATCCTGTAAGTTCACAGTCTGCATGGATGATGTTGCTCAAACACAACATGTAATCGAGTGGTGTGGTCTGCGCTCTGGAGTTTATAGTATCGTAAAAAAGATTGGAAGCACATCCGCGCACAAAGCGCAGTACGCCTAACGGATGTACTGGGGTGGGAGAAACGGGGACCAAAGGCAGCAAGGAAAAAGGTGGATCATAAACTCATTACTTCGCAGCCTGTGATCTGAAACAATAAACAGGTGTGACTTGCCCTGAAGCTCATTTCTGACTGTAGCTTGTGAACACCTTGTCTGGGTGTTCAAGGCTTCCCTGAATTCCTAAGGCCACTTCGTACATGAAGGGATCCTTTAGAAATCGTATTGTTATTGGCGTCTCTCCAAACCTAGTTTCTAAACTTGCAAATAGGGTTCCAGAGTATTTAATAACTTATAAAGTAATGACTACTGCTGTTTGGGGGGAGGTGGACACAGGGGCAGTGACCCCAGGTTCTTGCAGCAGTTGCTTCTCAGGACTGGGGCCATATACACGCCTTGCCGTTAGTATTCTGGTAGTATTCTTGTTTGCCTGGTACTTGCCTTGCTTGGCCTAAGTACGCCACTGCCTAGTTCTTTCTTGGCCTAGTACGTCAGTGTCTAGTCTGTCCTTCCTTTATTTCCCTTGCCTTCTGAACTATCTTCTTTTTCCTTCTGAACTTACTTCCCTTCCCTCCCCCCTCTCTCTCTCTCCATCCTCTTTCCCCTTCCTCTCTTCCCTCCTTTCCCTCCTTCCTTTCTTTTTTTTGAGACAGTCTCATTGTGTATTCCTTGCGGACCCAGAACTCAAAAAGATATCTGCCTGCTTCTGCACCCTGAGTGCTGAGAGTCCACACCTGGTCCCTCTCTTATTTTTCTCACTGGCTTTCTTCATGCTGGGGGCTATTAGCCAACCCTGCAAATTTTTGTGGTTCTAGAGCATTTACTTCAATAGATCTAATCATTTTCTTTCGGTGGTTCTGGGGGTTGAGCATAGGGCCTGGTGCATGGAAAATAAGTTCTCTGTCCCTAAGCTACAGCACTAGCTCTACTGAGAATTTTCTTTAACTTCCAAGCAGATGTGGAGAATAACACTAGATACATTGGTATAGTAGGCTGCCTTTAGTTCCCTTATTATAGGTTGTGAGATTTTATTGCTTAAAAGAACCCTGTCTTCTGTATTGTTCCCCCCCCCTTTGTTTTGGGGTCTTTTTGAGACAGGGTCTCCCTGTAGCTCCAGCTGTCCTGGAACTCACTATGTAGACCAGGCTGGCCTTGAACTCACAGAGGTCCTCCTGCCTCTGCCTCCCAAGTGCTGGGACTAAAGGTGTGCGCTACCATACCAAGCTCTAAAATAAGATTTTTATAGTTTGGAGGGTAGCTCAATGGTAGAACATGTGCTTAGTATGCACGAGGCCCTGGGTTCAACTTCTGGCACCTACAGTTTTAGCCAGCACTTGGGAGGCAGAGGCACTCTGTTAGTTAGAGATCAGCCTGCTCACCAAAACAGTTCCAGCCCACCAAAACAAAAAAAAAGTTTAGTTAAATAAGATTTTTTTGGTTAATTTTTTTTTTTTTTTTTTTTGACACAGGGTCTCCCTGTAGCCCCAGCTAGCCTGGAACTCACTATGTGGACCAAGATGGCCTTATACAAATTTGGCTTGTCTGAGATTAAAGGCGTGTACTACCATGCCTGGATTTTAAAATTTTTATTTTAATTTTTATTTTTTTTTGTTCTTTTTGAGACAGGGTCTCCCTGTAGCCCCAGCTGGCCTGGAACTCACTATGTAGACCAGGCTGGCCTTGAACTCACAGAGATCCGCCTGGGTCTGCCTCTGAGTGGTGGGATTAAAGGCATGCACCACCACGCCCGGCCTTAGATTTTCTTAATTCTATGTGTATGAGTATTTTACCTGGATGTATTTAAGTGCACCCATGTTATACAGTGCCCATGAGTTCAGAAAAAGGTGTCAGATCCCCTGGAACTGGAGTTAAGTAGGGTTGTTGGCTGCTATGTAGGTTCTAAGGATTAAACTCGGGTCTTCACACTTGGTAGTAAGCATCCTTACCTGCCGAGCCATTTCACCAAACTTCAAAACTCTTCTGAATGTGCTACTGTATTGTTCACATCAGAGTCACTGGAGGTACTTGTTGGTGGGGGCTGTACACTTGTAGAGTGCTTGTCCAGCATAAGTGTGACCCTGGGTTCCATCTCCAACATTGCAAACCTAAAAATAAAATAAATGCATTGGTCCAAGGTTTGGTAGTCTTTGTTTAATACATACAGCAAATCTTGTCTTTTTCTGATGACAGGGTCTCATGTAGCTCAGTCTGGCCTCAAACTTGCTATGTAGCTTCGACTCCTGCCTTTGCCTCCCAAATACTGGGATTAGGGTTACAGGCCTGTACTAACTACCACACTCAACGAGGTGTTCATTTTTAAGTTTATTATTATTTTATTGTTTTTATTTTATGTGTATGAGTGTTAGGCCTGCATATAGGTAAGTGCACCTGTGTCATGCAATGCCTGCAGAGGACAGGAGAGGCCATCAGATCCTCTGGTAGTGGAGTTACTGACAGTTGTTAGCTGCCATGTGGGTGCTGGGATTTGAACCTGGGTCTTCTGCACAAACAACCAGTGTTCTTAACGGCTGAGCCATCTCTCGAGCCCCAAGTTTATTATTTTTAAAAATTAAGTGTGGATATGTGCTTGGGAGTGCAGGTGCCCATGGGGGTCAGAGGTGTTGGAGTCCCTGGAGCTGGAGTTATAGGTGGCTCATGGATATGGGTGGGTCCTGGTAAATGAACTAAGGTCCTTTGCAAAAGCAGTGTACACTCTTAACTGCTGAGCCATTTCTCCAACTTGACAGCTGGATGTTTCTTAACAGGCACTAAAATCTGAGGATTGTTATTTAGGATTCACTCAGTAAGTGAATATATCCTTCAGACTAACTTAATGAGTCTATGACTCCCTTGTCTTTGATAGCATGTTGGTTACCAAGCACGTGGTAACCTTGGGGTGAGACTTTGGTGAGGCAGGTCCAGTCTGTTCTGTAGTGATTAGTGTGCCGTAGAAGTACATGGGTCTCAGAGTTACACAGAACTAAATGTAAGCCCATTTTCACCCCTTACTGTTGAAAATTATGGATGAGGTTAACTGAACTTTGTATCCCTTGGTTTTCCTGCATGGATAAACAAAACAACCTTATCTTAAGAACACTGAAAGGGGGAAAGCAGTGGGTTTGAATGCTCCTGATTACTCATTGAGTTGTGTCTGGTTTTTTTTTTTTTTTTTGGTCTTTTTGAGACAGGGTCTCCCTATAGCCCCAGATGGCCTGTAACTTGCTATGTAGACCAGGCTGGCCTTGAACTCACAGAGATCTGCCTGCCTCTGCCTCCCAAGTCCTCCATCACGCCCAGCTGTCTGGATTATTTTTAAGATGAGTTCGCACTGTTGGCCCAAATTGGTTTCAAACTCCTAGGTTCTTCCCTGCCCTGTATCCCAAGGAGCTGTGGACTGTAAGCATCCACCTGCCATAGGAAGCTTTTAATAAACAGCACCTACTTTAGACCAGTTAGTCAAAGTCTCTGGGGGTAAGACCAGAGTATTGATTCTTTTAAAACTGCAGTCAAAGCCAGGCGTGGTGGCGCAAGCCTTTGATCCCAGCACTTGGGAGGGAAAGGCAGGCAGATCTCTTGAGTTCAAGGCCAGCCTGGTCTGCATAGTTCCAGGTCAGCTGGGGCTACAGGAAGACCCTGTCTCAAAAAGACCCCCCCCCCAAAAAAAAGCCAGTCGATTGACTGCTAGGGACAGAGCAGTTAGCTAGGCCCTTTAGGGGCCTTAGGACTCGGTGGTTTTAGCCTTAGGTAGTGATGGTGATTTTTTTTTTTTTTTTTTAAAGATGGACGTGAGAGGAACTGGATGCCTAGGGTTCTAGGGAATATAGGACCCTAGGAATTGTGACCTGCGGGCTAGCTGAGGGCACATCTATAACTTTTATTAGTTCACCTCAATTTGATGCATTACCCCTGAAAGGCATAATTTACTTGGTTGATCTGATCTACACACATGGTACCACCATTTCCTCTGGGACTGGCTGGTATTGCCTCTTTCCTCTGAGAGGCTGATGTAACCGAAGTCAATACCAGGGCCTCTGAAGGCCAAAGATACTTTGCCCACTTTCTGTGACTTTTGAAGGAACAGTGTGAGCTAACCCCTCAGGATTGACTTTTCTTTCTTTTTTTTGAGATTGGGTCTCATTGTCTATCCCTGACTGGCCTAGAACTGGCTATGTAGACCCAAGTTAGCCTCAAACTCAGAGATCCACCTGCCTCTGCCTCCTGAGTACTGGGACTGAAGGCGTGTGCCACATCAGGGCTAGCTCCACTCTTTGTATACCCTGCCCTTTCCTGTTCAACGCGACTCCCTTTTGCAAGCTGTCTTCTAGGGTTAGGACTAGAAGATGAGGCCCTTCCTGACTACAATGTTAATTGTTTTCATTGTCTTTTTTTTCATAGGTCTTGGGCATGTTTGGTATTGGCATATTTAGGGGTTTGCCTAGGGATTACCCTTGCTGTGGATAGAAGCAACTTTAAGACCTGTGAAGATAGTTCTTTTTGCAAGTATGTTCCATCTGGGAGAGTTGAATGTAATGGAGGGTGATGTGGGAGGTGTCTGTGGCAGATGCGTATGGGAAGAGAACTGTAGGCAGAGGCACTTAGGGATGGCCTTCTAACCTTACTTCCCACTGTTGCACTTGGCAGACGGCAGCGAAGCATTCGGCCAGGCCTTTCTCCTTACCGTGCCTTGCTGGACACTCTGCAGCTTGGTCCTGATGGTCTCACAGTCCATCTGATTCATGAGGTCACCAAGGTCAGGCAAGATAAGAAAGAATAATGGGGTGGGGAAGTGGCTGTTACCTTGGGAAAGTGGAACTGTAACCAATGTCCTGTGTCAGCCGAATCTTGAGATTTTTTTTAGTTTGCAAGACATCTGATTGCAGGTCCCTTAGGCCAAGGCTTAAATTTTTTCCACTTGAAAGAAATACTTATGTGACCTTGGGAATATAGGTATGTAAAATAGGTGTACAAATCAAATGTTTACTTATGTTAAAAAAAAATGGTTTTTTGGTCTTTTTGAAACAGTGTTTCCCTTTAGCCCTAGCTGGCCTGGAACTTGCTATGTAGACCAGGCTGGCCTACAGAGATCCACCTGGCTCTACCTCCCAAGTGCTGGTCTTCAAGGCTTGTACCACTACTCCCAGGAATTTTCTTTGAGACTGTCCCGTGTAGTCCAGTTTGTCTTCAAAGTGCCTGTGAAGCTTCTGATCGTCCTGCCTTCCCTTCCCACATGCTAGGATTGAGGGGCCTGCCACCATGCAAGCACTCTACCAGCTCAGCTGCATTGTCACTCCATATGCTTAATTCTGAATTCATTTTATTTATTGACTTATTCATTTATTCATTTACTTTTTGAGACAGGGTCTCCCTGTAGCCCCAGCTGACCAGGAACTCATTATGCAGACCAGGCTGGCCTTAAATTTATAGAAATCTGCTTGCCTCTGCCTCTTGAGTGCTTGGATTAAAGTCATGCACCACCAACCACCAGCCCAAATTAATTTTTTGTCACTATACCCTGAGAGACCTTTATATCTTTGCCAATTTTTTCATAACCCCATATTTAGCTGCAAAGCATCATCTAGGATCGTAGCCCATAGTTTAAGAAGCTGGAGCTGGATGTGGTGGCACATGCCTGTAATCCCAACTTGACTTGGGAGCCAGAGGCAGGAGACTCAGGAGTTCAAGGACAGCGTCATTGAGCTACATAGTAAGAGAGCAATATGAGTTACATGAGACCCTGTTCAAGAAACAAAAAGCAGGATTACATGAGACCCTGCCTTGAAAAACAAACAAAAACTCTGGTCCTTGGGCAAAGGACCTGGAGAAGGAGAACTTCAGAAGCGAAAGGTGTTCAGAGGGCTTTGCGTGGTTGGCACTCTCTTTTTTTTCTTTTTTTCTTTTTTTTTTTTGCCTTTTTGAGACAGGGTCTCTCTGTAGCTCCTACTGGCCTGAAACTCCCTATGTGTAGACCAGGCTGGCCTTGAACTCACAGAGATCCGCTTGCCTCTGCCTCTTGAGTGCTGAGATTAAAGGTGTGCGCCACCATGCCCAGCATGTTTGGCTCTCTTTCTCCAGATTCACATTTCTGTCTCCACAGGTGCTGCTTGTACTGGAGCTCCAGGGGCTGCAAAAGAATATGACTCGAATCAGGATTGACGAGCTACAGCCCCGGAGGCCCCGATACCGAGTGCCAGATGTTTTGGTGGCTGATCCCCCCACAACTCGGTAACTTTTTCCTGAGAAGGATATCTGTCTATGTGACCCTTTCTCTTTCCTGAGGAGCCCTTTTTGGGTAGTTTACTTTCCTACGTGAGAGGACTAGTGGACGAGCACTTCATGCTGCTCAGCTTGCTGGCTTCATTTTCTTCCTGTTTCACTTTCTTTCCCTCTTTATGTTCAGTGGGCAGTCTTGTTTCCTCTTCCTATCTGACCTATTCTAAATGCTGCTGTTAAAAAGAGGAAGTAAACCCCGGTGCCATGGCGCACGCCTTTAATCCTAGCACTCAGGAGGCAGAGGCAGGCAGATATCTGAAGTTCAAGGCCAGCCTGACCTATAGAGGCAGTTCCGGGATAGCTGGGGCTACAGGGAGACCCTGTCTCCAAAAAATTAAAAAAAAAAAAAAGAAAAAGAGGAAGTAAAGATAGTCTTGAGAGATGGCCCAGCTGTTAATTGGCTGCTCTTGCAGAGAACTAAGGTTAAGTTCCCAGCACCCACATGGTGGCTAACAGCCATCCATAATTTGAGTTTCACAGGATCCAACTCCCTCCTCTGACCTCCATGTCCACGGGTGATCTTACACACGCATGTATGCAATACACTTACGGGTTTTGTTTTTTTTGGTCTTGATATTTTAATTTTTTTTTCGGAGCTGAGGACTGAACCCAGGGCCTTGCGCTTGCTACCACTGAGCTAAATCCCCAACCCCAAATAAAATATTTTTAAAAGAGGAAGTACTTACTGGGCTGGAGAGATGGTTCAGTGATTAAGAGCACTGACTGCTCTTGCAGAGGACCCAGGTTCGATTCCCAGCACCCACTTGGTGGCTCCGAACCGTCCTTAACTCCAGTTCGAAGGGAATCTGAAGCCCTCTTCTGACCTCCGCGGCATTGCACGACATGGGTGCACTTGCAGGCAATACACTCATACATATAAAATTAAAATTACAAATAAAAAAAAATTTGGGGAAAAAAAAAAAAAAAGAGGAAGTAAAGGGGCTGGAGAGATGGCTTGGCGATTAACAAACAGCACTTGTACTCACCTGGTGGCTCTTAGGCCTGTGTAGCTCCAGTTCCAGAAACCTGACACCTTCTGGCTTCCATGGGCCCTAGGCACACATGGGGTACACATACACGCAGGGAAACACTCAGAAGATAAAAATAATTCTTTAAAAAATAAGGAGAGAGTGCATACCATGGGGTACACATACACGCAGGGAAACACTCAGAAGATAAAAATAATTCTTTAAAAAATAAGGAGAGAGTGCATACAACAGATCATAACTCTATATTGTTTGCCAGGCTCCCTTCTTTACTCAGCTGATGAGAATATAATTGCTCAAATATTTCTTTACTTACTGTATTTGTGTGTGCACCTCATGCCACAGCTTGTGCCTAGAGGTCAGAGGACAACTTAGGGGAGTAGGCTTTCCCTTTCTACTTTGTGGGTCTCAGGTCATTAGGCTTCTTAGCAAATATCTTTACCTGCTCAGTCATCTAACTGGTTCTCAAATTTTTTAATATTTTTTTTGAGACAGGGTCTCATTGTTTATCCCTGGCTGGCCTGGAACTCACTTTGTAGACCAGGCTCGCCCCTAACTCAAAAGAGATCCCCCGTCTCTGCCTCCCGAAATTAAAAAAAAAAAAAAATTTTATTATTTTATGTGTATGAGTGTATTGCCTGCATGTAGGTAAGTGCACCCTTGTCATGCAATGCTCACGGAGGACAGAAGAGGCCATTGGATCCCCTGGAACTAGAGTTACGGACTGTTGTTAGCTGCCATGTGGGTGCTGGGTTTCGAACCTGGGTCTTCTGCAAGAACAACCAGTGTTCTTAACCACTGAGCCATCTCTTCAGCCCCACTGCCTGCTGAAATTTTGTGGGGACTTAAGGTGTGTGCTATCCCACTTGATGCCATATCTCTTTTGATTGCTCTTAACTGAGACAGTTTCTCAAACTTTGTATATTCTTTATTAAAATGTATTTTATGTGTATGAGTGTATCGCCTGCATGTATGTAAGTGTACCTGTGTTGTGCAATGCCAGTAGAAGTCAGACGAGGGCATCAGATCCCCTGGAACTGCAGTAACATATGGTTCTTAGCTGCCATATGGGTACTGGGAATTGAACCCAGGTTCTGTGCAAGAGCAGCCATTGCTCTTAACCCAGGAGCCATTTCTCCAGCTCCTCTTTCTATATTCTTGATGACTCCAAAGGTGTCTTGAGAAATACAAATTCTTACGGTTAATGTTGTTGGGTTAATGTGTTGGTAGTCTTGTGTGACCATGTGCTGCTTTGTGTTTAAATAATCTCTCTTGGTCTGGGGATGTGACTCATTAGTAGAGCACTTATGTAGTATGCACAGATTCCTGGGTTTGATCCCTAGCATTGCAAAGGCAGCAACAAAAACTCTCTTGTTCGGGCATGGTGTCTGGTGGATCTCTGAGTTCAAGGCCAGCCTGGTCTACATAGTGAGTTCTAGGTTAGCTGGGGCTACAGGGGGACCTTGTCTCAAAAATTTTTTTTTCCTTTTGCTTTGTGGGGCATGGTGGCGCATGACTTTAATCCTAGCACTCCGGAGTCAGAGGCAGGTGGATCTCTGAGTTAAAGGCCAGCTGGGGCTACAGGGAGACCCTTTGTGAAAAAATTACAAAAAAAAAGAAGAGAAAAAAAATTTTTTCTGCTTTATTTTTATTTTCTGTGTATGAGTGTTTTGCCTGCCTGCATGTATGTAAGTGCATCTTGTGCATGCAGAGCTTGTGGAGGATCCCTTGGGGCTGGACTTAAAGGACCATTGTTGGTTGTCATGTGGCTGCTCAGAACTGAGGCTGGGTACTCTGCATGAGTAGCTAGTGCTCTTAATTGTTGAGCCATTTTTCCAGCCCAAGGAGAATGATTTTAATATATACTAGAGGTCAGCTTAGACTATAAAGTGAAACCCTGCGACACAAACTAAACAGACCAAAAAAACAAAACAAAGAAAAACAAAACCAAGAAAGAAAAGAAATTTTGTGTGTTTCTCTCTCAGAGAAAATATTTTTTGTCTTTTTCTTCTAAAGACTTTATTTAAAACTTATTTTTTTTTAATTTATTCTTTATTTATTTATTTATTTTTTTGGTCTTTTTTGAGACAGGGTCTCCCTGTAGCCCCAGCTGTCCTGGAACTTGCTATGTACACCAGGCTGGCCTTGAACTTGCAGAGATCTGCCTGCTTCTGCCTCCTGAGTGCTGGGATGCGCCACTACGCCTGGCTTAAGTTTATAATTTTTATGTGTATGAGCGTATTGCCTGCATGTAGGTAAGTGCAATGCTGGTGGAGAACAGAAGAGGCATCGAATCAACAACCAGTGTTCTTAACCACTGAGCCATCTCTCCAGCCCCTTAAAACTTTAAATTTTTATTTTACATTGTTGGGGTGTGTGTGTATATGTGTCTCTATCTATCTCTCTGTCTGTCTGTGTGCTTGTCATGGAGTTCATGTGGAGGCCAGACAGACAGCTTGCAGGAGTTGCTTCTCTCCTATCTTGTCCCAGGGGTTGAACTCAGGTTGTCAGACTTGGTGGCAGGTGCCTCTACCCATCTTGCTGGCCCTACTTTTTAATTTTAAGCCATAAGATTTCAAGCATTGATATTTAGACAGGACGTAAGCACATAAACACCATTTTTCCCTATGAGCCAGTTGTTGGAATTTCCCAGTTATTTCCTATGTCACCTGTTATATTTCAGAGTTCTAAGAATCAATCTATAGACATGTATAGAAAAGCTTTAATCAGTTTGTCTGACCCTGAACTTACCATGCTGCCTGTAGCTCTTGCTTTTGATCTCTTTACCAGGCTTTCAGTCTCTGGCCATGATGACAACAGTGTGGAGCTAACAGTGGCTGAGGGCCCCTACAAAATCATTTTGACAGCACGACCATTCCGCCTTGACCTGCTAGAGGATCGTAGCCTTCTGCTTAGTGTCAATGCCCGAGGACTCATGGCCTTTGAACACCAGAGGGCCCCCAGGGTCCCGTGAGTACAGGGGTTGGGACTTGAGGGAACTTACTGTGGAGGAACCTAGGAAGGTTATGGGGCCTGGTACTGGTCTCCTGGAAGGAGCCTGGGGTACCGGGCAGCCAGTTGAGGGCAGAGGGTGGAGTGAGAGACGCTATCTATCAGGGAGGGTAAGAACCAGACCTGGGTTGGTTTTCTCTTTCTTGTACGTATCAGGAGGCTGTACAGTGGGCACCTCTTCTGGGAGGTCTGCCTGGATCTGTCCTCTCCTTCCCCTTCTCACATCACATTCCCCAAATTATTTTCTTCCTAGTATTTATTTACTTGTTTATTTATTTTTGGTTTCTTCCCCCCCCCCATCTCTGGAAGTGTTTCAACTGAAACTCACTTTTATGTTTCTGTTTTTGTGTTGGTTTTGTGCCTCCTTTTCCCCTTCCCTACTCATCTCTTGCCCCAGTTTCTCGGATAAAGTTAGTCTCACGCTCGGTAGCATATGGGATAAGCTCAAGAACCTTTTCTCTAGGTAAATCCATGGCCCCTGGTACTGTATTTGTTCCTCTTCCCTTACCCACCCCTCACTCTGGCCCTCTGGAAAAGTTGCTCCAAACCTTTCCTTGCCCTGCCCTTCACCACCTGTCCTTTCCCCACTCATTTTATTTGGACCCTTGTTTGCTATTCCCCTGGCTGGGAGCTCCCTGGGAGGGAGAAGATGAAATGGTAGAAGTCTTTAAGGAATGTAGGGAGCTTATTGCTTTGCCAAGGGGTGGGGGATGCTGCCCTTTGCTGGGGCTCCTGGCTCTCACTTAGAATGCATCTGAGGTCCTAAGAGCTGAAAGATCCTTGAAAGCATTCTTTGGCATAACTTTTGTTGTTGTTGTTGTTTTTAAATTTTATTTTTAGTTGGGTGTGGTGGCACACGCCTTTAATCCCAGCACTTGGGAGGCAGAGGCAGGTGGATCTTTGTGAGTTCAAGGCCAGCCTGGTCTACATAGTGAGTTCCAGGACAGCTGGGGCTACAGGGAGACCCTGTCTCAAAAAGAAAAAAAAAAAAAAAATTTATATGTTTTGTCTGCATGTATATAAGTGTACCATACAATGCAATGCCCAAGGAGGCCAGAAGAAGGGTTGGAGTCCCTGAAACTTGAATTAGAGATAGTTGTTAGCCATCATGTGGGTGCTGGGAACTGAACCGAGCTACCTGCAAGAGCAGCCAGTACTCTTAACCAGTGAGCCATTTCTGTAGCCCCCTGGCAGAACTTTGTAAAGTCCCAGTATGGGTCTAGAGAGGCTTTCTGTGGTCTAACCAACTTGCTTTGCAAAAACCTGTGTCAGGTCAGGAGGGGTCAGCATCTCTCTGTGAAGGCAGCGGAGCCAGAACTGGCATTTAGAACCCAGGTCCCTCAACCAACTTGCCTGTCTCTTCTAGACAGCAACAGAAGCTGATGATTTCGGCTTGTATGTAGCAGGCACCTCTAGTTGTCATTTACTCCTCATTTTTCTTTGTCAGTTCTTTCCTTGTTCACTGGGGTCCCTTCCCAAACTTTAACATTCAGCTCCTTCCTCCAATGCTTTCGTTCCTTTGGACCCTTGGCTCTCTATTCCCCCATCCCTCCTTCCACTAGCCCCTCGTCCCTGCCCCCTCTGGATTGGAGCAGACAGCTCTCCTACCTTCCAGGCAAGGATCAAAAGACCCAGCTGAGGGCAATGGAGCCCAACCTGAGGAAACGCCTGGGGATGGTGACAAGGCAAGTTGAAGTGGTGGGTGGTTGGAGTGTAGGGCTGACTAGGAGGCTGGAGGGGACAGGCCCACAAGAAATTTGAGCCTCGTTTCGCCACAAGGGGTGAGATTTAGAAAACCGGAGTGAGAAGAGACGTGGCAAATGTTTGGGTGGTGATCCACTTTCTTTCTTACAGCCGGAGGAAACCCAGGAGAAGGCAGAGAAAGATGAGCCAGGAGCCTGGGAGGAGACATTCAAAACCCATTCTGACAGCAAGCCTTATGGTGAGGGATGGGAAAGCTCTGGGCAGAGCCACAGGGACTTCTTGCCAAGCAGAAGCTCTGGAGGTCAGCTTTTGCTTTTCTTGCAGGCCCCACATCTGTGGGTTTGGACTTCTCTCTGCCAGGAATGGAGCATGTTTATGGGATCCCTGAGCATGCAGACAGCCTGAGACTGAAGGTTACTGAGTGAGTTCCATAGTGACACTAGAATGGGGGTGGGAAAGGAGGAAGTCAGAGCTTTAGGATATGCTCATGAAGTTGGGTATTCTAGATAAGTATGGATCCCTTCTTGAATCTGGGTCTTTTCATGGCAAAAACTTTCTTTATATTCTGTTACCATTTCCTACCTATGTGCGGTGGTGTTTGCATGCCCCACAGTCATTAGCCCAACTCTGTCTGTCTGCCACCAGGGGTGGGGAGCCATATCGCCTGTACAACTTGGATGTGTTCCAGTATGAGCTGGACAACCCCATGGCTCTGTATGGATCTGTGCCTGTGCTCTTGGCACACAATCCCCATCGAGACTTGGGCATCTTCTGGCTCAATGCTGCTGAGACATGGGTTGATATATCCTCCAACACTGCTGGGAAGGTGAGAGCACCAGGGCGTGGGGAGAGGAAGAGTAAATCAACAATTAATAAGGCAAAATGATTTCAGGGGTGGTAAATGCCAAACACTGAGGTGGTCATGTGGTTATGGGGACAGTGCTATTTAAATAGTGTGGTATTAGACGGGCGTGGTGGCGCACGCCTTTAAATCCCAGGAGGCAGAGGCAGGTGGGTCTCTGTGAGTTCAAGGCCAGCCTGGTCTACATAGTGAGTTCCAGGCCAGCTATAGTTACAGGGAGACCCTGTCTCAAAAAGACCAAAAAAACAAACAACAAAAAAAGTGTGGTATATGAAAGCCTCCCTGAGGAGGTAATATTTTAGTTTCAGACCAGAGTGAGATGTTAGGAACAAGGAATGTGAGGACCCAGAGAAAACTGCTGCTTTTGTCTTAAGTTGGAAACTTAACTTTCCTCTGGTCTCTTCCATAGACACTGTTTGGGAAGATGCTGGATTATCTGCAGGGTTCTGGGGAGACCCCACAGACAGACATTCGGTGGATGTCAGAGAGTGGCATCATTGATGTTTTCCTGCTGCTTGGGCCTTCAGTCTTTGATGTCTTCCGGCAATATGCTAGTCTCACAGGTAGGGGATGTCCACCTCTGCCAGCCCATAGCCTCCTTTTCCTGCTCTTCTTGAAAGGAGAGGTTAAGTTTGTATATCAGGGGTCTAACCCTTAGTCTTCAGCCTCCCTCTACTTTTGTTTTTTTTTTTTTTTTGGTTTTTTTGAGACAAGGTTTCCTTGTAGCTCCAGCTGGCCTGGAACTCACTGTGTAGACCAGGCTGGCCTTGATCTCATAGAGATCTACCCACCTCTACCTAAAGGGATGGGCCCCCATGCCCAGCAAGGCTATTCTTTTTTTTTTTTTTGTCTTTTTGAGACAGGGTCTCCTTGTAGCCCCAGCTGTCCTGGATTCACTATGTAGACCAGGCTGGCCTTGAACTCACAGAGATCCACCTGACTCTGCCTCCTGAATCCTGGAATTAAAGGTGTGCGCCACCACGCCTGTCAATCCTATCCTTTTTTAATATTAAAAATTTTTTTAAATGGTGGCACATACCTGTAGTCCCAGCACTTTAGGGGCAGAGACAGGTAGATCTCTGTGAGTTCAAGGCCAGCCTCGTCTACATAGTGAGTTCTAGAACAACTGGGGCCACAGGGAGACCCTGTATCAAAAAAAAAAATTTTTATTTTATGTATTATGAGTATTTTGTCTGCATGTATGTAAGTGTACTACATGCATGCAATGCCCATGGAGGCCAGAAGGTGGTGTTGGATCCCCTGGAACTGTGGTTACAGGTGAGTTGTTAGCTGCCACGTGGGTGCTGAGAACTGAACCTGAGTCCTGGGTGGCAGCAGCCAGTGCCCTTAATCTCTGAGCCATATCCCTAGCCCCTATCTTTTTTTTTAAGTTTTATATAGTTTATTTATGTGTATGTGTCTGTTCTGTATGTGCCATGTGTATGTTGACGCCCACAGAGGCCAGAAGAGGGCATTGAAGCCTCTGGAACTGGAATTATAGGTGGTTATGAGCTGCCCAGTGTAGGTGCTAGGACCTGATCTTGGGTCCTCTGGAAGAGCAGCAAACATTCTTAAGTGTTGAGCCACCTCTGCAGTCCCTGTGACTGAACTCTCTGATGAACCTGCAGGGACCCAGGCACTGCCCCCGCTCTTCTCCCTTGGCTACCACCAGAGTCGCTGGAACTATCGGGATGAGGCTGATGTTTTAGAAGTGGATCAGGGTTTTGATGATCACAACATGCCCTGTGATGTCATCTGGTTGGACATTGAACATGCTGATGGCAAGCGATACTTCACTTGGGACCCCAGCCGCTTTCCTCAGCCCCTTAGCATGCTTAAGCACTTAGCTTCCAAGAGGCGGAAGGTAAGGGGGCTGCAGCCAAGTTTGGTCTTCTCATAGGCTGAGGTACAATACCCCTGACTATTTATGACCTCTTTGTTCTTTGCTCCAGCTGGTGGCCATTGTGGATCCCCACATCAAGGTGGACTCTGGGTACCGAGTTCATGAAATGCTGCGGAACCAGGGGCTGTATGTTAAAAGCCGGGATGGCTCTGATTATGAGGGCTGGTGCTGGCCAGGTAGGCAGGCTCAGAATTGAGGGAGGGGCTGTTGGGAGGCTAGGGAGGTAGAATTTGTTATATTTTGGTTTTGCCTCTTTGAGGATTGGTAGCTGCTGTTACTCTCACCTAGGCTCAGCTAGTTACCCTGACTTCACTAATCCTGTGATGAGGGCCTGGTGGGCTAATATGTTCAGCTTTGACAATTATGAGGTAGGAAAGACTTGTCCTATGCCTTCTGTCATTCCTACCCTTCCACTATGCACACCCTGCTTTTGTTGGTTGCCTATAATGTTTCCTGGGGCTTGATGATCCTAGGAGGACCCCGAAAAGTATACCATTCTGGATTTCTAGAAAGCTTTCTGACAGTGTCCTGTACATACCTGGTTCCTGTGTTCTCAGGGCTCAGCCCCTAACCTCTATGTCTGGAATGACATGAATGAGCCATCTGTATTCAATGGTCCTGAGGTCACCATGCTGAAGGATGCCCAGCATTATGGGGGCTGGGAGCACCGGGACATCCATAACATCTATGGCTTATATGTGGTAAGAGGCTGGATTGGGAGAGGAGAGAATTGGTGGAACAATGGAGGACAGTGCCTAAAGATGAGGACAGGGCAGTTTGCAACAGGTGGCATCTGTTCTTCACTCTCTATTGTCTTCCTTCCCAGCACATGGCAACTGCTGATGGGCTAATACAGCGCTCTGGTGGCATAGAACGCCCCTTTGTCCTGAGTAGGGCTTTCTTCGCTGGCTCCCAGCGCTTTGGTAAGGCTTGGAGGAGATAGAGAAATGGCAGGTGGGCATGGTGGTGAATTGCCACCATGGGGAGGCCAAGTCAGGAAGATCTTTACTTGTAAGGCCACCTAGCAAGTTCTAGGCCAGTCTGAACTACTTAGTAAGCCTCTGTCTCAAGGGCAGAATCAACAAAAAAAAGAATAGTGGTAAAAGGGTGTGAAGGCCAGATCTGAGGAACCATCATTTCTCTGGAGAGCTACACACAATCCTTCCAGCTGTGTATCTTTAGGGGAGCCAACGTGAATGGGATGTCAAGTTCCCATTTAAGAGTACTGGTGAGGCTGGGGATGTAGCTCAGTGGTAGAGCACTGGCCTATCATGTGCAAAGCCCTAGGTTCACGCTTCAGTACTGAAAAAGTTCTTTTGAATTTCACCATCTTTGGAGAGTCCTGATAGCTGTCAAGCAAATGTGGCAGGTCAGAGAGGTCACCTTTCTAAAGGCTGAGCCCTTTCCCCTGTGTACAAGCTTCCTCCCTCTTGTCTTCCTTAGGAGCTGTGTGGACGGGGGACAACACTGCTGAGTGGGATCATTTGAAGATCTCTATCCCTATGTGTCTTAGCATGGCACTGGTGGGACTTTCCTTCTGTGGTGGTAAGAAAGGGAGAAATTTGGGTTTTGATTGGTACAAGAGGGGCAGTGTAGAAGTCATGGGACTGGGATACAAGGAAAGAGTGTTTAGGTGGGTGGCTGGCAGCATCTCTTTACTCTTTCACCCTGCTCCCTCTCCTCTCCCAGCGGATGTGGGTGGCTTCTTCAAGAACCCAGAGCCAGAGCTGCTTGTGCGCTGGTACCAAATGGGTGCCTACCAGCCATTCTTTCGGGCTCATGCCCACTTGGACACTGGGCGGCGAGAGCCATGGCTGTTAGCATCTCAGTACCAAGACGTAATCCGAGATGCCTTGGTCCAGCGATACTCTTTGCTGCCCTTCTGGTATACCCTCTTCTATCAGGCTCACCGTGAAGGGTTTCCTGTCATGAGGTAAAGTAGCCCAGGGGGGGTGGCTGTGTAGAGTTGGTGAGGTGGCTGGGAGACAGTTGGGTCTGGTTTGCATCTTGGGCCTTCTTTCTTCACTTACGAGGATATTGTAAAGGCAGGACTCTGATTCCAAGATCTGATGTGAAGGGGGGTAGTTCAGTGGTAGAGTAATTGCTTAGCACACACAAGGTTGTGGGTGTAGTCCCTAGTGCCACAAGAAAAAAGGGGGAAAAAAAAGGGCCAGTGAAATGGCTCAACAGGTAAAAACTAAGCCTGAAGAGCTGAGTTTAGTGAACCCCATGACCCACATGGTAGGCGAGAGCTGACTGATTCCTCCCAAAATTAAAACAGCAACAAAAAAACCCAAGCATGGTCTGGTGATGCATACCTGTGATCCCAACATTCAGGAGGCTGAGGTAGGAGGAATGAGAGTTCAAGGTCAGTTTGTTCTACATAGCAAGACCCTGTCTCAAAAAGAAAGTGACCGAAAGACTAATGGATGTGAATGGTAGGTTGTGTCTAAAGAAAATGCCAGCAGTGATAAACTCCGACAAAAATGAATAAAGCAGGGCAGGAGGAGGAGGTGTCCTTAGCCCTTTAGGGAAGAAACCCATGAAAGATGAGCCTGCATGGAGAGAGCGGCAGATGTCTGATCTTGAGGAATGTTCCATGCAGGGGAGACTGCAGGTACCAAAAATCTGAAGTAGAAATAAAAAGCCAGTGGGGCTTCTGTAAGGAACTAGGGGGAAAGATTGGCATTGAAATCAGAGGGGACTCTGGTTTGATCCTAGGGGACCCTGCCAGTCAGGTCACCAAAGTGTTTGAGGAAGCCACTGAAATGCTGCTGTGCCAAGCAGATGGTAGGAGAGTGGAGTCAGGAGGCAAGATAGCAAGTAAACCAGCCAGACAAGGTGCAGTCCTTGTGGCCAGAATCCCACGTTAACTGACAGCAGGCTCCTAGGTCTCACCCTAGTGCTCTTTTTTTAAAAAAAATATTTTTTATTTTTATGTGTACGAGTGTATTGCCTGCATGTATGTGTGTGTAAGAGCATCTATGTCATGCAATGCCCACAGAGGTCAGAAGAGGGTGTCAGATTTCCCAGGAACTGGAGTTACAGATGGTTGTTCGCTGCCATGTGGGTGCTGGGAACTGAAACCAGGCCCTTCCTCTGCAAGAGCAGCCGGTGCTCTTCACCTCGGAGCCATCTCTCCAGTTCCTCTAGTGCTCTTCATACACTAATTGTCACTAGTTCTTGGGCAGCCTCTTCGACTTCTGCCCATAAAGATCATGTCTTCCTTTCCTGTCTTGTTCATTCCTAGGCCCCTATGGATACAGTATCCTCAGGACATGACCACTTTCAGTATAGAGGATCAGTTCCTGCTCGGTGAGAAATGGATGACAGTTGGCGGTGGGTTGGGCTTGGGCTAAGTAGCACTTTGGGACATGTATGTATGGAAGTTCAAGAAGGCTGGAGTAACTGGCTGGAGTTGCAATGGTAGATACATTGCTCCCTAGACTGACAACTGATCTGGTATGTTTTAGGGGATGCGCTCCTGGTTCACCCTGTATCAGATCCTGGTGCCCATGGTGTGCAAATCTATCTGCCTGGCCAAGGAGAGGTAAGTTATAGAAAGATGCATGCAGCCAAAGAAGCAAACAAGATGGGACCTCTATGCACCGACTGATCCAATATCTTTATCTTTTCTTGTCATCCGTAGGTGTGGTATGACAGTCAAAGCTATCAGAAGCATCATGGTCCCCAGACCCTCTACCTGCCTGTAACTTTGAGCAGTGTGAGTATGGCCATCCAGCTGCTAGCTCTGTCAGCTTATACATCTCCAGATGGGGGAAAATGTGTGCTTTGAGGGCCAGGAGCCTGTGTGGGCACAGGAGGGCAAGAGCAAAAGGTGCTAAAAGGCTTCACTGCAGTGCTACTTTCACTTTAGATCCCTGTGTTCCAACGTGGAGGGACCATCGTGCCTCGGTGGATGCGTGTACGACGTTCTTCAGATTGTATGAAGGAAGACCCTATCACTCTCTTTGTTGCTCTCAGCCCCCAGGTAACTCCCCAGGCAGATAGCCACCTCAGCCATCTGCTTACCTAGGACTCAGTCCCCTAGTGATGTGCCCTTCACTCCCTCTTTGGCTTAAGTGCTCACTTTCTGCTCAGGGTACAGCCCAAGGAGAGCTCTTTCTGGATGATGGTCACACATTCAGCTATCAGACTCGCCATGAGTTCCTGTTGCGTCGCTTTTCTTTCTCTGGCAACACCCTTGTCTCCAGGTAATGGGAGTACCCTCTAGAGGGAGCTGGGCTTTAGCCATTCGGTTTACTGCTTTTTTCTGGGTAATCTCCTCATCACTTTTCTTGACGGACATATGCTTTCCCCACCTTCAGTTCAGCAGACAGGTTTACTGCTTTTTTCTGGGTAATCTCCTTCTCATCACTTTTCTTGACGGACATATGCTTTCCCCACCTTCAGTTCAGCAGATCCCAAAGGCCACCTTGAGACACCTATCTGGATTGAGAGAGTGGTGATAATGGGGGCTGGAAAGCCAGCAGCTGTGGTGCTCCAGACAAAAGGCAAGTGACTGGTCTGGCCTTGGGGTAGGTAAAGAGAAGCAGAGGCAGGGTTGGCAAGGTTGGAGATGACCTTACATGTGGGGAAGCAGCCTGTTGCTGACTATGATGCTCTTCTTTTCCTCCCACAGGATCTCCTGAAAATCACCTGTCCTTCCAGCATGACCCTGAGACCTCTGTGTTGATCTTACGTAAACCTGGCGTCAATGTGGCATCTGACTGGAGTATTCACCTGCGATAACCCAAGGGATGTGTTCTGATTTAGGAGGAGCGATGTGGCGGTGTTGAGAGTTACCTTTTCTTCTGCCTTGGAGTTTGACCATCCCTAGACTTCACTCTTCTTAACCCAACAACCCAGATTCTGCCAACATCTGGGCAGGATGTCCTTGGGCTCTGAATTCCTCCTGTAACCTGGCCTTTCCTGTTGTGTGATACCAAGCTGTTCCCTTCATTCCCAGTATCCTGTTGCTCTAATTGGAGCACACTCATTTGTGAAAACCTGAGGACGACAGGGTCTTGCCTCTCTCCCTTCCTTAGGTTCCCGACTCTTCCCCAGACCTTATCCATTCCTGCCTCTTGTGTGTTGATGCCATTTCTTGGAAGAAGATGAGGGCTGGGAGCTTTAGGTTCCTTTTCTTCTTCCCTTTCTTATCTCAACTGCCCACCCTTCCTTTCACTCTTTCCCCCTGTCTCTACTCCCCCGATACACTGGGACCACCTTACTTGGTGAGGGATGAATGGGTCAAGAGTGAGTTCCCTGGAGAACATCCTCTTCCTTCTCATCTCAACCTTTCTTTCCCCATTTCTTTCCAGAGCTGCTGCAGTTCTGACAGGGGCAGTTCTACCTCCCCTGTCCCTTGAGGGAGTAACATTTCCACACGATTAAGAGGGGATGGTCATTAAATTTCATTTGCCTCCTCTAGTCCCCTTGGGACACTCAAGATGGAGAAATCAGTTGTGGTTTTCACTGAATCACAGTCACCTGTATTTATTGCTGGGAGAAGGCTGAGGGTGGGGGGGAGATGATCATGTATGTTCAGGGACAGCTGGAAGCCTTGGGAAGGGGAAGGGGAAGGGGGTTGAGGGGTGGACTCATGAGAAACCAGGGGAAATATTTGTGGGAATTTTTTTTTTTACTTCCTCTGGGTTCCCAACTGTGAAAGGTTTTGATAAAAGGAGACACAATTAAAAAGATAAATAACTATTGGGTGTCTCGGTTTTAATTCTAGCCTGAGTCAAATGCTCCAGTAGACCAAAGTTCTGCTGATTTAGTCTGGCTTTAGTATATCATATCAGCAAAACGATCAAGCATAGTAAGTCTTCAAAGCTGGGCATGGCACATGCGTCTAATCTCATAATTTGGGAGGCAGAGGATTGCAGATCTCTGTGAGTTCAAGGCCAGCCTGGTCTACATAGTTGCAGGCCGGCTCGGGCTACAGGAAGACACTTTCTCAAAAAGACAAAAGTCTTGAAAGTCTTGATGGTTGGTGCCAGTACTTTCATAGAAGAGCTCAGCGTAGGGGATGGAGAGAGAACTCACTTGGTAAAGTGCTTGTGAGGCAAGCATTTTTATAAAACATGGGGGCTGGAGAGATGGCTAACACTGGTGGTTCTTGCAGAACACCTGGGTTCGAATCCCAGCACCCACATAGCAGCTAACAACTGTCTGTAACACCAGTTCCAGGGGATCGGACAGCCTCTTCTGTCCTCCAGGCATTGCACAACATGGGTGCACTTACCTACATGCAGGCAATACACATATATACGTATTTTTTTAAAAAAGATTATAAAAAACTGGTTGTGGTGGCATGGAATCCCAGTGCTGGGGGGGTAGAGACAGGTGCATCCCTGGGACTCACTGGCCAGCGAGCCTAACTTGGTGAGTCTCAGCCAGTGTGAGACCCTGTCTCAACAAAGAATGGTACCTGAGGAACAGCACCCAAGATTGACCAATGGCTTCCACACACATACACCAGTTGTCCTTTGAATTTCACACACACCCAAAGAGCCCAGCAAGACCCCTAGATTTTTTTTTTTTTGGTCTTTTTGAGACCACTGTAGCTCCAGCTGTCCTGGAACTCACTATGTAGACCAGGCTGGCCTTGAACTCACAGAGATCTGCCTGCCTCTGCCTCCCGAGTGCTGGGATTAAAGGTGTGTGACCCCTAGATTTTAAAGTAGGCTTAGTAAATGGAGATCAGAGCTTATGAGCTCTTGAATGAAAACAGCTACATCATCACTGTTCTTCAAAAGGCTGTTTCTTCTCTTTGTACTGGAGGACACAGGTTTACTTCCCAGAACCCACATGGCAGTTAACCACCTCCTCCTTAACTGCAGTTCTATGGGATACAACCTCTTCGCAACACAGCTGTATCTGCATACATACAGGAACAATACTCATAAGGTGTTTTTTTGTTTTGTTTTGTTTTTTGTCTTTTTGAAGCAGGGTCTCCCTGTAGCCCCAGCTGTCCTGTAACTCACTATGTAGACCAGGCTGGCCTTGAACTCACAGAGATCTGCCTGCCTCTGCCTCCCAAGTGCTGGGACTACAGGCGTCCAGCACCACACCCGGCTTGTCTTTTTGTTTTTTAAAGACTGTTTCTCTTTAAGAGCACTTTTATTCTTTTGAGACAAGGTCTTGATCCATAGCTCAGGTTAGCTTTGAAGACCTAAATACTTCCCCAGTATCCTAAGTGCTGGAATTACAGATGTGCATCACCATCCAAGTTATGCAATCTAGTGATAGAATCCAGGGCTTCGTGCACGCTAGGCAAGCACCCTGCATGCTAGACTAAATAGGTAAAATTCTTATGTATCAGGTAATTATTGTCTCAGGTTGTTATGGTGGCATAAAATGTTTTCTGGAGGTAGCCTATAGACTTGGTAACTTTTTACCCATAGTCACAGACTGAAAAGAAGTGGGCCAGGGGCTGGAGAGATGGCTCAGCAGTTAAGAACACTGGCTGTTCTTGCACAACACCCGAGTTCGAATCCCAGCACCCACAGCTAACAACTGTCCGTTACTCAAGTCCCAGGGGATCCAACAGCTTCTTCCGACCTCTGAGGGCACCGCACAACATGGGGGCACTTACCTACATGCAGGCAATACACGCATACGCATAAAATAAAAGTAATAAATAAAGTAATAAAAAAGAAGTGGGCCAAAAGAAACAGATGTTGAGACTGGAAGCTCTAGACGGAACATGAAAAACTGCCCTATGGCGATGACATAATCTTGGTTAACTTTAATTTTTTATAAAACAGAGGAGGACTGATTATATATAGATGGCTCAGCAGGAAAAGTTCTGAGCCTGGTGCCCCGAGTTGGATCCTCAGAACCCACACTGGAGATAACTCCCCAAAGTCCGATGACTCCCATGAGCAACGCTTGCTTTCTCACAAATTTATAAATAAATGCAAAATGGGAATAATTCCATCTAAAATGGTCAGTGATTAAAAGAGAGATGCTCACAGAACTGGACCGGCATCTGGTCGGCGCTAGACTTCATTCATTCATCTAACAAGAACTGAGGAACTATTACCGTGAGAAGCCACTAGTGCGTGCCGAGGCTAAAGGTGGGATCTGTACCCAATTCCGTGTTCCCTGGGCGGATCCCGGGGTAGATCCCACGTGTTCCCGAGCACAGGTTCTGACTACCAGCCCTGCGCGCTAAACTAGCAGGATATGGCGTCACCGCCGGGTACTTACCCTGCCTGGCGGCGGGACCGGAAGTGAGCTCTGGGAAGCGGGTTGTCCCCGGCTGACCGGAAGCCGGCCCGGGAGACGCTGCCAGCTCCAGCTCCGCTGAGCCAGTCCCGCGGCGCGAGGAGGGCGGGACTAGGGGCGGGACTCGGGGCGGGGCCTGCGGGCTGGCGGGAGGGGCGGGGCGACCCGGTTACCGCGGGACCCCCCCCCCCTTCCCCTGCCCCCGGCGGCGCGGTCATGAAGCTGAAGCTGAAGAACGTGTTCCTCGCCTACTTTCTGGTGTCGATCGCAGGCCTCCTCTACGCGCTGGTGCAGCTCGGTGAGCGGGGTGGGGCGGGGTCGCTGGGCGCCGTGCACCCAGCGCTGGGGGCGAACCTTACTGACACCTGCATCCCGCGCTGGGGGCGAACCCCACTGATACCTGCACACCCGCACGGCCCTTCAGGCCTTTCCTGACCCCCTTCGCTAAAGTAACCCTTGTTACTCCGGATTCTCTAATTTTCTATTTCCTTATGGCCCACGTCATTGTCGTTTTATTAGCTTCCTCCACTAAAGCAAAAACGCATTAGCAGTAGGGGCTGTTTTTTGTTTTGTTTTTTTTTTCTTTGATGTGTCTTTATGCAGTGTTTCCCAGGAATATTCAATAAATGCTTATCCAAAGATGGAATCAGTGAATTTACTGACAAGTGTGTGATCACACAGCCACGGAGCAGATTGAATTCGTTCTCTTATATAGGGATTTAGGGGTAGTGTCATTGCATGAATATTTCAGACTTAGCTGTCAAAGGACATGGACTTACTTCTTATGAGTCTAGAAGGTAAAATTACCAGAAGGTAGAAAGGTTGGAAACAGGTAACAGCCCAATATCCGAATTAAAATTGTAACAGGACTGTGGGCGTAGCACAGTGGTGGAGCACAAGCACGTGCAAGGCTCACCTTTTGGTCCTCAGCAATGCCAAAATTAAAAAATGACAGATGGAATTGGTTAAAGATGGAGAGAGCTGAGTGTAGTGGCCTACCGCTTGGGAAACACATGCAAGAGGATAACGGGTCTGAGGAGAGCCTGGGCGTGGTGGCGCACGCCCTTAATCCCAGCTCTCTCGGGAGGCAGAGGCAGGCGCATCTTTGTGAGTTCGAGGCCAGCCTGGTCTATATAGTGAGTTCCAGGACAGCTGGGGCTGCAGGGAGACCCTGTCTCAAAAAGACAAAAAAAAAAAGGAGAAAGGAACAAAAATGTTGGACTGTGCCTGCTAACTGAAGTGAATTCCCCACCCCCGTGCTAAAACGAAGTTATAGGGAGGCGTACCTTGACTAGGAATTAAAAAGACTTTTGTCCTGGGTTGCTGAACTACTTACTGTCTGTGGTTCTTTGCCTCAACTCCCTTTCGGTGTTGGCGCTTCCCTGGACCAGGCCAGCCGTGTGATTGCCTTCCACCCCTGCGGGCAGCAGCTGAGCAGCTCCGACTGAAGGATCTGAGGATTTCCCAGCTGCAAGCAGATCTCCACCGCCCACCCCCTGCCCCAGCCCAGCCCCCTGAACCCGAAGCCCTGCCTACTATCTATGTCATTACCCCCACTTATGCCAGGTATGGGCTCTGGTGCACTCAAGAGGGCTGCACTGATACAGAATATGGGTTTATGATGAATTCGGGGAGGCACTGAACTATATGGGATGTTCCTTAAACTAGAGTTTGCCAAATGTCATGATAATGGATCTCTATCTTTAATTAGATTTGGTAGTTTTGTTTTGTTTTGGGTCTTTTTGAGTCCAACAAAGAGCTTCCACTGTGCTAGCTAACTGAAGTGAATCATCCATTTACCGCCCCCCCAACTTGCAATGTAGACCAGGCTGGCCTTGAACTCACAGAGATCCGCCTGCCTCTGCCTCTCCAGCACTGGGATTAAAGGCGTGGGTGACCACCACATTGGGTTTTTTTTTTTTATTGTTGTTGTTTTTGTGACAGGGTCTCCCTGTAGCCCCAGCTGTCCTGGAACTCACTAAGTAGATCAGGCTGGCCTTGAAGTCACAGAGATCTGCCTGCCTCTGCCTCCCCAGTGCTGGGATCAAAGGCGTGTGCCACCACAACTGGCTGTTTTTTATTTTTTTTAAAAAAAATTATAGCCAGGCGTGGTAGCTAGCCCACGCCTTTTATCCCAGCATTCGGGAGGCAGAGGCAGGCAGATCTTTGTGAGTTCAAGGCCAGCCTGGTCTACATAGTGAGTTCCAGGACAGCTGGGACTACAGAGAGACCCTGTCTCAAAAAGACCAAAGGAAAAAAAAATTATTACTTTTATTTCATGAGTGTATTGCCTGTAGGTATTTAAGTGCACCGGTGTGGTACAGTGCCCCACAGAGGGTGTTGATACCCTGGAACTCAAGTTTCTGAGCAGCCAGCCAGCCCCAATTTTTTTTTTCTTTTTTAAGACAAGGTCTTATTATGCAGTACTGGCTGGCCTAGAACTCCCTATGAAGACCAGGGTAGTGTGGTCTGGAACTCACAGAGATCTGCCTGCCTCTTCCTCCCAAGTGCTGGGATTAAAGGCCTGTGTCATGGTGCTTAGCTACTCAGATTCGTGGAAAAATGTTGCATTTCTGTTAAAAAAAAAAAAAAAAAGTAGATTATAACATTTGTGTTAAATTTTAAGGTAGGACAATAAAATTTCAAAAAAGAAGTTGAGTTTACCAATGAATTAACTCTGCTTAGGACTCTTGGTGAGAAAATCTATAATACCCTGATTAGAGCCTGGCATAGTGGCTTAAGAGGCAGAGGACTGATTTGCTTGAGGCCAGCCTGGATTTGTGTGAGACCCTGTCTCAAACAAAACAAAACCCTGATTAACTTAAAAGTACAGAGCCAAGCATGTAGCTCAGGGGAACAGTGTTTGCTTAGCATGTAGTAGACCCTGAGAATGACTCCCAGCATGGCAAAAAGGGGAGGGAAGGGAGGCAGAAAGGGGCAGGATAGTCAGACAGCTTCTAGAAATGTTTTCATGAGCTGTTAATTACATTGTGCTGCTTTTCAGCAGGCACTGTGCTAGGCATTTGACTTTGGACTACACATTGAGTTCCAGGCCAGCTAGGGCTTCAGGGATACCCTGTCTCAAAAAGACAAAAAAAAAAAAAAAAAAAAAAAAAAAAAAAAAAAAATTGCTTCAATACTGAAAAAAACAATTTGGCAGTGTAGCTTTGGATCTTCCAAAACGGCTTCTTAATGTCCTCCCTTGTCCCTGGATGACTGATCTGTCTAGTCAGAGGCAACAGGGAGACTCACATACACTTACACATATTACCAACCCCATGAGCAGCAGACTGATAGGAAACCCACAAGAGGCAAGCCATGCTTTCCAGTGCTCTCTCTAAGATCCAATAATTTCCTCATTTGGAGAATGGCCAAAGATTTCCTTAAAATTCCTCTCTAGAAGCACACCACAGGAAGAAAAACCGGGCCCACTGATGCTTTATTTTTATTCTAATTTTTGTTTTGTGTTTTTAAAAAATTATTTTTTATTTTATGTGTATGAGTGTATTGCTTGCATGTATGTAAATGCACCCATGTCTTGCAGTGCCCGAGGCCATAAGTGTGTGTTGGATCCTCTGGAACTGGAGTTAGGGATAGTGGTTAGTCACCATGTAGATGCTGAGAATCAAACTCCAGTCCTCAGCTAGAGCAGCTAGTACTCTTAACCAGGGAGCCATCTCTCCAGCCCCATTGTGGTGGTGGGTTTTTTTGTTTGTTTGTTTGTTTGTTTTTTTAAAATATTTTAAGACAGGCTCTCATTCCCATCCACCATGTCCAAGCTGGAAGCTGACCTCAAGTTTAAGATGATCCTCCTGCTTCAGTCTCCCCAGCAGGATTATAGGGAGAAACCACCACATTAGGTTCTGGTAATGAGTTTGTGTGTTTGTTTGTTTGTTGAGACAGGGTATCCCTATAGCCCTAGCTGGCCTGGAACTTTCTATGGAGACCAGCCTGGTCTCCGTCTCCCAAGTACAGGGGTTAAAGGCTTGTGTCACTATGCCGAGCCTTTTTTTAACATCTATTTTAAAAATGTTTTTATTAGCTGGGTGTAGTGGCACACACCTTAATTTCCAGCACTTGGGAGGCAGATGCAGGCGGATCTCTGTGAGTTGCAGGCCAGCTGGGGCTACAGGAGACCCTGTCTCAAAAAAGGCCCCCCCCCAAAAGTTTTTCTTTATGTGTGTGTGTCTGTGTACATGCATACAGATATTTGTGGAGGGCAGAAGAGGATGTCAGATCTCCTGGAGCAGCAGATATAGGCAATTGTGAGCTGTTTGGTATGGGTGCTAAGAACCAAACTATGGTCCTATGGAAGGGCAACAAACCCTTTTAACTGCTGAGCCATCTCTCTAGCCCCCTCTACTAATGTTTTAAAAACTCATTATGGGGACTGGAGAGATGGCTCAGCGGTTAAGAGCACTGACTGCTCTTGTAGAGGACTGGGGTTCGAGTCCCAGCACCCACATGGCCAGCAATGAACCATCCTTAACTCCAGTTCTGGGGGAATCCAAAGCCCTCTTCTGACCTCCGCGGCATTGCACGACATGGGTGCACTCACATGCATGCAAGCAATACACTCCTACACGTAAAATAAAGGCGTGGTGGCGCACGCCTTTAATCCCAGCACTTCGGAGGCAGAGGCAGGCGGATCTTTGTGAGTTCGAGGCCAGCCTGGTCTACCTGGTGAGTTCCAGGACAGCTGAGGCTACAAGGAGACCCTGTCTCAAAAAAG